TTTTGTTTTTAAAACAGTTTGTGAAGTTTAATTGATTTACAATGCTGTGTTAGTTTCCGGCGTACCGAAAGGTGATTCAGGTTTTCGTATTCCTTTCCACTGCAGGTTATTATAAGATACTGACATGGTTCCCTGTGATTTTCAGGACTTTGTTGTTCATTGTTTTATATGTAATAGCTTGTATCTGCTAGTCCCCAGCTCCCAATTTATCCCGCCCACTTCCCCTTCCCTAGCGGGTAACTTTGTCTTCTCTATCTGTGAGTCTGTTTCTGCTTTGTAAATAAGTTCATTTGTATCATTTTTTAGATTTCACCTATAAGTGATATCAAATTTGTCTTTGTCTGGCCTACTTATTTAAGTGATAATCTCTGGGTCCATCCACATTGCAGCAAATGGCATTTTTCATTCTTTTTTATGGCTGAGTGATATTCCGTTGATCTATATATACCACGTCTTCATTACCCACTCACCTGTCGATGGACATTTAAGTCACTGCTCTGTCTCGGCTGTTGTAAATGGTGCTGCAGTGAGTATTGGGGTGCATGTGTCTTTTTGGATCATGTTTTCTCCAGATACATGCCCAGGAGTGGTATTGCCGGATCATATGGTAGTTCTATTTCTAGCTTGTTTCGGAACTTTCAGACTGTTCTCCATAGTGGTTGCACTGATTTACTTTCCCACCAGTATGTAGGGGGTTCCCTTTTCTCCACACCCTCTCCAGCATTTATTGTTTGTAGATTTTTAAATGATGGCCATTCTGACTGGTGTGAGGGGATACCTCACTGCAGTTTTGATTTTTCTGATAATTAGCAACAATGAACAGTTTTTTTAACATGCCTATCAGTCATTTGTACGTCTTCTTTATCCAATGAATATTTTATTTCATATATTGCAATTTTTATTTCTAATATTTACAATTTGTTCATGCTTTAGTTTTCTTATCTCTCTTGAAATGTCCCATTTCTTTACTCACTATATCCACCTTTTCTCATATATTATTTAACACATTTATCCTACTTATTTCGAAGTACTTGTCTGTAAATTTGGAGGTGCCTGTTCATTTGTTTCTACTTTCCCCACTTGACCATGGGTCATGTTTTCCTTTCTTATGTGTCCAGTGAGTCTTAATTCTGAACCAGATGGATACTGAGTCCCAGGGTCTGCATTCTGAGCTTCCTCAGAAGCAAACTGAGCTTGGTGCTGGCAGGCAGGTGCGCGGGATCATTTGAGCCTGGCGGTCTTGACTCTAGGTTTGTTATTGTGGCTCTATTTTGCCCTTAATCCCAGGCCTTAATCTCAGGCCTGGGATACTATCCTCTTACTTAAGGGTTGGGCTCCCTGGAGGAAGCCTGAGGTGTTTATCAAATCCATCCAAAATGGTGGGAGTTGAACTCAAACTGCCTCCAACCCTGGGCAGTGCTGACGCCTCCTCTCAGCTGTGTGGGCCTCCCAGCTGGCCCCCGCCCAGCGGTGCGTCCTGACCATCTCCCCCTCCCCTCACCGCACGTCCTGATCGACCGTCGGCAGGGACAGGACAGTATTTGCAGCAGTCCCGGGGGCTTTCGCAACATGGCTTCCTGTTTAGGAGGTTCTACCCCCTGCCCAGCTGGGAGCCTGGATCTCCGCCCAAGTCCCCAGCCCAGTGAGACAGCCTCCGAGACAGCCTCTGTCTCCTGAGACAGAGGTGCTACCCTGCACCCATGGACCAGGGCGCCCTCAGGAGGTCAGGGTGGCTGTCCTTCTTAGCCCACATCCAGTTCCCATCTGCTTTTTTGTCCCTCTCCGTTGCCTTCTAGTAACTGTATTTTCACCGGCAACCCTTAGACTTTATTGCAGGAGGGTTAGCGCAACGAAAGCCGTCTTCCAGCAATCAGACCCAAGACGTCTGGGGAGCAAGTTGTTCTAAGCTCTTCGTCCCTCAACGCCTCTCAGGAAAGGTGACATTTGAGCAGGGAGCTGAGAGGCATGGGTGAGACACGCGGTGTTCCGGGTGGGAGTCCTACGGCAAGAGGACGAGATCCTGGTGGGTTTGAGAAAAAGCTCGGAGGCCAGGTGCCTGAGAAAGTAATCGTTGGTAGGAGACGGAGCAGGAAGGCCGACATCAGCCCTGCAGCACCGGGATGTCGGCGCCCGGCACCCCGCTTCACTAATGCTCTTTCCTCCGCTGAGCGAAGCACCTTCTCCCCGGTCTCTGTTGCTCCCAGGTCTTCCTCCACACCACGGTGTCGGGTCCATGTCTCTAGAGCTCAGCCCCAACCTCATCCGTCTCCTGCTCCCCAAACTTTTCCCCGAATGCTTGATCCTGTCTCCAAGACAGACTGTCCACCCTGCAGAGCGTTCAGAGCCTCCACCACATCCGAGCCAGGCCTGTATCCTCATCGTCCTTGTTATTCTTCTGGCCAATGTGGGGATGCTCTCATCACCACACGTGGGGGGTACCTCACCGCTCACAGTGACTGTGAACTGGGCGCCTGCAGACCTCTTCTCATCAGGTCATCTCCTTCTCTTCCGCCTGAGCCCCCGTCATGTCATCTCAGAGGGAACGTAAAGATGACCAGGGTGAAACAAACACGGTGTGGGCCTCGGACGTCCCCCACCTGTGGTCTTCCCATCGGGGCTGCAGGCAGGAGAGAAGACCCCCTCCTCCCTTGACAAGCGGTCAAAGAGGGGAAATCGACACGACACCACCCTTGTCACCTCCACCCAACAGAGGGGCCCTGCACACGCTCCTGCCTCCTCAGGCTCTGTCTTTCTGCACCAAATAAATGCCACTTGAACTCAAGGTGTCAAGCTGATTTCTGCCACAGGATCGCTAATAAGAAGAAACACCTCAGAAGGCTTAAAGACTTGCATTTTAAAGCGATGCATTCTATACAGAAGGACCACACTTCTCTACAGGGGACTTTTAGCATCAGGGGAGTTGGGGGTGGAGGGGGTCTGGGTATATGCTTCAGCCTTTGTAAAATCCGGTAACAGCCGGTACGCAGGCGGCACCTGCCTTTCCGGTGGCCAGGGGTGCGTGGGAGCTGAGACTAGATAAGCTACCAACGCTAATTCCCGTGTGTTCCAAGTAGCAGCAGGACACCTGGGGAATTTTCGGAATTACAAGTCTTCGGCAGCCTTCAGAGCTGCTGAATCACGTAGGGGAGGGAGGGACAGGAACCTGCTTTAAAAAACCTTCCAGCTGACCCAGGTGCAGGCTTCGGCTAGCACTGTCCAGGGACGTCCAGGCCCTGACCTCTGACTGCACCGGCTTTCCTGCGCGAGGAAGCTCGGCACCCCACCCCCTCCCTTGACAGCCCTCTCTTTCTTGACCCTGGAGCCCATTGTTTCCACAGATCTCACCTCTCCCAAGACGGGGAGCAAAGTCCCGGTGAGATGCCTCTACTCCAATTTTCACAAGACCCAGTCCAGGTGTCGGCGGCTGCAGGGGGGCACCCTGGCACTGGGGGGAGCGGTGCTTGAGCGAGTCCAGCTTCCCTGCTCCCATCCTGGAGGACACAGTGCTCGCCGGGCACTGGGCTCCGGGCTCCAGCTGCACCAGCACCTCTGGGCTCTCATCCTCCAGCCCAGCCTATAGCAGGTGCTTCTGTGAGTCAGGTCTCTGGAAGAGGGAAGAGGCGGAGAGAAGCAGGGGACTCTGCAGGGCGTCGCCCCAGAAGGGTCTTACTCATGATGCTCCCGTCTTTTTAAATGGTTTACATAATTGATTAATTTTTGGCCGTGTTCTGCCTTCGATGCTACGCACAGGCTCTCCCTAGGTCCGGTGAGCTGGGGCCTCTCTGGTTGCAGATGACGGCTCTAGGGCGCCTGGACTTCAGTAGTTGCTGAGCACGGGCTTCGTGGCTCCGTGGCGCGGGGAATCTCCCCGGATCAGGGATTAAGCCCGTGCCTTCTGCGTGGTTGCCACTGAGCCGCCAGGGAAGCCCCCTCAGTTTCATCTTTAACCGTGGATGCTGAGAAATGGCTGCCTTTTGGGGCCCTGGAAACCCTCAAATCTGCGGCGCCCTGCATCACCGCCCTGGTTCCGACCTTTTCCCAAGTCACATGCTCGTGAGTGGCCTGCAGGCTCTCACAGGTCACAGAGAGCAATCTGACCACACATTCTGCTCCTGGGGTATGGGCCACCTTCCATCTTCCGATAGCAGATCCTGACTCCACTGCCCCGCAGCGGGATCTGCCAACTCACACTGGTGTTGGAAAAGAAGTGCCCACTTCCTGGTTCACGTTCCCATCTGCTCTGGGATCGTCCAGGCTGATGGATCTCAAACCCAAGCACCAGACTCCCCTATCGACCTGCTCAAAACACAGATGACGGGGCCTCCCCCAAGTTGTTCGGTTCAGCAGGTCTGCCGCGGGGCCTGGGAATCTGCATCCTAACCAGGGGCTGATGCTCTGGCCGATGGCCCACGGACCCAGTGGCTTTGACAGTAACCACACTCTGCGACATCCACAGCTGAGACCAACAGTCGCACGTTTCTTGCTCATGCTGCAAGTTCCTGGCGGTCTGGCTGGGGACTCCCTCCGGAACATGCTTGCTGGGGACGCAGTCACTCCAGGAACACGGCTGCTGAGATGCAACAGGGAGCCAACATGACCGCGTCCTGTCAGGGTCATCGGCCGTCGCGAGCCAGGGGGCCGGGCAGCACCATCTTTCTGTCCAGCTGGGCAGCAGGAGCGGGCGCCTGGGACCTGGCACCCTGGAGGGCAGTTGGGGTCTGAATGACCGAGGATTGTGGAAGCTTCCCCGCGAGGCGGGAGGGCTGCTGCCTGGCCACAGCCCACGGGCACTCGGGGCACAGCTCTGTCTTCGCGATGCCCCCTGCCACGTCTTCCGAGGAAGAGCTCCCTTGGCGGGTGGTCTGGCCCATGCCTTCCTTCCATTTTCTGTGACCATGGCCAGGGTTTTGAGTTTCTGCTGTCCTGAGACTGGGGTCACACATCGGTTTAATGCAGGGGAAGGCCCTGGTCACACTTAAGAAGACAGCCGATCACATCTGTTTACGGTGGAAACAGTCATCTTGATTTATTGAAAAACTATTACAATTATTCCTCTGTTACACAGGTTTAAAATATTTTAAAATATGCTTTCCTGGGCATTACAGTTGAAACGTATGAACACGTCTACTGGGTTTTCAGGAAGTGTATACATTATGTCACTTGACATTCTATTTTAAAGGGCCTAATGTCCTAGAATATTTGCCATAGGTTTTCTTTTGACCATTTTCCTTTTCTCTTCATCAACATGTGTCCAATTATATATAGATGAGGGGGAAAAAAACAAAATTACACCGAAAGAATTTCTGCAAATATAAGAAGTAATTTTATTGCAATATATCATAGCTAAGTGGTCTGGGGAGAATGGGACATGTTTTGACTCAGTACAAATTACAACAGCTTTGAAGGGGCCAATGGAGAAAAAGATTGACAGAATAAAAGGAGAACTCGGTGGGATGAGAAATCAAAATGGAATCACATGACCTAGACAAAACCCACAGGGCGCCCTGTGGCAACGATCCGATATGGCTTTTCTTTTGAAGAGATGAAGGACAGGGCCATTGGCAGATGCTGGCATTCTGGGTTCGGGAGAATCTCGAAGCCAGACTTTTCTTTGGCAAGAGCAGGACTCAATTTCCAGGGGGTTCGGGAACGCCTCATGGGGGTGTGCTGTCACTCCTGGGTTGCTCTGCTCTGGTTTCCTAAGCTGGAACCGTGGTCCGATGGGGCAGGGTGGGCGGGGAACAGCACCAGAGCCGGGACCCGTCACAGCGCCTCCTGACGGGGCTGCACAGGGCCCCGGGGCCCGTCTCGCTCTCCCATCCTGGCAGGAAAGGGCATTGCACGCGGGCAGCTTTTCACAGTAAAGGAATTACCTTTCCTTGCCAGCCCAGCAAGTCCTCGCCCTTGCTCGGTGAGGAGGACCGGTACCGGACGGAGCCTGGCTGGCCCGAGCACCCAAGCAGCTGAGACCCACGCCCAACACTTTTGCAGACGGAAATCCAAATCGCTTTCAAAGGGATAAGGCACAGCTGGCGACCCCGGCGGGACTCACGGAGTTCATTGCACATTTGTCTATCTGCTGAGGCCACATGGAGGGCAGCCCCGCTGAAGGCCACGAGCTGCCTCAATTCAGTTCTTGCAAAAAAAAAAAAAACAACAACAACGCAGAAATTAGCACCACAAACATTCGGCAACTGAGTACAATCCGCCATCGTTACACTGTGGATCACGCGGGAGGCGTGCGCCTATTGTGTGCGTGCGTCTTCCGATCACAGACGCACAGCTTAAGAGTGGTACCCGGCCTGGAGCGGCTTCGCTGCTGTCTGGGAGGCGGGCAGGGCTACGGGAGGGCGGGTGGCCCGCGTTTATCTTAATGTCCGTGGCAAAAACCTAGATGGTGGAGGGAGAGAGATGGGGAACGAGGCACAGCAGGGAGCCCCAGTGACACCTTCAGGGAGATCTCAACAGATAGCACCACAAAAGAGGAGTGTAAAAATAAGCACCAATTTTCATTTCATCATCATTGACAGAAAATGTGGTTTCCCTGCCCTGGACATTCTCCCATCAGGCTCTGCAGGAAGAAACATGGGAAAAGGAAGCAATTAAAATTAATTTAAGCCTGCGTTTTCACCTAAGTGCATGTGGAGAAGGCAGAGTATAAAATCCTTTTTTCTTTTTCTCTCTGTTTAAAAAAAAAATCCAGAGCTAATCAAAGACTTGTCTGAAAGGGGCAGTGGCACCTGCTTTGCGAATGGTGGGGCGAATGCTCGCTGCCTTTGGCAAATTTCCAATTCATCACACATCCTGGAGAGGGCGGGGGTGTGGCCCGCCTCCCAGGTCTGCAGCGGGGGTTCACAGGCATGATTGAAAGTCAGGGACACTGAACATGTATGACAATACAATACAAATATTTACTTAAAACTCACAAAAACAAAAGCACCTTTAATCCATCGGAAAGGCACATGCAGAATGACATTTGGCCTGTGAATGGATCTTGTTAAAAACGGAGGCTCTGGAGGGTGGGGTGACCTTTACAAGGCTGGCCTCGGAACAAGGTTTGAAGGTCAGGGGAAAATACACATCTTCAAGTTGAATTTTTTTTTTTAAATGAGTGATCTCCAAATACGGCAGCCCTACCCCTCTCCGTGAAGACCATCCACAGGCTCGGGGGCAAGACCCGTGGGCCCCGCTCCCTTCCCAGGGAGTGCGGCGTCGCAGAAGGGGCTGCTGGAAGCGGGTGGCTGCGGGGCGTCTAGGTCATGTGATTCGGCTCCAGGGTGGGGGCGCGGACGCGGCTCTTTCCCTTTGCTCTCTCGGGGCGGGGCGGCCGGCACGGTGGGGAGGGGCGAGGGGCCCTCACTGTCCAGAGGCCGCAGGCGGCGCGCTGAGGTCACGAGGTTGCTCTTGGGGCCGGGCTCGCGGCTCCTAGCCCAGGAAGCAAGCCGGCCCCACTTCAAATCCGAATTTCTGCGACGCTTCACCGAAGTCGTTGAACATGATGTCTACGATGGGCAGCTGCTCCACCTTGGGGGTGTCGATCTCCAGAACTGTCTTCTGATACCCTTTTTTCGTCTGCGGAGGGGGAGAGCGGGATGGGTCAGCAAGGGCCCCCAAGGTGAACCAACGGCCCACGTCCGCCACGCCTCCCAGCTCCGAAACACACCCCCAGCAGGACGACCGCCGTGGGAGCAGGCAGCTCACCCCAGGACATTCATCCAGCCCCACTACTTGGGAGTGGGACGCAGTGCAGGGAGGCTGTGCTGAGGGTCCTCAGCCCATCAGTACGCATGCTTCCATGCCTGCTAGCTGGGACCCCCCCCATTGAGCCACATGGATCTGCCCCAAGGCAGTCCAGCCAGGATGAGTCAGGCCTCCCCAGCTCCAACCCCCTGCCTCACTCCTGTGAGCATCTGAGTTCCCACCCAGCACCACCCTGGTGGACGAGAGCACCACCTTCTGGTTAAGAGAGTGAACCCCAGCGGGTACAGACCTGCCCAGGAGTGCTAGCTGCCCTCCCCCGCCGGCCACGTCCCCCAGAATAGAGGGCTGAAGGTGCAAGTCCACACTGGATGGAGAACCACCCACACCCAACCCCGAGCACCAGAACGTCTGTCAGGGATGCACTAGCCCCGCCCCCCGGCAGCGCCCCAAGATGAGGGTCCAGGATCAGCGCAGACACAGCCTCCCGGCCTGTTCTGGACCAGTGGCCTTCTCTGCCTCGCCTGAGAACAGGCGCGGCCTCAGCTGGATCTGGCCCCGGGAGGCTGTCCCTCCCCCGTGCAATCCCCCACCAGGGGTGACCGGTCCAGGGACAAGGCAGCACCTCCGGCGGCCTCACCCCCCTCCAGTAGGATGGAGTGGGCACGACCCTCTCAGGGAGGCCATAACCATCACCTGGGTGGCCACGTAAAGCCCCTGGAGCCCCACGTGGCCCTGGCAAGGTGGTCAGTGCTAGGAGGTGGCCACCACTCTCTGGGTGGCAGGCTTCAGGACGGCCCTGGCCCCTGACTTCCGGGCGGATCACTCCTCGGGGGAGCCTGCCTGGTGAGGACAGCCTCAGGAGGGAGCTTCACGTGGCAGTCGCTCAGCAACCTCGGGCACCTTGAGGGACTGACTCTGTGAGGCCCCAGACACGATGGGGAGGCCTTACCCCCTGGGTGACTGTGCTGGGAGGCCACTAGGTCATGGAAGGGGCCTCATGAAAGGGATTCGCGCCCTTTCAAGAAGCAGCTGGAACGCTAGCTCTTAACAAGGGGAGATGGGGTGGATGTCGGCAGCCCGGGGGGAGGGCCCCTACCAGCCCGGACAGCTGGCGTCGGCTCAGACCTGAGCCTCCAGCGCTGTGAGGATGCCTGTGTGCTGTTGATAAGCCCCTGGTCAGAAGTCACCTGTGACAGCTGCTCAAATAGACCAGGACAGATGCTGGGCCTGAGCCAGCCTGCTAAGCTACCCCTAGATTCGTCACCCTCTGAAACTAAGTCAGGTGACTGATAGCCGCTATTTTAGGTGCTAAATATGGGGGGTAATCTGCTACAAGCAATGGATGACTACCATACTCCCTGCGGCTCATTTTTCTCCATGGAGAACGGGTACCCGTGCTCCACGGACATGGGGAGCACGGGCGAAGCCTCAGGGAACATCCCAGCCGGGCTTCTGTTAAGGCGCTTCTGGACTGAGCCCGGGAGAGACCTGCTCTGAGTTTCCTTCAGTCTCCGCCACCCGCGGACTCGCCTCCCCTCGGCTCTGCCTTCACAGGAAGGGAGCACCCTCAGTGGGCCAGGTTGGGATTGCTTTAACGCAGGGATGAACACTTCAGAGTCAAGGTGCGTCCTCCTGGGAGCTGTTAGTACCGCTGGCTTCAGCCTGTCCCGGAGACAGAATTCAGAAGGCCGCGAGCAGGATGAGGCATCTGCATGGTTTAGATGCATCTCGGGCAATGCTGACACGCGTGGGTCATGGTCAGCCTCTGAGCAACAGTGTCTGAAGGGCCTGTCCAGCGGCCAGGAGCTCGAGGGCACAGATGCGGTGGGCTTCCAGTGGAGGGGCTGAGGCCCGGCCTGGGGAGCACAGCCAGCCCTCCACTGCCAGGGAAGGGGCTAAGGATCACCGCAGCCTTGTGGGTGCTGGGAGGGACTGGGGGGCAGCGGGGCTGGACTCAGGGCCCCCAGGGAGGATGCCACCCTCGCCTCTTAGGTGGGAAGCCCTGGGAGGAAGCTGAGCCTTTTCACTCCCTTGACCGGTCCAGCAAGGAGGATTCAGAGTCTACCCGTCCCTCTGCCCCAGCTCTGGCCCTGGTCCGACCACCACCCAGCAGGGGCCGCTGTGGCCTCCGATGGGCCTCTGTGGTCACAGGGAGCCGGGCAGCCCGGCTTGCCTCTCCTCCACGGGGAGGGGACAAAGAGGCCTTGGCGGCGCCGGTGCCCACTGCCTCCTCCTACCAGGGACGGCAGCATGTGCCGAGCTGGTGGGTGCTTTCTCCCGGACGGACGGGGCCTGGCGCTGTGGTTATCAGAGCACTCAGGAGGGCGTCCATGAGCACTGTGCTCCATCACCCCATCACTTCTGAGGCATAAATAACCATCACGGGCTGGCAACGGGCCCCCGGGTGCGCGGAGCTGTGCAGACCGTGGGGTTTATGTGGCGGGGCTCCTTAAGCCTCTGAACTCGGCGGCTCGCCCGTCAGGCTGCGCAGCTGCCCCACGCCAGCGTCCAAATCCCAGCGTCTTCAGTCCTTGCTACAGTGTGGCCCAAGTGGGCCTCCAGGGAGGCAGGCCTCTCTGACCCCAGTCTGCGTTCCTTGAGCCTCCTGCACGAGTACCTGGGAGGGGTGTGACCTTCAGATCGTGGCTGCACTTCCGGCGGGCGGTGGCGTGGCGTGGGGTGAGCAGAGCACAGACGGCTCCCAGCCATCCTCCAGAAGCGCCCGTGCCCTAGCTCCGTGCTCCGCCTGGCCCGGAGCCGAGCCCTTCCCCGCGGCCCTTCCCCTGCCTGTCCGCTGAGCCCAGTTTTCCCCATCAGCTGGGTTACTCTCTTTAGACACGACCTCTCCACCTTGTCAAAGACAGACTCTTTCCAAGAGTAAAAATGTCAAGCGCCAAATGCAGATATTTCCATGATGCCAAGTCTTGGTTCTGCATCGTAGGTGCCCAGAGGACCGGCACGGAGCGTGGTAATGATGGCCAGGGTTCCTGGGGTCGCAGCAGACAACTGGATCTGTGTTTTTCTCAAGGAGCAGCTCAGGGTCTGGATCTCACGTGGGTCTCGGTGTTAGGGTGCCTGGGCGGCAGGGCTGGCTTTAGTGGGTGGAGACAAGGAGCCGGATCCTTCTGACCTTCTGAGTGACTCAGAAACTGTGACCGTCCTGAAGAGCGGTGGCCCTCTGCCGGGCACTCTTGTTCCCAGAGGTGCACGTGGCAATACCACCTGCTCCTTCACCCCAGATACGTTTTCCCAGCATCCTCTCAGGGAACGTCCCCTCTTCTGGAAAACCAGTCTCTGCCCTTTACCGGGTGACAGGTATGGGCCAACCAGAGTGTTGCTCTTTCTGCCAGGGGAGCCGGGGAGCTCAGCCCCACTGCAGGCTCTGCCCAGGGCTGGCCCTCCTCCTCAAGTCCTCATTTCTCCTCCTCCTCCACCTGACTGCCTCACACTCGGGAGCCCGAGTTGCCTAAAAATAGGAACCGCGATGATTCTGGGCTCACGGCAGCTGAGCGCAGCTCTGAGTTCTCCTCCGGCACGTTCCTCCCAGAGCAGCCCCGTGAATCAGTGCTATTCTTGTCTTCCTTTGTAGGAGGCAGACATGAGACAGGATTTTAGTTGGTGCCTCACGACCTCTGGAAGCAGCTTGGGGTTTGCGTCAGGAACGTGAGCAGATGTTGGATGAGCAGGGCTTCCGGAGCTCTGGGCCCTTTTACCCGGGGTGCCCTGCATCCCTTGACCTCAGGGAGGGACCCGCTCTGCCCAGGCCATGGTCAGGTCCGAAGGACTGACCCACACCAGGGCCAGGGGCCAGGGCATCGGGGAGAGGAGGCTGCCCCGCCAGGCACCCTGGCCCCATGACTGCCCCGCACACTCACCTCTAATCCCCAAGAAACCCCAGGGGCTATAACTAGATCCTTTTTTGGGAAGAAGGACGGGAGCTCCCACAGCCGAAAGGCCCAGGCCGGTCCCAGCAGAGCAGCCAGGGTAGGAGGCAAGATGTGAGTCTAGTTCCACCTGAGTCCTGCTCTCAGCAGTGGGTCAGCACCTGCCTTCCTGCCGGCCCTCTGGGCTCATCCCAGACACTCTGGGCTGGCCAAGTGGCCAGACCACCTTGACGGACCTTAGGGAGAACCCTCAGATCCCACACACCCCGACAGCATGGGATGGGAATGCAACGGCAGGAGCACTGGCTGCTCCCAAGCACACAGAGGCAGCTTGGTGCCCAGGATGCCTGCCCCCCGGCTGGGGACGCTTGTGACCAGCTCTGACACACGCCCTGGCTGCTCTGTTCAACAAGACGGTTGGAGCCAAGTGTAAAACCTCCAGAACCAAGAAGAACCAGAAGGGACTGCACATGATTTACTCCATGTGGAAATACATGGGAAGGGCCCCAAATGGGACTGGGTCCTGGGATGGAGGGAAGGGCTTCCCGACCATAAGATGGGAGGCTGGCGCCTTCCAGAGGAGGGTGTCCACAGAGGCCGGCACCATGCAGTGGGCCCTGGACACCCAGCAGGGCAGAGCCTACACTAGCCAAGTCCCCGAGGGAGCCAGGCTGGGCAGGGACCTCGGGCAGGGTCTCTGGAAGCAGATGGTGAGAGGTCAGGGGTCCGATGTCAGAGGCGGCCGTAAGACCAGCAGGACGGTGATTCCTGGTGACCCCCCGACCTCCAGCCTTGTACAGGCCACACGGAAGACCCATCTGAGGGTTTCTCCAGGACTGGGCCCCGTGCACAGCTACGCTAAATNCGCCCGACGCCCCGCCCCGCGCGCAGACGACACTCACGGCGCAGCCGTCCACCAGGGCGCGGATGTAGGGGCTGTTGTCGTACGACATCTCCTCGTCGTTGGAGCCCAGGAAGCGCATGGCCTTGTCGTAGCTGCCTGTGGCGGCGTCCTGCCAGGCCACCGACTGGTAGCAGTTGTAGGTGATGTTCTGGTGGGCGGAGGCGCTGAGCAGCCGCAGGAAGGTCATCTGGACCACGCCCACGGGGTTGCCCTCGGCGTCCACGTAGGAGAGCTGCAGGGCGACAGGACCGGGGCTCAGCAGGGCGGGGACTCGCGGCCTCGCAAGGCCCCTCGTCCACACGGGCGGGCTTGGGAGCTTCAGTCCCGAGCTGTCTCCTCTGGAGTGTGGGTCATGCCAAGCGCCCCACCTGGAAACAAGCCACACACCCGGGCCCCCAGACCAGCACGCGCTGGCTCTCTGGGGGGGTTCCCTGGAACACAGTGAGCCCCGCCTCCTTTCCTTCAAGGACCCAAGTAACCCACCCACTCCTTCTTGCCTGGCTGGTCCCTATTCAGCCTCTGGGGCCCAACTCATATGCTTCCTCTTCCAGGAAGCCTGCCTAGGTTAGATGTCCTCGCCCAACGTGGCCTGGCTCAGTGTCCATCTTTCCTTCTGGCTGGAGGGCCCTCCATGCCAGCACTGACTCCTGTGTGGGGGCCCCTGGGGCCTGGTCTGTGGCCCTCCTTGGACCGAGAGTACCCTGGGGACAGGAGCCTGGCATGCACAGCTCTATCTCTGTGCTCTGAGGTCAGCATAAGGAATGATGCTGACCACTGGCTGGTGGTCGCCGTGATGTACAGAGACCTGACCGGGGCCGTCAGAACTGGACATCATCGAAAGGGCATGAGGCCTTGGAGGGGAACGGGCCGGCTGGGCACGGGGCGTGGGGTGCTTGGCCAGCAGACAGGAAGACCAGCCTGTGAGAGGGTCACGGGCCATATGGCCAGGAGCTAGAGGCCTGGAGGGACTGGGCACTTCCCTGGAGCATGGGGGAAGGCCTCTGCTGTGCCCTCCCCGGGCGTTCACCCAGGAGAGACCACAGTGGGTGGGGTTTGGCCGAGGGGTCAGGGGGTCAGTCTTGCCCATGTGAGCGGGCAGCCTGAAGTCAGGGTGAGCCACCCGTAAGAGAGGGCAGGCTGGTTCCCAAGTGACTCCTCGGCGTCACGGGCCGGGAGCTCAGCTGGGCCCGTGCTGGGCGCCCCGAGGGACAGGTCAGCTTCTGCACCTTCTCAATGGTGGTTCTGTGAGCTGCTGCGCCCGGCAGGAGCGGGGGCTCCCAATCCCCTGGGGCAAGGCAGGTCTCTCTTCCCCGAAGGCCCTCCTCTCAGACCCAGCAGAGCAAGTTCGGCCCGTCCTGGGTCCCCATGAGACAGGGGCGGGCGAACGTCAGGGCCTGACACCCCAGGTCCTCCCGACACACGGCTGCTCCACCTCTGCTCTGCTTCAGACCCCGGCGCCTGGCTCAGCCAGGCAGGCGCACTGGCTGCCCCCAAGCACGCAGAGGCAGCTTGGTGCCTGGGATGCCTGCCCCCGGCCGGGGACACCTGTGACCAGCTCTGACACACGCCCCAGCCGCTCTGCTCAACAAGAGGGTTGGAGCCAAGTGTAAAACCTCCAGAACCAAGAAGAACCAGAAGGGATTACAGACAGTCTACGTGGAAATCCACGGGGAGGGCCCCAAACACCCATGCTGATCACACAAGGGGGGCTTGAAGTTGCTACTGTCCATGTGTATAGAGATATCTGTGTAAGGACGGCTGATGGCGGTGAGCCAAGCCCGGTTTCCTACTCCTCCACAACTGGGTGGGAAGGGCACGGAGCAGCCGGCCCTACGTGGCCGCCGGCCGCTGACTTCCAGCCGGACCTTGAGGAGAGAGAGGGGATACCAACCGCAGTCGGGGCCATTGGGCGCTCCTCCTGGAGGGAAGGTGACTGACTGGAGGCAGGAGGCATGCGCAGAGAGAGGCGGGGGGCAGTGCTGGACGCAGAAGGACCTGAAGCCCCAGAGCCAGGCAGGGGTGAGGCCCAGGCTCTGCCCACCCTGAGCCCCATGTTGGCATCTCAGAGCCCTGGCGTGAGCCCCTCCCCTCCTGGGGAAAGGGGCCGTGCAGCATCCCCTTCATGACGCCCAGGGCAGCTGGCCCAGAAAAGCGCCTATTTCTTCAGGGGGGGACCTCATCTACGCCCTGTGACAGTCACAGGCACCTTGAAACGATGCAGCCGAAAAATGGAGGCAATGTGCTGCCGTCCCCGGGACCGTCCCTCCACCTCCATTCTTGGTCAAACAGGACGTGAGGAGGAGGCAGGCTCGGGCCGGTGGCTGAAAGTGGGTGCTCCGCGCCCTCGTCTGCGGAATCAGGTAGTGGGCGTGGGGGGTGAGGGCCCCTGTCTGGAGAAGCCCACCAGCCCGGCTGCAGAAGGGACCTGGCCCCGGCCCCTCCTCCTCCTGAGTGCTGCGCCCACCCACCACCATCCGCCAGGCTCAAGTGCCCTGGGCACTGCCCTCCCAAGGGGTGCCCACTTCAGATCCTTCTGCGTGCCAGTGGCGCTGTCCTGAGGACAGCCCCAAGGAGGCGCGGGGAGGAAAGTCAGCAGGAGGGAGGGGGCGAGGGTGCCTGGGTGTCCGCACAGAGACAGGAAGCCCATGGCGAGGCAAGGCGAGCGCAGGCCTTGTGTCTAGAAGGAGCTTCGGTGACCGGGGCTCGAGGACACGGGCGTGAGCTGTTAATAGTGAGCACGTAGCACCTCGGGGTCTAGGATCGGGGTCCCCGGGGTGGACCGCTGGATGGCCCTGCTCTGAGTCCCAGGGGAGAGCGGCCTTGGGCCCCTGGGGAGCCGACCGAGGGCGGAGGGTCAGGCCCACGCTGTGGACCTGAGAGCTGCTTCTGAGAAACAAGGACGTCCTTCAAGGGCGGCCGGGTGGACCCTGGCCGAGGAGGGAACGCAGGAAGCAAGGGGCTCTGGTGGCACCTGCCACGTGACCACGTCTGGAACCTGGGCCTTGAGCTCATCAGGAAGGGGTCACAGAACTCTGCACTGGGCCCCAGAAATGGGCCAAGTCGAAGCCCTGGAACGGTCTGGGAAAACGCTCTATTGGGCGGAAGCAGTCACGGCCCCAGGGGATCAGGTGCGACTGGCCTCAGTCTCTCGACCCCTGGAGACCCATCATGTCGTCCTTTCAGGGGACGCCAGTTGCCTGCACCTCTGGATGGACCATTTTTTAAGACTGGGTCCCCAGAAGTTAGCATCGGGGTTGGACGGCTTGGCGGTCCAGGGCCCACCCCATCCGAGCTGCCCACTAGGACTGAGTGAAATAAACCCTCCAGTCCTGGTGTCTCTGGTCTCGGTTCCTGGCAGCCCCCGGCGGGGGGCTCTGAAAGCCAGCCTCACGCCCTCCACCTGAGCAGACAGCCGCCCGGCTGCCCTCGGCTAGAGTGGACCTGCTTCGGCGCAGCAGGAGGGGCCGGTCTGAGCCTGGCGGTCACGGCGGTGGAGCAGTTTGGCCAAAGGGCGAGAGCAGGTGCGGCGCTGGGGGTCCGTCCCATGCAGAGCCGAGCCAGGCCGAGCCGCGAGCAGGCAGCCGCGGGGCCACTTACCAGCGACCCTCGCTTGTACTGACTGTACCAGGTGGCAGGCTGCTCTTTGGGCCAGCGGGCCATTTTACTCTGCAAGATACGAAACGGGCGGGTTCAAACCACACTGCACACACGGCGGAGGCTGTCTTACCAGTTTGCCACGCTTGAATTCACTGAACCAGGAACCCGGGTTTTCTTTGGGCCAAGAAGTGATTCTGGCCTAAACATCGAGGGGGGAGGCAGGGAGGGAGAGAAACAGAGAGAACGACAGCGTTACTTCTGCCTCCTCGAGAGACGCTCCCGCGTCCTGCAGGCGCACCGTCTCCCCGCCGAGCGGAGAAGCCATGAGGCCGGCTGGGCCGGCCCTTCGAGCGCCCCCATCTCCCCTTGAGCTGGTGCTCGCTCTGGGACAGGCCCATGACCGCCGCAGGGACTGGCCCTGGTGCTTTCCGGGGGTCCACGCTGGCTCCACGAGCAGGATCAGAGTCTGCATCTGATCACTTCCGCGTGTCCAGCACACAGAGCCTCGCGCTTGGCGACTGCAGAGACCGATCTAGGGGCATGGCTTCATCTCCAAGGCCTCTCCGTGGGAACATAGCGGGCAGGAGAGTCTCCCAGGGTCCAGCTAGGGGTGAGGTGTACATGTGTTTCCTGCCTGTGATGTGTGCATTGGTGGCATGTGTGGTGTGTGTGCTGACTGTGTGGTGGGGCACCCTCTTTGGGGAGAGCACCCATGAGTCCAGCCGGTTCCCAGCCGTCCCTCGGGTCCTCTGCCCGTGCCGGGAGTCCTGGGCCCCATCCCCGGCTCCTCTCTTGAACTGAGCTCGCGCAGGGGAGCCCGAGCAGTCGCCCCAGGGGAGGGCCAGCGCATCCAGCCCGCCTCCCGTCCTGCAGGACTCTGCACCCGCTTCCGAGCCTGCCGCTCTCACTGCTGTGCTTGGCTGGCGTGAGGACCGTGTCCCCCCGGAGCAGGAGCGGGGCTGCAGGCAGTGGGGGGCCTCACCCAGACCTCTCCTCCCCACCCCACCCTCCCGCTGCCGAGGGGGCCCTGCAGCCCGGGCGACTGGGCACAACGTCTCCACCCGCCCGAGGCTCCCAGCCCGTGGGCCCGTGGAGGTCAGCACATGAGCAGAGGAAGAGCAAGGAGCCGCGGGGCTCACTCAGCGCCCCAAGCCCACCATCCGCCCCGCTCCACCACCAGGGAAGGCTCCTAGGGGTTCCCCTGGCTCCCCGGCAGTGAGGCTGTCTGCGGAGAACAGACAGCAACCCAAGGACGTGAAATGGCATTTTTCCACCTAAATTTCCACCGGCACTTCTGTCAGAGGCAGGGCCGGGGTCTGGGTTTCCTCGTGACCCACAGGGGTACTTGCTGCTGGAGTGTGTTCCCCCAGGATTTAAAATCCCAGGTCGGGGGAGTGTGAGCATAAGCCAGGGTCCCTGCAGTGTCCCGGTCAGCGCAGGCCCTGCTCCCGTGGCCCCGGGGGGTGCCGGCGCTCCCCGCGGGGATGGTGAGCCGCAGGGACTGGCACCGCAGCGGCTTCCCTCAAGGGAAGCGGCTCTGGGCGTTGAGGACACGGGTGCCCGACTCCTGCTGGGCGTGACCCTGGACTCGCGCGGCTCCAGGAATCCACTGCCCTCGGCTTGCGGCAGGGACGGGGAGCCGTCGGGACGGGACGTCATGGAAGAAGGTCTGTCCAGGAGGTGCAGAGGGCACTGCGGCCCAAGACTGCACCGTCTTCCCAGCTAGAGACCTCGCCCTCCTTCCTCACCTGTCTCCAACACGTTCTTGAGGGAAGGTGACACATGCCAGCCACACACACCTGTCCCTGCATGCCATCCACAGGCCACCCACACGCCATCCAAATGTCATCCACACGTCATCCGCATGCCATTCACACATCACCCACACGTCACCCACACGCCATCCACACGCCACCCACATGCCATCCACACATCCGCATGCCATTCACACATCACCCACACGTCACCCACATGCCATCAACATACCACCCACATGCCATTCACACGTCGCCCACACACCACCCACATGCCACCCACACGCCATCAACACACCACCCACATGCCATCCACACGTCACCCACACACCACCCACATGCCATCCACGCATCACCCACGTCACCCTCATGCCATCCACACATCACCCACACGCCACCCGCATGCCACCCACGTCACCCACATGCCACCCACACACCACCTGCATAGCATTCACACATCACCCACACGTCACCCTCACGCCACCCACATGCCACCCACACGTCACCCGGATGCCACCTGCTACCATCCACCTGCCACCCACACACCATCACTCACTATCCACATACCCTGGTTTACACCTGTCCACACACACATCACACATCAGAGACACCACCACAGAGGCGAGACCTCTAAAAGACCACAGGTGACTTCGATTGACACCTTACAAAATCTCCATGGATCAGGTCCTCACTAAACAGACTATAAAAGAATGTACTGCGCTCAGGAGCAAACATCCTAGCTGCCACTAAGAATTTCAGCAAACGCCACCTTCTACGAGATGTATCTGGGTCACTTGGCCCTAAAAGTCCTTCTATGGGCTTCAGGCTGGTCTGAGGTCAGGACTACAGGGTCACTTTGGGGAGGATCTGACCAACCAGTGGTGGAAGTCCTAGCTTTGGGGGTAGTCGGGGGAAGATGCCCATGAGCCAGGCACTCCTCAACCTTCCATAAACGATATTGCACCAAGCCCGTCTCATTGCTAGAAGTTTCTCCTCAAAGAAAATTTAAGTCTATTTCTGGAGAAGAAAGCTTAATTTTGGAACTGGTTTTCATTTCCTGGTTTCAGCTTCTCGTTTTCACTCCTGAAACTGCGTGCATGTGACACAGCAGGAGCCCCGGCCCAGCTCACTGGGAGAGGAGGTGACGAGGGCGGCACTCACCCCCTCGGACTTCTTGTCAGGGAAGACGCACGTTGAGCCCCCAGCCGTGAAGTTGCAGTAGACCTTGAAGGAGTCCCGGGAGCAGCCTTGGTTTGGATCCACCCAGTATTCACCTGCATCACAGGGTTGGGGCCAGGGCCAGGGTCAGGGTCAGGGTGGGGGTCAGGGCCAGGGTTAGGGTCCAGGTCGGGGTCAGGGTTGGGGTCAGGGCCAGGGTTAGGGTCCGGGTCGGGGTCAAGTGTCAGGGTGGAGATCAGGGCCAGGGTGAGAGTCCGGGTCGGGGTCAGGGCTGGGGTCAGGGTCAGGGTTAGGGTCCGGGTTGGGGTTGGTGTCAAGGCAGAGGTCAGCATCAGGGTTAGGGTCTGGGTTGGGGGTCAGGGTCAAGGGTCAGGGTGGAGATCAGGGTGAGGGTCAGGGTGGAGGTCAGGGCCAGGGTCAGGACCAGGGTGGAGGTCAGGGCCAGAGTCAAGGTCAGGGTGGAGGTCAGGGTCAGTGTCAAGGCAGAGGTCAGGGTCAGGGTCAAGGGTCAGAGTGGAGGTCAGGGTCAGGGTTAGGGTCTGGGTCAGGGTCCGTGTCAAGGTGGAGGTCAGGGTCAGGGTTAGGGTCTGGGTCAGGGGTCAGGGTCAGTGTTAGGGTCAGGGTGGAGGTCAGGGTCTGTGTCAAGGTGGAGGTCAGGGTCAGGGTTAGGGTCTGGGTCGGGGTGAGGGTTGGGGTCGGGGTCAGGGTCAGAGTCTTGGTCAGAGTCAGGGTTAGGGTTGGGGTCAGGATTAGGGTCCGGGTCGGGGTTGAGGTTGGGGTCAGGGTCGGGGTCGGCTTAGGGTCAGGGCTAGGATCCAGGTTGGGGTCAGGGTCAGGGTCAGGGAGGCGGACTGTGAGAGCTGCCCCCTGGATGGCACAGAAGCAGCTGCCACCCGTCGTCTAGCAGTCACGGCGCACGCCCTGGCCTTGGGCCGCAGCACGGCCCCCTCTGGGCTTCCCAGTGGCCTCCCACTGTCCCTGCCGGGCCCACGGAGCCACGGGGACAGACTGGTCCCCAGGGGCACAGCTGGAGCGTGAGGGCCACGGGCTCCGGGGACCCCGAGCTGGGAGCCCAGTGGTGCTCTGGGAACACTCCTAGAGGTTCACGCACGTGGGGTCAGAGTCAACAGAACGGGACTGGTTTGCATTTTTATGGTGTCCTGGAGTCTAAGCTGTGCTTCCCCAGGTGCAACAGCAAACACCAGCCCGAGGACTCTCACTGACACGGATGGCAGCCACGGCCGGCATCACGGCCGTGCACGCATGTCCTGACGGGGACGTGTTTTACCCCCATTTACAGATGTGGAGCATCGGCTCTGGTCAGAGCAGATGACTGCCCGACAATGACTGAGCTTAGACTAGACTCTGCTCCATGTGACCCCATGCCTCGACCTCTTTCCTAGGCTCCCAGGGCGGCTTCCCCTTCTCCTGCGATGCCTCGTCAGGTGACGGGGGAGAGGCCCCTGCACCCCCGTCCCGTCACGGAGGGAACCTGAGCAAGGTGAATGCCCACCCAGGCCTGGTCCCTGCTACCACCCCCTCCATGCGTCCCCAGGCTCGCGGCCACCCTACCGTCGGGGAAGTCAGGGTGGCAGAGCTGGAGGTCCTTGCAGGTGCGTGCGGGGTTCTGTGGCGTGCCCAGCGGCCTCTTCATCTGCTCGATCTCCAGCTTCAGGGAGTTGAGTGAGCCAAAGATCTCCTCCATGCCGTCCGCATAGTCCATGTACTGCTCGCCCTCCGCATCGTCCATCAGCTGGCTGGCGTCGATGTTCCTCCGGGTCCTGGACGCCTGGATCGGCAGGGGCTGGATGACCTCGCCCGGGGGGCCCTGGGTGCAGAAGAGGGCAGCGGTGGGTGGGGCGGGGCAGGGCAGGGCAGGGCCCACAGCCAGGGCCGCCGCTGCAGTCTAGGCTGCAGGCGCCTGTCCATCTCAGCAGTCTTCTTCCCTTTTCTGTGTCTCTGGAACATTCCACACGATCCCGCGGGGCCTTGCCTAGTGCTGCCCGGCCCCCACCTAACACACAGATGCATGCACACACACACATGCATATGTGTGCATACACACCTGTTCACACAGAGGTATGTGGGTATACACACACACACGTGTGCTCACCCTTCATCTCTCCCCAGCCAGACTTCGGACGGCAAGGCGCCCTGGGCTGATCTGTGTCCAGGGACAGGCTCCGCCCCGCCACACGCCACACACACGGTTCAGAATGTTTTGGGATCGAACTGCACAGACATGCTTCCCGCGGTTCCCTCGGCATTAGGGGACTCCCCAACTCCCCAACGGCTACTCACCGGTGGGCCAGGGGGTCCTGGCTGGCCTGCCTCACCCTTCGGGCCAGTTGGACCCTGGGGAGAAAGAAACCAGAATCAGCCATGGTTCACGGAGGCCTGACAGGGCCTGTCCACCTGGAGGTCCAGAACGATCCCGGGAACACGTGGAGAAGGCAGAGGGGCCTGTCGACCGTGCTGGGCGCCCCCAGCCCCAGATGTGAGAACCGGACAGCCCGAGGGGGAGCCTGGGGGACAGAGCCCTTCATTGCGCGCAGGGAGCCGTGGTCTGTGGTGACTGAGGCCGGAGGCGAGCGCAGGGTAGCTCGGCCCCACAGGAGGGGCGTCAACCACCAGCCCCGAGAGGCAAGGGGGATGGGGGACCCCGGGAGGTTCTCAGCCCACAGCCTGCACCCCCTCCAACCCCGGGCCCAGGGGCTGGTCGGGGCGATGCCACTTACCGAGGAGCCCTTAGCACCTTTTGGACCAGGGGGGCCCTGTGGAGAGAGGCAGGGCATCAGCGGGGTTGGCCCCTTCCCCCCAGGCCCCAGGCTGTGACCCACACCCTCGCAGCCCCGCCTCCCTTCTGCCCTCCTCCTTCGCCCTTGGCCCTTCCAGGAGTCTGAGCTTGTATCTGCTTCACAGGGAAGCAGGTGGGGGAGTGCTCACTCACATGGAGGTCGGGGGTCCTGTGGGCCCCAGCCCAGCCCCCCACCCTCCACAGCAGGGAAATCGCAGCTCAGGCGACCCACGTGAGAAGCAACAGGGGCGTGCTGGCCTCGGAGGCCCTGACGTGGAGCCCCCAGCCCCTCCTGACAGCCTGCCACGGGGCCAGTGGCAGAGAAGCTGGGGCCACCTTGGGCCACATGGACCCAGGCTCGGGTGGAACTCAGAGGTCGACTGGTTTTGGGTGAGAAGCAACTCAAGGCTCCGGGACGTGTCCTGGGTCTCCCAGCTGCAGGGGAAGGCCCCAGGCTGGTGCCTGGAAGCCAGGACCCCAGCTCCTCATGTCTGGGCCAGGCTGGCCCTGCTCGTGCAGACAGCGAGGGGCCAGGAGGGACCGGCCGCTGTCCTCACTGTCCCCAAAACGCCTACAGAGGACTGTCCACATGCCCTTAAATGCCTGGAGATAGAGGCTCACCCCTAGCTCCCGCACCTGAAATCAGGGCCCAGTGACCCACTTCCTGATTTCCATCGCTCATAACTCGGATCAGAGATAATGAGCAGAACAACCCAGGGGGCCCGCAGACCCCACTCTGGGGCCCCACAGCTTCCCTGTGACCACTCCCACCCTGCTCCCCCAGAACAAGCCAGGGCGGGTGGTTCCCGCCCCTCCAGATACGCACCGGCAGGCCAGGGGGGCCTGGGGGGCCAATCGGGCCAGAAGGACCGGTGATGCCCTGAAAGGAGCAGAAATGCGGTCGTCATCGCCCGGATCAGGAGGGAGCCGTCCTGCAGCCTCGTCCCCGGGCTCTCACTGGCCTCCTCCCCCAGCTCGGACACGTGTGAGCAGAGCCCTCACTCCCTGCGGGGCCTGGAGGGGCTTGAACACCTGCTGGGAGGCCTGGCACCCGGGGCCGCTGCCCGGCCAGCCTGGAAGGACCCTTGGGGAGCCTGAGCGTGAACCTCCCTTTAATGTCCTCGTGTGAACCATCCCCACCAGGTCCTGTCTGGCTGGCTGCTTTCTGCTCCTGCTGGGGGTCCACCCCAAGCACGAGCCCAGGGCAGCGGGCAGAGAGCGTCCTGGGGCCCTGTGTCTTCCGTCTGTCCATCCAGCCGCCCAGGGGCTTTCCCACAGTGGAGCTTGCATCCTCTGACTGACCCTCTCTCCTGGTCTAAGTGCCACGTGTGCATGCACATACACCCAATGTGCTCAGGCGTCATCTCCAGGGCCCGCCGCACGCACACATGTAAGGCATGTACACATGTGTGCATACATACACCCAATGTGCTCAGGCGTCATCTCCAGGGCCTGCCGCACACACGCATGTAAGGCATGTACACATGTGTGCACACACATACACCCAGTGTGCTCAGGCGTCATCTCCAGGGCCTGCCGCACGCACGCATGTAAGGCATGTACACGTGTGCACGCACATACACCCAATGTGCTCAGGCATCATCTCCAGGGCTCGCCGCACACATGTGTGTAAGGTACAGCGGGGCAGTGGGGGTTCACAGGCTGCAATGAGGCCCCGTGGCCTTGCTATGGGGACGGAAAGGCAGGCCTGCCAGGCCCCCCTACAACCCCACGCACACCCCACCCCCGCTCCCCGGCCAAGGAATCCACTGCCAGAACCTCCTAGGTGCAGGGTGGGCCAGCCTCGCAGGCTGTTTTCGTGGCTGTGGTTTCCCGGGGGCTGGTTCCCAGGGAAGTCGAGGGTCAGGTGTGCATATACGGGGTCAAGGGGGAGCCAGGATGCAGCTGAGTGTTGCCAGTGACCCCTGGATGTTCAGCTGGGAGAGAGGGTCTTTCCGAGTGTGGCGGGGGGTGATGACCTTCACTGCGGAGACCAGCAGAACCGTGAGGGCTGCTCAGGGCCTGGGCTGGACTCCAGTTCCGCCCCTGTCCCCTGTGTGCCTGGGCGAGCCCGGCCCCTCGGCTGCTCCCGCCCTGATCCCGTGGGCAGGGAACGTCCTTCCGGCTCTAACGAGCCTCGGGTCTTTGGACACAGAGCCTGTTCCACGCACCTGTTCTCCCTTAGGGCCCGAGGAGCCCTGGGGGCCAGGGAGACCGCGGTCACCCTTTTCTCCCTGTTCGCCCGGAGGTCCGATGAGCCCGATCAAGCCTGGGTGACCCTGTGGGAATGAAAGGGGCATTTGCAGTGGCGACGCCTCGCGTCCAGCCCGAAGCTCCTGCAGGGGAAACGTGCCCGGGGCTGGGCCCGACAGCAGGCAGTGGTCAGGTCTCCAACCCACACGGAGCTGTTCCCTTCATGTCCCCACCCCGAGCAGGTGATGCACGGGGGGAAAAGCCAGACCTTGTCGGGTTGGAGGCACAGGCTCTCAAAGGGCCCGCGCTTCAACCGCACAGCCACCTACAGCCCACTCACCTTTTCCCCTTTGGGTCCAGAGTCTCCTTTGAGGCCGGGGAGTCCTGGGGGGCCCTGTGGGGGAGGCAGGGAGCTCAGATTTCTTGTCCCCAACCCCGCCCTCCGCCACCTCTGCTGGGGGCCCCTGGGGAATGTCCTGACTCACCATGGGTCCCGGGGGGCCATCGGGTCCTGGGGCTCCGGGAAGACCTTGTTCACCCTGAAACACAGTCGACCCTGCACGTGAGCCCCGCCTTGGCCGTCCCCACGCCCCTCCCTCAGCAGACTCCCCCCCAGGCCCAACCCCCACCCTGAGGCCACTCACCACTGGGCCGGGGATCCCTCGAAGGCCATCAGGCCCAGGCTTCCCGGGGGCCCCCTGGGGGCCGATGGGGCCAGTCTTCCCAGGAGGGCCTTCCAAGCCAGCTTCTCCCTGCAGAGAGGGCAGAGTGGGGCCCCGACGCTTGAGGCTATGGTCACCCCCGCCCAGAACCACCGCTCAGAAACCACGAGGGGCCTTGGCGAGAACCCCGCATGCCCCCGACACCCAGGGGCTGCCCCCAACTCTCCTCCCTGTAGAGGCCGCCCAGCCCCATCCTCCACCCACTGAAGACCTCAGTCATCGGGGCTCCAGCCGCCCAGCCACCACGGCAGTTACAGCCAGCTCGGAGCTTAGGGTGGACACGCTGCATGTCCTTGAGCAGATGGGGGCTGGGCGAACTCCACCGTCTCAGTCGACGTCGGGGTACCTCTACTCCAGGAGGAGGCACCCAGGCCCCACCCAGAGCTCCTGGGTAGAGCGGCCACAAGGGCTCTGGGTGCCAGGCTGCACCCTAACCTCACCGCAGGGCACTCCACCCTCTCCTCTGCCCTGCGGTGGGTGCTGTCACCGTCTCTGCTTTGCAGGTGAGGCAGCCAGGCCCGGCCAGGTCAACGCCAGGTCCGAAGGCACCCGGCATGGGCCTCCCCTCCCCCAGGCTGGCGGGGCACATGACCCGCAGTGCCCGGCCAGGGACCCCAGGCTGGAGGCACAGCCCAGCTCCCCCTGCAGAGGATGGGCTCTCCGCCCAAGTCTGAAGACAGCCGGCCCCTCTCCGCATGTTTAACGTCCAGTCCCTCTCCCGCCGCACCCCAAGCGGTCTCCATGCCCTCGGCATGCCCCGAAAGGTCCATGCACGCTCACGGTCATGGCCGCAGCCGGGCTGAGAAGCACCTACCTTGGCTCCTTTCTCCCCCTGCCTGCCTTCGGGACCGGCGGGGCCGGGCGGACCCTGGAAGGTTTAAGAGGGCAATGCGTGACGAGTGGCCTCCCGGACGCCGAGAGGGCAGCTGAGCGCGCTGGGGGCACAGGCCTGGCAGGGCCGTGGGGCTGCTCCAGGCCTTCAGAACAAGGCCCGGGGCCTCCAGTTCCAGAAAAGGCCAGAGGGCTGGGCTGGACAAGGGGCGGGCACTCCGGTGGCCTCCCTTCCTGCAAACTCAGAGCAGCTGCGGTCACCGCAGGCCAGCAACGGATGGTTCCATTTGCTGGATGATTCAGTTTGCTTGCTCTGACTTTTTCAAAGGTCTGACCCGGGGGAAAGGGGCTTTTTCAGCTTCGTGGGAGTTTTTTCTCCCACGACAGCTGTCACTGAAGGTGTCCGCAGTCAGCTCATCCTGAAAGGAGCAACGCATCGACCTGGCGGCTCTGAGATCGGATGCTGTGGCAGCAAGCTGAGCGGGGAGTGAGCTTCAAAGAGAAGCCCGTTCCTCCTCCCTGGGGCTGCTCAGGGCCCCAGGGTCCGTGCAGGGCTGGGGAGGGGCAGGCTTCGTGCAGGGGTACCCAGCAGCGTCACGTACCCTTTTTCCTGGAGGCCCAGATGGGCCTGGTTCACCCGTAGGGCCTGGTGATCCCTGGGGTGGGAGAGAGCAGAGTGTTTAGGAACCAAGGATGTTAGCTATGACCCGGCGGGGCTGGGTGGGTCCGAGGCTAAGAAAACACAGAGTTTTCAGTCTGTCCTCGGCCAGCCCCGAAACCGCCTGTCTCATCTTCTGCAGAATCAGCCCTGAGTGAGGGTGGTCCCCGACTGCCCTGCCCTGCTCTCGGGATGCGGTAGTGTGGGGGCACCCCCCACCTCTGACTCTGCTGTGTCTGGGGAAGGTTCCCAGCAAGCTGGCCGGCACCCCTCCTGCAGAGGTGGACCCTGGGTCACCGGCCAGGAAGTGGTAGAAGGGCAGACATCTCTTTGGGGCCCTAAGTTGGTGTCCCTAAGCAGGCTCGAAGCAACGTGTCAGAAACCCAGCATGAGATGAGAGGCACGGCCAGTGTGAGCTCAGCTCCAGAGGCTCACGTGGGAAGAGTCTTTTGAGGAGCATGTCTGACCCCACCCAGCAGAAACAGGGATCCTGACGATGCGGTGGCGGGGGGGGGAGGTCATGGACACCGGGCTTCATGTGCAGAGCCACTGTCGGGCCTGGGGGTGCACTTCCCCTTCTGGGAGGAGGGTCCCCAGCTCGCAAGGGTCCTCCGAGGGAGCTCACGGCTCCCGTGGTGGCTGGGTCACTACTCTAAGGCAACTGGGTGAAATGAACAGAGCAAGTTGCAATGCCCAACACCTCCCCGAGAAGCTGCATCAGGGGCCCCAGAGGTCCCGGGTGGACTCACCGTTTGCCCAGGTTCACCGTCATCTCCTTTGTCGCCAGGGGGACCATCTTGACCCTGTGGGACCAAAAGCAGGTTCTTTCTGCGCCCTGGACACACCCGAGTTCAGGCACCAGCACCCACTGGCCCCCAGTCCCGACCGAAAAGCCCAGCTCCACCCAGGGGTGCCCGCTCAGGGAGCTCGGAGGGGCAACGCCTTTCCCCGCGCACTCGTCAGAGCAGGGGTGAGCACCGGGCCCCGAGCAGAGGCAGAACAGAAGCAACCAGAAGGGAAAGACGGGCCTGGAGGTGGGTCATGGGCTGTGGGGACCCCCAATTCTGCACCCTTGAGCACCTACCGCAGGGCCGGGTTCTCCAGGGGGACCGGGATCTCCGGGAAAACCAACGGGGCCCTGAAACAGAGTAGAGAAGCGTCAGCCACCTTCCCAGAGTGCGCAGGCCTCAAGGGGCTGCATCCACACGGCCAGCCCACGCCTCCCGCCAGCCTGGCACCTTGGGGCCCCCCAGAGCAGGCGGCTCCCCCCAGAGCATCACTCTGTGTGCGGTGGGCCACGCGGGGCCGCCGCTCGCCTTCCGGAGGCCTCCGAGGGCAGCCTCCTGCCCACACGTCTGTTCCTGGGGCCGCGGTGACCCTGATCCTGGACCCTGAACTCCAGGACTCGCTACTCTGCAGACCTTCCTGAGGCAATGCGAGGCAGACCGTGGCAGGGTGGGGTGGGGCACAGAGCCCGTTCCGTCCAGAAGGCTGCCCGGCCCACGGCCTCCGAGGTGTGCCCCCTCCAGGCCCTTCTCTCCTCCTCCCTCCTCCTCTGTTCTAGTTCAGGACCCAGGGGGTCACCCCAGACCCACGGGGGTCAGGCAGCTTCTGCACCCCCCAGGCCTGGAAGTGAGAAGGACGCTGCTGAGAGCCCCAGCGTCCCCCGGTACTCACGGGGCTGCCTTTGGGACCGTCGTCTCCGGGAGGGCCCTTGGGCCCCGGGGGTCCAGCGGCACCGGAGGGACCTGACTCGCCCTTCTCCCCCCTTTCGCCTTTGGGGCCCTGTGGGGAGAGGAGGGGAGTGTGTTCCCAGAGCTGGCCTGCAGCCCGCCCAGCGCTGGCACCACGTGGAGCCCTGACCGAGGCCAGGCACCAGGCCCCAGGCCCCAGGCCCCTGGGGGGTCAGCTGCCTCCAGAGCCCCTGCCCCTGGCAAGTCCCCACGAGTCCAGCCCCGCGGGCACCGCAAGGGGTCTCGGGGCCCCACTGGCGTCCTGGGGCCTCTGAGGCCGAGGCTCGGCTTCTAGGTGACGAGGGCAGGGCTGCCTCCTGACGAGACAGCAGGTGGTGTGGACCCCCAGGGGCTGCAGCGACCCAGGCCACCCCCCGCACCGAATGGAGGGATCCCAGCACACCTCTGTCCACCAGCCGCTCCCTGGGCCAGAGAGCTGCCCCTAGTGGGCCTCGAGAGGCCACACATCTGACCTGCGAAGGCCAGAATGTCCCAGGTCTGGGTGCACAGGTGGCAACACTGGGCCCCACGCTTGTGGAAGCCCGTGACAGAGCCCGGAACACCATGGACGGAGGGGCAGCTCACGCCCGCCTGTCCTGGGTGTTCATCAATAACATCAACACACACACACACGCACACACACACACACACGCACACTCACACACACGTACACACATGCTCACTCACACACATGCACATATGCATACACACCCACACACACACATGCACACTCACACACACATACATGCGTGCTATCACACACACGCACACTCACACACACGCACACTCACACACATGTACATGCACACATGTACACGAACGCTCACACACATGCACACACACGCTCACACACACATGCACTCTCACACACATACACCCTCACACACATGCACACACACATGCACACACACACATATGCGTGCACACACACACTCACACACACACTCATACATGCACTCACACACGTACATGCACGCTCACAGACATGTACACTCACACACACATGCACATTCACACATACACATGCACAGTCACATATACACATGCATGCTGACACACACACGTACTCATGCACACACACACATGTACACTCACACATGCACACACATACATGCACACTCAGACGCATGCTCACACACATGCAGTCACACACATACATGCATGCTCACACACACAAACACGCATGCTCGCACACACATACACATGCACAGTCACACACACACATACATTCACTCCCCACCACTCTCCCTCTTTTTTCCAGCAATCCTGTGAGGGAGGCACAAGGGGAGACACAACTCCCATTTCATGGATGGGAACACTGAGGTAGAGTGGGACCCTCCCACCCGGCACTTCTTCACACCACATCCCACCCCTCCCCAGAGCCCACTCACTCACCGGGGGGCCCCCTTCACCTGGAAGGCCAGGCTCTCCCGCTTCGCCAGGTTCACCCTAAGGAGGAAACACAAACAGCAATGAGGGCAGAGGTCCCAGCACCAGGCGTTCACAAATCGTCCCTGACACGGGGCAGGGGTGGGGTGGGCTGGGGGGACGGGGGTGGGACAGCGGTCACTGTCCTCTTGGGAGCTCCCAGCCCTGGAGGAGACACAGGTGAGGAGCCCAGGGACACAGTGCTGGCAGTGACACACGTGGGCGGGGCGTGGAGAGAACGTGGGGTGTCAGAGATGGCTCTCCCCAGGAAGGGATGCTCCCGGAGTTCCAGAGGATGGTTGGGAGAGGCCAGGTGAGGGGGGCACAGCGGGCAGAGGCGGATGGAGAACAGCACAGTGCCCTGGGTTTGCCGGCTGGAGGGACAGAGCCGGGCGGAGGCGGGGTGTTCACATGTACACTCACACATGCACACACATACATGCACACTCAGACGCATGCTCACACACATGCAGTCACACACATACATGCATGCTCACACACACAAACACGCATGCTCGCACACACATACACATGCACAGTCACACACACACATACATTCACTCCCCACCACTCTCCCTCTTTTTTCCAGCAATCCTGTGAGGGAGGCACAAGGGGAGACACAACTCCCATTTCATGGATGGGAAAACTGAGGTAGAGTGGGACCCTCCCACCCGGCACTTCTTCACACCACATCCCACCCCTCCCCAGAGCCCACTCACTCACCGGGGGGCCCCCTTCACCTGGAAGGCCAGGCTCTCCCGCTTCGCCAGGTTCACCCTAAGGAGGAAACACAAACAGCAATGAGGGCAGAGGTCCCAGCACCAGGCGTTCACAAATCGTCCCTGACACGGGGCAGGGGTGGGGTGGGCTGGGGGGACGGGGGTGGGACAGCGGTCACTGTCCTCTTGGGAGCTCCCAGCCCTGGAGGAGACACAGGTGAGGAGCCCAGGGACACAGTGCTGGCAGTGACACACGTGGGCGGGGCGTGGAGAGAACGTGGGGTGTCAGAGATGGCTCTCCCCAGGAAGGGATGCTCCCGGAGTTCCAGAGGATGGTCGGGAGAGGCCAGGTGAGGGGGGCACAGCGGGCAGAGGCGGATGGAGAACAGCACAGTGCCCTGGGTTTGCCGGCTGGAGGGACAGAGCCGGGCGGAGGCGGGGTGTCGTGGGGGGAGGGGTGTCGCAGGCAGGAGGGGGACGCGCCCTGCGGCAGGGAGGGGGAAGACGCGGCCCCCCCAGAGGCCGCCCGCCGTCACGGGTGGGTTCAGCAGGCATGCTCCTCTGTGACTCTCCTATCATAAAAAGGGAGCAGCGATGGGACACTGGTTTCAACTGAATGGCCAGACGTCAGCAGAAAGTTCTGGAAGGTGTGCAGGGAATGCAAACGGACGGGCACATGTCCATCTCCTTCCTTTTATCCCAAGAAGCTGGGATTGGTGCTTTAAAATAGTGTGAACTCCTGGGCCCAGGAGGAGTCAGACTCTGGCACCGTCTTGCCCACCACCCACATACGTGTAAGGCATGTACACGCGTGTGCACACACATACAGCCACTGTGCTCAGGCATCTGGCATGAGCCGGATCAGATGACGAGGACCCGGGGCTGTGAGATGACAGGACTTGAGGGAAACAGGAGTTGCGACAGGAGCAACTACACACGTCAAGGACAGACAGCCACAGCTGTCGGAGCCGAATCTCGGAGCGGGGGTGGTGGCCTTTGCTGGGGGTCGCGTTGTGGGAAATCCCGCACAGGCTGCGCTGGGCAGAGGGCGGGGCTCCCAGGTCCACCACACGGTCCTCCAGGTTTGAGATGCATGTGGCAGGAACAGCCCAGCAGTGCACTTGCGTGTCTCCACATGCACACGCACACACACGCACGCACGCACATGCGCCAGGACAGTCACGGGGCGTGTGTCACCTTCTCTCCCACGGCTCCGGGGTTGCCTATTCCGCCAGGGGGTCCTTGCGGCCCATCCGCACCTGGAGCTCCGGAGGGTCCTCGGGGGCCGGGGGGACCTGGCGGACCCTGGAGGAGGGGAGCCGTTGAGCCCAGAGGAAAGGCAGGCCTCCCCCCCAAACACCAGCTCCACCGCGCCCTGCGCCCCGTGAGCAGTCCCACTCACCATCTGACCCACGTCGCCCGTCTCGCCCTTCTCTCCGGGAGGTCCTGGCAGACCCTGAGAACAGGAGGCCATTAGACACTCGGCCGGTGGGCATGGCTCCAGTGCCCCCCCAACCTCCGCTGCCTCCCAGCTGAGCGCCCCAAAAGCCTCGGGGATGTGCATTTCAGCTACGCATGAGGATGGCTCCGAGATCCCGTCTCAGAACTAGCCCAGAGAGAATCCAAGAGGTGGGCAAGGATTTATGGACAAGGTGCTTATTGCGAGTGTTCCATAAAACAACAAAGCCTAATGAGCCACCAGCAGGGAGCTGCCGGAATCAATTATGTCCCCTCCATATGCTGAGACACAGGCAGTGACTAAGAGCCATGTTTTCAAAAGTAAATAAAAGGTGACATGTTCAAAGAATATTTAATGGCATTTGACGTGACTTGTAACATAACAGGAAGCGGGACAGCCTGGTCCGAATGTTAACAGGAAGCAGGACAGCCTGGTCAAAATGTTCTATACATGCAGCATGACTCGGATTCTGTGGAAATCAAATGGAACGATGCACATGCGTGTGTGTGTGTGTTTGCACACGGGCACTTGGACGGTGTGCACTCCCATGCACTCAGGAGCCATTCTGGTTCCCTTTTCGAATAATCTATCAGTAGTTTGCAACATTTCTACAATTAGCAGGAAAACAAACGTCACAGGATAAGAGAGGCGAATGTGTGTGTGTCTGGATTTCTGCAAATTCACAGCTCTTCAGGTGTGTGGAGGAGCCCATGCAACTCTCCTTAGTAACCCCATTTTTAAAAATTTTTATTGGCCTGCAGTTGCTTTGCAACGTCACGTTAGATTCGACGGTACAGCAAACTGAATCAGCTCTGTGCATACACATATCCCCTCTTTTTTTGACTCACTTCCCAGTTAGGTCATAGAGAGCTTAGAGCAGGGTTCCCTGAGCTATACAGTAGGTTCTCATTAGCTACCTATTTTACACACAGTATGGATGGTGTATGTACGTCAAGAAGGGAGGGAGCAGGAGGGGAGGGCAGGGGAGGAGGTGTGAGGGTGGGGCGGGACACAGCAAAGATGCGGGGAAATCAACCCAATCATTGTGCCAACTCCGCTGTTACCTGCAGCCCCACGGGGCCCGGAGGCCCAGGGAAACCTCTCGGACCTTCGTCGCCTTTCTGCCCAAAGAGGCCCTGCTGGCCCCGAGGTCCCGGCTCGCCGTCGGCTCCCTGCGGGGAGATGGATGGGCGTGCTGAGGACCAGAACGGGACCACGGCAGCTCGAGGGGTCGGCGTCTCCGAGGGCAGTTAGCCGCGGATACTCACGGAGGGGCCTGGCTGTCCGATGGGGCCTTGGGGTCCTGTAGGCCCTGGGGGACCCTGTGGGAAGAGAGAGGTGGTGGCTTCCTGAGTCGCCGCTGAGGCCGCTGGGCATGGGGGCCGGAGGCCCAGCTCATCTGGGCCCTGCCCACGCGGGGCCCGCCCCGGCCAGGCTGCAGCTCTGGAAGGCGAGAGGCCTGGGGTCCAGCCCTGAGCATGCGCGGTAGCGGGCGGCGGGGTGGCCGTGCTGACAGTGCCAGAGGCCCCTGTGCACCGCCTCAGCCCCGTCACACACCCGTGACTCGGGCCGCGGAGACCCCGTTCAGAAATGAGTCAGGGGCTCCTGCACGGCTGAGCAAGGGCCTGACTCTGAAGGCCACGCCTGGCGCCAAACGCCGCCCCCAAGCACGTTCCACTGTTGGCCCAGGGAGCGTGGGGGAGAGGCCGCGCTGTGCGGGGAGCCTGACCGTCCCGACCAGCAGGGATGCAGTCCCTGCCCGCCTGGGAACACACACGCCGGCGAAGAAGTCCGCAGCGCAGGCCTCCTTCCGCGGCCCCAGAGAGGAGCCGCAGTCATGTGACACGGCTTGTGCAAGAATGCACTAGTATTTCTCAGCAGAATTTTTTTTAGGGAAAATTAAGAGGCATTTGGTCAGGGTGCTGCTGCTGCTGGAATATTCCGCGGCCCTTGGCGCTGAGAGGCGGTGACTATGTCCGTGGGACCAAACACCTCGAGGACAAACACACTCCATCTGCTTTACTTCACAAATTCTGTGAGGGCTTCCTATTCATCTGGTAATAAGGGATTCACTTACAGATGTGTGTTACAAACACACACACGTCTAACACATACCTGTGCACGCACACACACGTGCACACAGGCATGCACACAAGATTTCAACGGGGGGAAAGCCCAAGACCGGGTTCCCATTGGTTACAGGTGTGAATGTTCATATCTCGTTGGTGATGAGTCGCTCAGTCGTGCCTGACTCTTCGCGACCGCATGGACTGTAGCCCACCAGGCTCCTCCGTCCATGGGATTCTCCAGGGAAGAAGACTGGAGTGGGAACCTGTTCACTCCTCCAGGGGGTCTTCCCGACCCAGGGATTGAACCTGTGGCTCCTGTTGCATGTCCTGCATTGCAGGCAGATTCTCCACCACTGAGTTACCAGGGAAGCCTGGTTCCCTCGTAAGGGTGGTTAATGCCAGTGAGGACAGTGCCCCGAGCCGAGCACATGGCCCTGAGCCGCGGCTGCCCCAGGGGCCCCTTACCTGTTCGCCTTTGTCTCCCTTGCTCCCCTTCTGTCCCGGCTCCCCAATCTCTCCCTGTGGGGAAACGGGAAAGACCCGTCAGAGGGCCCAGTGACTGCTTGCACGTTCTCTGCTCCCTGTTAATTAATTTTTCTCCGAGAGTAAGAACCATTTCCTCTCCAGGGGGACCTCTAACTTTCCTAAGATGTAACATTTCCATATATTAATTTGATTTCCTCTTTAATAAGAGAGCTGGAAGAGATAAGACCTTGATTTTACACTTTGCGGGATTGTAGTAGATTTGAAAGTGTGGCAAAAAATCATAATGGAAATATTTACTTCGTCAAATAGGATGACAGGACAGTGTAATAAAGAACTCAATCACTATGCCTCCAGAACTATTAAAAACCCTCAGTGCTTCTGCTATGCCGGGCTGTCTTCCACCCTGAGAGGCCAGGCGTCAACACTGCAGAGGTGATACAAGTCGGAAATGTCACTGGAGAGTTCTCACAAACGGGGAGCTAAACCAGAGAGCTGAATTCCTCTGATTTCATTAAGTGGAGAATACAATGCTACAGTAACAGCATCAGATTATAAAGCATATTCCTAGTGAAAGGGGGCCTTGATGATTCCAGTGGAGACATTTAAAAATAGGTACTGAGTAAAACCTCATTAAACTCGGCTCCACAGATTTGGAATCTGAAATGCTTTAGAGTACTTCTCCTTGCTCTGGCTGCTACAGAAATGTCTTTGATGACATCAAAACTACACAAGAAGAAAGCACTGCCTGAGTCCCCTCGAGCATGTCAGAGACCTCATCTGTTACCGCTGTTTGGGAGCTATTCCAAAATCATCTGCTAACACCAAGAGCACCGGATGCACAGTACGGGGTCCCTCTGTCCCCAGAGCCCCTACAGCGCCTGCGTCCCTTGGTTTAAAAGGAACCCCGTCCAGCTCCGACCTGCAGACGCCGGCCAAGCTGGGCCATGCAGGGTTCCAAGACGGGGTGGGGGCTTCTCCAAATTCTTACCTTGTCTCCGTCTTCACCAGGGGGGCCCACAGGGCCAGCGGGACCGGGGAGCCCCACGGGACCCTGCAGACCGTCTCGGCCAGCTGGGCCTTGTGGACCTTTCTCGCCCTAGAGAGGAGAGGGGATCACTGTTCAAAGGCAGCTCCATCGTGTGAACATTGAAAGGGGGCCTTGATGATTCCAGTGGAGACATTTAAAAATAGGTACTGAGTAAAACCTCATTAAACTCGGCTCCACAGATTTGGAATCTGAAATGCTTTAGAGTACTTCTCCTTGCTCTGGCTGCTACAGAAATGTCTTTGATGACATCAAAACTACACAAGAAGAAAGCACTGCCTGAGTCCCCTCGAGCATGTCAGAGACCTCATCTGTTACCGCTGTTTGGGAGCTATTTCAAAATCATCTGCTAACACCAAGAGCACCGGATGCACAGTACGGGGTCCCTCTGTCCCCAGAGCCCCTACAGCGCCTGCGTCCCTTGGTTTAAAAGGAACCCCGTCCAGCTCCGACCTGCAGACGCCGGCCAAGCTGGGCCATGCAGGGTTCCAAGACGGGGTGGGGGCTTCTCCAAATTCTTACCTTGTCTCCGTCTTCACCAGGGGGGCCCACAGGGCCAGCGGGACCGGGGAGCCCCACGGGACCCTGCAGACCGTCTCGGCCAGCTGGGCCTTGTGGACCTTTCTCGCCCTAGAGAGGAGAGGGGATCACTGTTCAAAGGCAGCTCCATCGTGTGAACATCCTCCAGCAGCGCATCCCCTGGCGAGAGACCCACAGGCGGGAAGCGGGCGGCTCCTGGGGAGGGAGCACCCCCCAGGTCCTCACGGATCTGCCAGACGTGCCAGCGGCGGCTTCGAGTCCAGTCCTGTATCACCGGACCCGTGCACCTCCGTGGTTAACCCTCACCCATCCTGGGAGGGCCTACTCTCTCCCAGATGGGGAACAGAGGCTCATTCGTAAGCAGTAGAGCCGGATGCTCACCAGGGCAACCCGATTCCGGGTCCAGGTGGGCGATCGCCTGAGTCAGTGGCCAGGGCGTCTGAGCTCTGGCTCTGGCCAACTTGCTCATTCTCACAATTTTCTACTAATACCACCCCCCATGCCCCCCGAGCAGGAGCAAAAGCACCTGCACACACACACGCGCACACACACACGGGCACACACACGCACATGCACACACGTGTGCACACGCACACACATGTGCACACACATGTGCACACACGCACACACCCATCCTCCTCTCCTCACAGTTTTGGTTCACTTTCCTAACGGTCCCCTTGCTTATCCCAATGACCCTTACTGAGTTCTTGCTCTATGTTACCAGCCATGGGCGGCTGTGAGCGGCTGGCACTTTCTCACCCAAACCGGGATCCCCGTCTCTCGACAGAACCGGGAATGGAACCGGGAGGGGAGGCGGACAGGAAAGCGAGCCGTCTCCCGGTCCCTGGCAGGTCTCGCTGCGCCCGCATCCCTTCCTGCACCCTTTTCCCTGTCCTGCGGCACATTCATGCCCTGCTCCTCGACTGAGATCCCCCGCAAAGGCCCTTCCTCAGTTAAGCCAGAACAGGCCCAGGCAGACTGTGGCTCGGGTAGAGTCTTCCTGCTGACATGACACCTGACCTCTGCTCGGCCTTTTCTCCTCGGGCGGCTGTGCTGCAAACGTGACGAGCTTGTCACAGACGGTGCCACCCTGGGGGGTCTCTGCTCAAGCCCCGACTCTCCTGAAACAACGAACCCAAGCCACGTCTGCCGGGCTCTGCGTGCCGTGTGTGGGATATGTGCGCTGAGCGCCCGAAGGAGACGGGGCTCGGGCAGAATCCTGGGGGCTCTGCGTCCTACGGGCCCAGGGGACAGACTGGACACCTCCCAGGGGACAGACCGGACACCTCAGAACCGCCGATGATGTGCCGGACAGGTCGGCCAGGCACCCACATGTGCAGCGTGGTTCCCATGCGGACTTCTCGGCCGGGAAGGCAACCAGGGCCCTATTGCTACCGCCAAGCCGTGGGAAACCCATGAGAAAAACCACCCTCTCTAACAGAACTCAATCCTCACAGGTGTCTTCACTCAATGGGACATCATCCAGGTAGCCTGTCCCCCTGGACCTCAGACTTCTGAGATTCGGAATTTGGAAGGGAGCTCTGAGCTGGAATCTTTGTCTCCATGGCCAACTGAATGTGAGGGCAGGTGGGCGTCTGCACAATCATGAGGCACACATCAAATGTGGCTAGGGTGAGGGTTCGTCTGGGCAGGAAGGGGCGTTCGGGGAGACACTGGAGCAGAGGGGCTGGCAGTCAGCTTCCCAGGGCATGTCTGTCTAGACAGGAAGGGTCTCTAACCCCCTTCATGGAAGCCGAGACGCCAGACCGGCCTCCGCCTCAAGTGCTCATAAAGCCTCTGGGCGGGGCAGTCACACGGGCTCGGCAGGTGTGAGGCGTCGGCTGTTGGGGGTCTGGGAAGGGGTTGCTTATCTTCTCATCAGGTTGCCTGTCCCTTCTCTTCTCCACACCTGCCCCCAGACCCACACAGCAAGCACCCCTCAAATACCCACCTTGCCCCTACGCTGACCATCCTCTTGGGCCGGGCCCCAGGCCACGTTTGGATAGTCTCCACGCGCCCCTACCCCCGGCCCTGGCCTGCATGTCCCAGGGCACAGACGCGCAGGCCTGACCAGGGAGCCTGGCCCGGACACTCCCCGAGCGCCCCTCCAGCTCAGACCACTCTGGGGAAGCATCTGGCAGCCCTTGGACCTCAACCGTGACAGCCAGGCACACATCGCAAACTTCAGCACCCACCCCCCCCCACAGACCCCAGGGAGACGCCCAGGAGGACAGCCCAGGGCAGGGACCAAGCTCCTCCAGAGCAGTACTCACAGGCGCGCCTTTCTCCCCAGCCGGCCCGGGGGGCCCCTGGGGGCCCGGTCTCCCTGGAATTCCGATGGGCCCGGCAGCACCGGCTGGGCCTCTCTCCCCTGGAGATCCCTGGGCGAGGCAAGAAAGTGGTTTATTTCAAAGGCTCTCCAGCTGCGTGGGTGCAACTTCCTGAAGCCCCACACCATCATACCACGCACCCCCTCACTCTAGAGCCCGCCATAGCTCCCCAGGGCCCTGTGTGAGCACAAACTATCGGGCCTAGCACTTGAGGCTGTTTCTGAGCCCCTCCCACAATTCCGAATCCCTGCAGAGCGTCCGAGGACACCTCCTCTGTAAGTCCCGGCCTGGAGGGGCCTCTTCTGGGACCCTGGCACCTACTCAGACCTGCGGGCTCCGCCCGCCCCCGGGGTGCTCCCTGGCTGCCCGGCTGCTCCACGCTGTCCATTTTATGGGGGAGGCTCTGGCCCTGGGCCAGCACTGACAGGTGGGCACCTGGACTAATTCTAGGGGTCCAGCACTGAGGGACCCCGATTGCCCGGGAGGAACCCTGTTCCCGACCTTTATCAGAAGGAAGACAACTTTTCACCTCACTTCCTCCTGCCTTCCCCATCATCCCCCCTCAAACGGCCCCTAACTCGGGGTGGGGTGTCGTTTCATGGTCCACCCCCAAACCCAGCCCGGGGCCGGGGCCGCTCCTGAAGCCCCTCATCTGAGCAGATGAGCGGGGGCTGTTGGATGGGCCCTGTTTTAAGGGGGAAGTGAAGCAGATGTCATGTTCCTATAGAGTCAGATAAGAGCGCGGGTCCGTGGGCACAGCCTCAGGTGGCCCCGGAGTCCCCCAGACCGCAGCCCGGGGTCTCAAAGGTCTGAATCTTTAGGCTTCGGGTAGCTGAATATCACAGTTGGGAGGGAGCACTTAAGGAAACAGCCCGGCTCTGGGGGCCGGGCCCCCGCCTCTGCTGGGTCACCTGTGCCCTGAGCGGCCTTGGGGGTGTGGACGGCCTGGCTCGGGGGCTGGAGCTGCGTGTGCCCGTCCGGTCTGCTCCAGTCCTGGACCCGCGCTGAGCACCTCCATGGGCTCGGGGGGCCCACTCAGACCTGGTCCACACTCCCGGCCTTCTGAGTTCCCTCACACAGCACAGCCCCTCCCCGGGCCTTCGTCACGTTCTGGCCACATCCATCCCAAGCCCACCTCCTCCAGCACAGCTTTCCCAGGACCTCCGGGGGACCACCAGGGTCGGTGTGCATGCTCCCCGGCCCCGGGACCTGCCCTTTTGCAGAGCAGGCTTGGAGGAGAGTGGGGGAGAGGCTTAGTGCGGAGCCAGAACACTCACCGCGGGGCCTGGTGGGCCGGGGGGGCCTTCACTGCCTTTCAGTCCAAGCGCCCCCTGCAAAGCAACAAGGTGTGAACAGGGCACTGTGGAGGGTGGACACCCAACCATCCCCCAGCGGACCTCTCACTCACCACTGGACCAGGAAGTCCTCGGTCTCCAGGGAAGCCTCGCAGCCCGGGGGGACCGTCTTTCCCAGGAAGGCCGGCAGGGCCAGGGTCACCCTGGAATCGGAGTCACAGGTCAGCTTCGAGCGATGCCCACGGCCCAGGTGGACGGGGAGCCAGGTGGGGCCTGGTCTTCTAGATCCACTCGGGACCTGGGCTGGAGTGGGGCTTCCCGGGGTCACGGCTTTAAAAGGAACCTCTGGGTCTTGACTTGCTTCACTGGTTGATGGGTCTGGGTGCTGGAGCATGGCCTAAGCTCACACCTGGGAGCCTGCACAGCCAGCTGGCCCCGCGTGTGGTGTGGGGACCGACTCATGATCCGTGGAGTCCTGCTCCCCACCGCATCCTTCGGGGCCACGGCAGCCTGAGCGGGGCTGAGGGCTTCTCGTGTACCCAGGGATCCTCGTAAAACTGGCTCAGGTGAAGAACTCCGTGGCCAAAGCATTGGAAGCTTTGCCCGAAATGGACTCACCACTCAAGACACTCGTCTCGAGCCTGAACCACGTTTTCTGAAAGGATTCCCTGTCTGACCATGGACCTTCTCTGAAGTTCACTAAGGCTGTGATGTCTTCTAGGACTTCCTCTGGGGTCCCACGTGGGAGTGTAGGGGCGTCCTTTACAAACTCAGCTAGCTCTCTTTATGGCTGAATGGCTGTCTCTACGTTATACACACACACATATACGTACAAGCATACACACATATACAAAGGCACGTGTACATGTACTCCATCATACATGCTGCGCACACACATACGTGTGTGTGACCTTTTCGCTCCTTGGTTACTCTTCAAGTTTACTTTCCTGTACGTGGTCACGAAAAGGGCTGGAGAACTTCTCTCTCCTGAGTCCCTCACTGAAAAGCTGAAAGAGGCGGGCTAGTCGTCTTTATGCAAAAACACAGGACGTTATGACCACCAGCTTGGGGCACCCAGTCTGGGGATGGATTTTTTTATTATTTATTCTTTCACTGATGCTTTCAAATCGTGGTGCTGGAGAGGACTCTTGAGAGTCTCTTGGACTGCGAGGAGATCAAACGAGTCAATCCTAAAGGAAATCAACCCTGAATATTTATTGGAAGGACTGATGCTGAAGCTGAAACTCCAATACTTTGGCCTGATGCAAAAAGTCAACTCACTGGAAAAGACCCTGATGCTGAGAAAGATTGAAGGCAAAAGGAGAAGGGGGTGGCAGAGGATGAGATGGTTAGATAGCATCACCAATTCAATGGACATGAGTTTGAGCAAATTTTGAGAGGTGGTGGAGGGCAGGGAAGCCTGGCATGCTGTAGTCCCTGGAGTCGCGAGGAGTTGGACACGACTTAGCGACTGAATGACAATTTTTCATGTCTTAAAGTGGAGAATTTTTTAAAGGGTCACTTTCCGCTAACTTCAGTTTAGACACATGAAGTGTCAGAGTTCTGTCTGTTTCTGGGAATGGGTGGGCGGCCACTTCGGGTGCCCTGGGGAAGAGGTGGTCCAAAGCGCCCCATCATCTCTGTCTGGCCAGCTGGTCAGCTCAGGCCCTCTTTCCAAGTGAGCAGAGAGGAGCTGAGTCCCTGGTCTGAGGGGGTGCATTGGCATGAAAAGCAGCTGCTTGAGAATCACCCATTCATCAGAGAAAAGCAACGGAAAGACACAGAACAAGGGCCAAAACCATCCCCAGGAAAGTCCGCCCAGGACGGAGGTCCCAGCCACTCACCTTTGTCCCTTCTTTCCCGGCCAGGCCCGGGAGCCCCTGTTCACCGGGGGGGCCCGGGGGCCCAGGGTGGCCACGCTCGCCCATGGGACCAGTTTCCCCGGTGGGACCCTGCAGAGAAAAAGCGTGTCAGCAGGAAACACGTTCCAGGGACACGCAAGAAAGTAAACTTCTCTGCCCCAGTCTAAGGACAGGCTGGTTGCAGAGGTGAAGGGCCACTGCGAGCCCACCAGACCGCCGCCTTCCTTGGAAGGTCTCCTTCTGTAAAAGCCGAGCAAGAGCAAAGCGCTCCTGGGCGTGTGTTCACCAGCCACTGCCCGGCCCTCACCATGGTCCTGCGTGTCGTCCCCGATGGAGCCAGCAGGGCCTGCGCTTCCTGAGCCTCAGGGGGAACCCCTGTGCGGGGAAGGGCGGGGGGCGCGCACTCGTTTCCTGGGTCAGTATCTTATTTACCGCCACGTTAGGCGCAGACTTTCTGGGAAGCAAGGTGACTGCACCCCGCTTGGCGGCCCTGAGCCTGCAAGCCCATTCTCGCACAGATCCAAGGTTAGAATGGCAGCCCCAGGCACTGGATCCAGGGAGGGAAGTCAGGCTGCGTGGAGCCCCAGGGCTGAGCTGCCCACAGGGCGGCCCCCTGGCTCTGCCTGCCTGGTCGGCGTCGCGCGATCACTCCCCCTCTGCACCTGCTCTGCTGCAGGGAAAGCACCTCCGAACAAGCACTCCAGGCCTTGTGACGCCCCCTGGCTGCACCCGCACCCTGAGGATGTGGGGATCTTCTGCCCCGAGCGTGACGGTCTCTCCCGAATGGACGGGAACCCGGGACGACCAGAGATGCCAGCGGGGGCTGTGTCTCACCTGAGGGCGGACCAGAGATGCCAGCGGGGGCTGTGTCTCACCTGAGGGCCGACCACACCGGGCGGGCCTGGAGGGCCGGTCTTGCCTTGGAAACCCTGCGAAGAGAGAGTCAGCCCGCTGAGACGGCTGAAGCGGCCAACAGAAGCTCACCCCCAGCCCCCACCCCACCCCAAAACAGTGGATGTCCCAGAACTCATTTAAAAAGGCCATTTCTCTTGTTCTACTTTGCATGAATTTAGGAAGGTCAGGAAACCAGACAGGTTCCTTTCACTAGCTGCTTCCATCACCCCGCTTTGCGCTGAGAAATACACTCTGTAACTGCTCATCTTCCTCACATCACTAAGCGTCCACTTTCTGAGCAGACTTGGTGTCACAGCCACTGGAAACTAGACTCGGGAGCCACGTAGGGGCTGGAGCTCATTAGCGACTTTGAGGGGACTGTCCTGCTGGTGTCGCCAAGGCCCTGGGGCAGGACAGGCGGTGTTATTAAAATCTGGACGCAGCGGGGACCTGCCACTTCCACAGTGCGGCAGCTGGGAGGTATTCTTAGCTCAACTCAACAGGAATCGCTCGTTTCTGCTCCGCTCGCTGGCACGGACCCGGCCGCCTGGCTGCTCTGCACATGCTCTCCCCCAGAGGCGAAGCTGACGGCAGAGCACCGCGGGTTTAATTTCCGGCACATCCATGGAGCTCAGCACGTGCAGACAAGGTGCCATCTGCAGGTGCCACGTGACGCTGGGGAAGACGTGCAGATGCTATGCCTGGGAGGCTTTCAGTGGAAACTCTACAGCGTCCGGAGAGGGAAGCGGCTCATTTAAGGCCAGCTGCCCACGGGGCTGACAGGCAAGGGCCTCTGCCCCACCCCACGACAGCCAGCGAGCGTGCAGCTGAGGGACCCTTGATGCTCGGCCGCTGGACCCTGCAGACCCAGAGCAGAGGGAGCTTCAGGCAGAGTCTGGGAGGGCTCCCTCTTTAGGCCCAGCGGAGCTGCACGCACGGGCTGACACGGCCGCGGCCGAAGCAGCGTCCCCGCAGGCGGCCTGTGTGTGCTCAGCCGTGTCGACTCTTGGTGACCCCATGGACTGTAGCCCACCAGTTTCCCCATCCATGGAATTTTCCNCGGGAAGAACCTGTCCTACTTTCCCAGCAAACAAGCGGCTTAATCACTCTGCCAGCTTCTTCCCAGAAGAAGGCAGAGGGGACAGCGCACACTGTGAGATGAGAAACCTTCCGTCTGGTCTGCTCAGGAAAGCATTAGAGAAAAATCTGCAAAGCTGGGGGAGTTTTAATTTTTCTCCATAAACAAAAGACCAAAGTAAACTCTGTTTATCGGCCACTGAGCACCAGGGAGAACGCCAGGACGGCACATTTAGAAGATGCTTCATCACTGTGAGCCAGAAAGGGATACGGGGATGTTTTTAAGCGGCACCAAGAACCTATTAAGTGTGCTGCAAGGGATCTCACTTCACGAGGGGACGGCTCCTCCCGGGAGAGTCCGTCAGAGGTCTCTGACCACACAGACACCAGATGCAGACACAAGGGGCCTTCTCGTGGGCCACCCTCCACCACCATGGCGGCCAGGAGGTCACTAAGCACTGTAAACCCCAACTATCCAGAGCGGGGATGCCCAAGGTCACTGTTGTGCCCACACCCTTCCCAGGGACAGGCCTGGAGGGGACACAGCATGAAGCACGGTTGAATTCCCTGCGGCTCCTGGGACCAGGAAGTGATCCCAATGGCTTTTCTAGAACTAAAAAACGTAGGCGTCCATTAAGTCCAGCTGTCGAAGACTGTCGCAGATACTGCTACAGGTCAGGGCAAGGCCAAGGTGAGCATGTAACAGCAGAGACGCTGGCCCTGAGCACAGCCAAGGGCCCAAACTCCAACTCGACCGGCCACCCGTCCCCCTTACTGAAAAGGGGACTCGGGGGGAGCCATCTGGCCCCCTACTGTCTCCCCGAAGCCAGAGGGCTGGGACGAACAGGGCTGGGGGCGGCAAAAAGTAACCGGACAAGCTGGAAATGAGGACCTTCCCAAGGAGCATCCAGTTCAGACATGCGTGGTGTGCGCTGGGCCGCTCTCGGACCCTCCCGGAGGAGGCGGAGGCCACTGCTCTAGGTTTTCTTGGCGTCACGATAGTTGCACGTGTGACCTTGGGCCAGTCTGGCCAGGACGGCTTGAAGCCAACACCTACCCTCACACACAGAGGCCAAGGGGCGACTTGGAGGCCGTGGAACTCCGTCCAGACAGGCCGCATCCCGCAGCCACAGGAGCCAGCCGGCTCTCGGGGGGCTTCCCAAGGTGGAACCTCAGCCCTGCCTGAGCCGACCAGCAGCGAAGGTCGCGGCGCCCACATCCCCCGGCCCTGCCCACACTCACCGTCTCGCCTCGCTGTCCGGGGTGTCCCGGGAGCCCGTCCTTGCCTGGGGGCCCCTGCAGAAAACAAAGAAAGGAAGCGTCATCTCATTCCGAGACGTGCACCTTCAGGGCTTCGTGCCACCCCAGGGGACAAAAGCTACCATTTCATTTCCAAGGTGATAACGGCCAAGTCATAGTGACAAGCACTGCTGGGCGCCCGGGGTCTGGGCACCACCCCCTTGAACCCTCACATCCACCCGGAGGTCACTGTCGTCACCCACGGGGAGAAGCCAAGGCATCAGCTGCCCTGAGGCCCGAGTGCGGGAGGCACTGGGCCCAGGTCCGTGCAGTGTAGAGGTTGAGCCCCTTCCTAACCCCCGTGCCCACGAGAGTTCCGATAAGCAGCAACTCCTGCGATTAGGGCATTTTCCTTCTCAGAGGAAATACAGTGTTATCTGTTGCGAGCTGAGCCATGCCTCTCCCCACCACCACCAGAAACAATAGGCTGAGGTCTTAACCCCCGGAAGCTGCGACCCTGGCCTCATTTGGGAACAAGGTCACTGCAGACGGGATCAGGTCAAGGTGAGGTCTGGCTGGGTTACGCTGGGCCCTCATCCAGGGACCAGTGGGTAGAGACAGAGAACGTGAGACAGAGAAGAGAGGAGAAGGCCAGGCGAAGATGCAGGCGGAGGTGGGTGTGAGGGTCCACAAGCCCGGGAGGCCGGGGGCTGGGAGAGGCCTCCGGGGGAAAAATCGGACCCTGACTCCTGGAGTCCAGGCTCTGGCCTCCGGACAGGGAGAAAACGCGTTTCTGTGGTTTTGAGGGGCTGGGCTTGTGGCCATTTGCCCTAGCGGCAATACCACACTGTCTCAGGGCCGACTGGACAGTTGTGATGGTCTGGATGACAGAGGGCTCCATGCGCCCCAAAGCTGCCCCTCCAGCCAGAGCTCCTGGGCTGGCCTCCCTCCCCGAGCCTGCTGCCTGGAGGCCGGAGCCCTGGGGAAGGACCAGCATCTCCGGGACACCCTGGGCCGGCCCCACAGGGAAAATGCGGTACTCACCGGGGGGCCCTTTGGTCCAGGGAACCCCGTGGGTCCTTGGGGTCCGTTGGGTCCCTGGGGACAGACAACAGCTGGTATGAGGACAGACATCTCCCCAGCACGTGGGCCCAGCAGCCCCACCACCAGATCTCTGAGCACAGGCATGGTTAGCCCTGCTCCTCATGACTTCTGAAAAGCTCTTTCCAGCCCTGCTCTCACCGATGTGAAAAGGAAGTCCAGTCACACAAGAAGGTCCCTCGGGGCAGTGGGGGGCCCAGGACTCAGTTTCCTGACAACTCAGCCACCCCCCCACCCCAAACCCCAAGGCCAGGGCCAAGGGGATGGGGTCACCACCTCCAACCAACAGAAAAGACTTTACTCCCAGGGAAGGCCACCTCCAAGCCACCTCTGGGTTTCAGGAACCACCCTCCTTCTCCAGGGTGGAAGGCGGGCTGTGCTCTGCCCCACCCACCCAGGAAGACATGCTGGGGGCCGCTGAGGGCAGGCAGCTCTCCTGCAGATGCTCCCGGGGCGTCCTGGACGTGTCCAGGTGCTTACCCGTTCACCTGGAGGACCGGCCGGGCCATCGCCTCCAGAGTTGCCCTGGGAAGGCAAGGAAAGAGCAAGAAGAGTTTATCATTACTATTTCTGTCATTACTATTTTTGATGGAAAGACTGGCCCATGACATCATCACAGGTGCAGAACCGCCTAGCGCCCCTGCGCCCTCTGGAGTCACCCCGCCTGATCCTCCGAACGGAGCAGAGCGTGAGCCTCGGGCGGTTCTCGCCTCTGCACACACCGAGCCGGCCTTGCCGGAGCTGGGATGCTCCCAGGAGAACGCGCTGCTGCCCTGGGACAAAGGCCAGGCTCCCACCAGGGGCCAACGCTCACGGGGACACGGGACACAGCCTGCGTCCCGGGGCCCACCCAACAGCAGGCAACAGCCGAGCGTGAAGTCAGCCTCCTGGGAGCGTGACTGGGCCCAGAGCTCGTCACGGAGGGGCTCGGGCAGCCCCCGGGCCAGCTGTGCCCCTGCCTGGCTCTCCACCTCGGCCAGCCGCGGGCCCATCTCTTTCGCAGCAAAGTGCAGTGGGATCACGCCCTGCACAGCCCAGGACAGGACGGCCTGCTGCCTGGCTGAGGTCTGCTTCCACGCCGACTGGAAGAGTCGGTGTCAAGGCCCCAGGGCGGGAGAAGAGACCTTAGAGGCGGGCCTGGGCTCTTGCAGGGGCGTAAAGAACTTTCTTTAGAATTCCGGCAAGATGTCTCTTCCAAAGCCCTCTCCAAGAAGAGAAACGAGGCCTCCCCATCACAGCTGGGGGGACATTGGTCCAAAGCCTGGCTGGGCCTGACCTCCACGCTGCGGTGGCCCCAGGTGGCCTCTGTGATTCGACCTCACCTAACTCAACCAGCTCCTTCTTCAATACCCCCAAGAAATCTTCTTTCATTCTTTTATTTTTTGCAGTGGAGAAGGCCATGGGGCCCCCTCTGTGGGGGTGGACAGCATCAAGAACTCGGGGTCAGGCCGGGGCCGCAGAGGAGACCGCACACGCACCTTGGGGCCAGGCTTCCCGGTGATGCCCCGCGGGCCTCTTTCACCTCGTGGGCCCTGGACAAACGGAAGAGAAGACAGGTGGGCCCCAACCCTGCGTGCACAACACCTTCATCCCCGCTCCCAACAGGCAGGCGCCCCACCACCCACGCCCAGCCTGGAGGCCGCCCTCCACCCAAGGTTACCGTCGGGCCTCGCTGCCCCCGTGGTCCCGGCTTCCCAGGGGTGCCCTGCAATCAGAGAAGGGTGTTGGTCAGTCACGTGGCACGCCAGCCACTGCCTGGGTGATGCAGAGACTGCTGGAAGTCAAGCTAGAAAGGCCCACCCCCTCATCTTGGCTTTAAAGGCAGACGTGTTAGGGTGGCAGGTGGCACCGCTCGGGCAATGCACACAGCTTCACGCGTCCGCACGAGGGTCTTCTGAAACCCTGGCTCCCTCTGCCACATGAGGGGTGTTTACCTCTCTTCTCTGGTTTCCTCCCCTCAAAGCACTCACTCCCCCCGCCTCCCCCTCCTCCAACCTTTCCTCTTCATCTCTCACAGCAGTGGAGGGGGGGCGGGGATCATTATTACAAGAGGAGAAAGTCAACCCCTTTCATACATAATTTACTTCCGCTACAGTTAAGGATATTAGCCATTAAATTTTCAACAGGCTCTGCAGACAAACAAACTTGCAATTTAATATATAAATCATACATCCCAGAGTCATTTGCTTCTCTTCTAATAGAATTTAGACTCCTTCTCTCCGTTGTTTTGCATTTTCCAAACCACGGAAAACAAATGCACTGCAATTTTTTTCCCCAAAGCAAAGACATAATAGCTCTAAGTGCAGTTTACCTACACGCGTGCAAGTAACGGATTGATCGGGGCCCTACATCTCCACTGCGTCTCCATTCATTTTCCGGAGTTATTTTTTTTCCCGGTTTCTAACGACAAAGCCCAAGATGGATCTGCATTGCTAAGGGCCACCTGATACATCTCCTCTCACCATCTTTCACTCATTTGCTGCCAGAACCGAAACTGCTTTCCAGATCCTCCCTTTTTGAAAGGAATTTAATAAAACCGTTTATGATGATGAGGTAATTACGATGCTTTTAAACAATGCACGCTGGTCTCACTGCTTTCATTAGGCGGCGGTATCTCTTGGCTTCAAATAAATATTTGCCGACGAGAATTAATGAAACATCTGCTTTTTTTCAACCGACGGGCTCCCACCAGCGGGAGACCGTGGCCACTCCGGGTGACTCCTGGCGTCTGCGGGTGAGTCCAGAAGGCATGTCAGCTCATGCCAAGCCTCCGTCCAACAGCACGGCCTGGATCACAGTTCTGATCTTGCAGCCTGACCAGCTCTTGGTTCCAACCTAAACAAACTGCCCAGCCTCAGCCTTGGATTCTGTTGGCCTCCCAGGCGACACCAAGCTTCCCAGGTTTCCTCGTAAATGAAGCCAGAGTCTGCATCCTGGTGATGGAGGCCGCTGGACAGAAGATGCCCCACGCACGGCCTCCTCAGTGAATCTCCTGTGAGCGCCTGTCCGCGTGGCCTTGCAGGGGAAGCAGGGGCCCTCCCAGAACTGGCCTCGCTAAAGTCGAGATGCCCTAAGCTGGTGATGGAAGCTTCCGATTGCTGGTAGCGTTGCTAAGGGGCTGGCTCTTCCAAGCCAGTCTGGCAGGGACCCCGACTTGGACCAGGGTGCAGGCCAGTGACAGGGACAAGCCATCAGCTGGTCACGTGACAGCTAGCTGCACACGGACCTCCCAGCCAGTGGTCCGCCAACCCAGCCAGCCCCTCCAGAGAGGCCAGGACGAGGCAGACGGACGAACACCTGCTGGCTCTCAGGCAGCCCACACACGGGGGCACACACGTGTCAGCACACACGCCACCGTCACGTCCAGTATCCCAGCCCCCAGATGCATCTGCATAAACCCCGAAGTAGACAGTTTCCTCGAGGTGTCCAGGCTTCAGGCCCCGGGAACCAAGTCAGACTCTCAGACCAGGAGCAAGGCCCCGGTCCGAGGCCCCCTGCTTTCCAGCCACCCTTTTGCAGTGATGACCTCGGTGAACCACCTGCCAATGCCCTGGAACAACGGCCTGTGGGGGCCGGGGGTGTCTGGGCACCTGCCCAGCCTTCTCAGCTCAGGGGTGGGGCGGCTGAGGAGCGGGAGAGGGGAGCAGGGCTCGGGGCGGAGTGCTGGTCCCAGGGCCACGATCAGGCCTCCGCGGCGTCCCCAGCCCGGCTCCTCCATGCAAAGGGGCGGCAGTCACATCACAGGCCCCTGTTAGTTGTCGTGACCCCTCCTGGGGATTCTCTCGGCAACGTGGTGTGCAAGGCCCTGTTCTCGAGCACCGGGGCTGCCGAGGTTCCTCTGCTTTTAGAGACCCTGGACTACTTTCCACGAGTGACTGCCTTTCCCCAAGATGCTAGTCAGACTGTCCCCACCAGGAGGAATGAGACAGATAGGTAGGCAGGTGGGGGGCAGACACACGGACAGATGTAACTACAGACACGACATAGATAGAAATATGTGTAGACACGTCCAGACACCGACACACCACAGATCAGGGTCTCCCCTTGGCATGCAGTCGACCTGCACTCAAGAAGCCCCGTTTTCTCTTTTCTGAGTCTGGCAAACACGTCCATTTATGTGGACTTTGGTTGGCTTTAGGTCTTCCCCCGTGCTTTCAAGAGATCACAGTGTCAGCTCAAAGACAGCAACGGTGGTTGGAGTGACCCCTCAGCGGGGGCAGCCTGTCCGCCTGGGCGGGGAGGACCGGCCCAGGCCTGCCCTGCACACTCCACACGCCTTTGCTCAAGGCTGCTCAGAGTCCAAAGGCCCAAGAGGACCTTTTGATCCCGTTCAGCCGGGAGCAGTTGCTTAGGCCACGCTGTGTGGTGCCCCTAAGCAGGTTTCAAGGCAGTTCCCGCCGGAGGGCCTGGGCTGGCGAGGCTGGGGGGACGGCCCCCCAGCCTAGGCCCTCGGATCACCTTCGCACTCGATGACAACGGAGGGAAGCCAGGCCCGCTGCCCCCCAGAGGGTGTCCAGTGTCGGCAGCAGCCCGGGAAGATGGGGGGCACCTGGACCCTGGACGAGGGACTCGCTGAGACATCAGCGCAGAGCAAGGGCCCTTCCCCGCCTTTTAAAACGAGTCACTTGAGCTGCAAGGGAAGAGTCTGGGTTTCGCCAGTGACCCGAGAGCGGCTGCGATCGCGGCAAGTGTGAGAAAGCGCTGTGTCCTCCACACGCCTCCCTCTCTGGCCGGCTGCCTGATCTACCGCACTCCCGCCCGGCCCAGCGTTCCGAGAGTCACCAGCGCTTAGTGTAAAGACTTAAGGTCAGTTGTTCCGGAAAGCAGTTCTGGCAGCAAAGTGGGTGAGAAATAAACAGGGTCTGCTGGAGAACCGACTCGCTAAACACCGAGGCAGCAGAACAAGCTGCCTGGGCAGAGGCCAGGCCGTCCTTACCCTGCCACCCTTTTCTCCGTTGGCGCCAGGAAATCCAGGAAATCCGATGGAACCCTGCAAGAGAGTCCACGAGGGAAGAAGCCTGAGCGCCTGGGCAGGGACAGCTGTGTGCCGGCGCAGCCGGGGACGGGCTGCCAGAGCCCTCAGCCCCGGGAGACTCCCCACCACCACCCACCACTCGCCACCCAGCCGCCCACCGCCCACCACCCGTCCACCCATCCTCCCACCACCCATGCCTCCATCCACCCCTCTACCCACCATCCATCCACCCACCATCCATCCATCTACCCACTACCCATGCACCAACCATCCATCCATCCATCCCCCCACCACCCACCCATCCATCCATCCACCATCCCCCCATCCACCCACCTACCCAAGCACCACCCACCCACCCATCCATCCATCCTCCCACCACCCATGCCTCCATCCACCCCTCTACCCACCATCCATCCACCCACCATCCATCCATCTACCCACTACCCATGCACCAACCATCCATCCATCCATCCCCCCACCACCCACCCATCCATCCATCCACCATCCCCCCATCCACCCACCTACCCAGGTACCACCCACCCACCCATCCATCCACCATCCACCACCCATCCCTCCATCCCCCCATCCCTCTACCACCTGCCCATCCATCCATCTATCCCCCCACCACCCACCCACCATCCATCCATCCATAGTCCACCTATCTACCCACCCACCCACCATCCACTCATCTATCCACCATCCACCATCCATCATCCACCATCCATCCATCTACCCACCCACCATCCATCCATCCATCCACCCACCCACCATCCATCCATCCATCCAACAAACCACCCATCAACCTACCCACCCACCACCCACCTCTCCAGTATTTCCTGAGCATCTCACAGACTCCAAATCTAAAAATCAGAACTAAATCTTAACTGTGCTTCCCCTTCCTCCCTCTCTCCACACCCTCCTCTCTCACCCATGTCTGCAAAACACTGGTGTTTTGGGAGAAAAGAGCATGTACCCACGATTAACTGGGGGAGACGTGTGAATCTCACATTTGTGACATTTGCTTTTTGCGCCTTGTTGTCATGTTTTATCTTCTCAGAACACCTCTAAATAAAGCATGGCAGCTTACAAAGTCAAAAATGAATGCAAATTTATGCACCAACCATGGCATCGCATGGCTCTTTTAATTCTAGAACTTTACAAGGTACACACAGGCAGGTAAGCACTTAAGAGCTTTGATTGGACAAACATCCAAACACCTACTATGTGAGCTCCCGCTGACCCTGTCTAAAGCATTTCCTGAGTCCGTCTCTACCCTCCACCTGACTTAAAACCCTGACCTGAATGTATGCCTAGACCAGGACAAGTTTACTGATGCTACCTCTGCCAAGGGGCTCAGCTTGGCCAACCCACCCGTGTGCCGCCTGCGGATACAAGGAGGAGACTGGACCGAGCTCTGTGGCGGGAAAACCATGGGTGCTGGCTTCACGGCTCTCGGCTCAGGAGCGGGGTCTCTGCCCCCAGGACCGTCCAAACTGCCCAAGCAGCTTCAGGGTTCTCCCCCTGCCTTCACAAAAAACTGCCTGAACTTGATCTATACCCCCCACCTCGTCTCTCCCAAACTCCTCCTTTCTTTCCCTCCCCCCACCAAATGGACACGCATTTCAGAAGAGGAAACGTGTCCATCAGGGTCTCTCTGCACCAATGCAGTGGCCAGCACCAGTCAGTAGGCACGTCGCTAACAGACATGAAGCAAAACTGTTTCATGGCAGATGATTCCCTCCCGAGTGGCGGCTGTGGGCTCACCCACCCGGTGGGAAACGTGCCGCTCCCCAGGGAGGACTGCTGTGGGCACTGCCATCAGCTGCGTGGGGACACCGAGAGCTGCAGCCCAGCCCGCGGACCCTGCCTCTCCTGCCAAGGAGGGCGTCCGGAGGCTTGAAGCCAGAGGAGGGCAGGATGCGCTGTGTGCGAGGACGTGCAGGGCGGGGAGACGCCCGTGGTCAGGCCTCACCAGCCTGTACGTTACCTTTGGCCCCTGTCTTCCTGGGTAGCCTGGCAGTCCTGGGACTCCGAGTTTGCCCTGCGGAGAGAAAGGAGGTGCGTCACGAGCCGGCTGGCCCTGCTTGGAACAGAGAGGAAGCTGGCGAGTGTCAGCAGAGGGACTGGAGCAGGGTGCGGTCTCCATGGCCTCCAGAGAGAGCCTGCCTGTCCTCCTGGGATAGTGTCTCCCCCAGAATCCCTGCATGGTTTGGAGCAAGGCCCCTCGAGCAGGAGTGGACACCCCTGCTGAAGCCAACGGGTGGAGGCTGATGCCCCGCGTGCGGGAAAAGCGCTCTCTGTCTGTGGGGTTTTGCTCAATCCTTCTGTCGGAGCACCCCAGCCTTGGGGCCAGACAGGGTGGGGTGTTTCGGCTACTTGTGAGCCGGTTCCTGTGTGGGGGCTGGGGTAGGGGGTGGGAGAGTGAGATGAGGGGGCGGCCCCCCCACAGGTGTAAGAGCAGCTGTCAGGAGCCCCGGATACCAGCCCTGAGCTCAGTCAGGAGCTAAGCCAGAGGAGGAAATCCCCCCAGGAGCGGTGAGGTGGCCCAGCAGGACGCACACCGGCCCCACCCAGGGCGCCTGGACGCCCCGGGCCGTCGGGAGGGCTGGTGCCCGGAAGCGGCCCGGCTCCCGCCTCACGTACCTTCTCCCCAGGGGGTCCCAGAGGACCCGGGTCGCCGTTCGGACCACCTCGCCCCTTGGGGCCTTCAGGACCGTCCTCCCCTCTGGGACCAGGTGGGCCGATCTCTCCCTGCAGGTCAGAAGGAGGAGATGAGGGTATCGCCCACAGACTGCGGTCCGTGGGGCTGCCCCCACCGTCTGGGAGTGAGGGGTGGGTGGCAAGCGTCGCTGGGCCGGCTCAAGCAGACCGAGCCCCGGCCCGGCCCCGGGAGACCAGGCACTGCTGAGCGGCTGCAGCCCCTCGGCGCCCACTCTAAGGCCCACGGCCTCCTCTTCCCAGTGACCTCCAGTCGAGCACCTCCTGGCTGGACTAGGGTCTCTGAACTGCTATTTCCCCACCAGGAAGGGGGCAGCGGCAGGGGAAGCTGCCTTCTTCTCCTGAAGACTTGGGAGGTGCCGGAAGGGCCCAGGAGCCCGGCCAGACTGAAGCCTGAGAGTCAGCGCACACAGAAGACCCACAAGCTGTGTCCAGAGACTGAAGGGCGAAACGCCGCCTCACCAGCTCTGCCAGGTGCAGGCCGGGAGGCCTGAGCCACAGTAGGAAGGGGGCCTTGGGAGCCGAGTGAGGGTGGCAGCGGGAGCCCAGCCTGGCCACAGAATGCCCGCCTGGCCTTGCCGTCTGCGTGGGGCCCTCCTCTGATCCCCGGAGTCCAGGAGCAGCTGCAGGACAGCTGTGCAAACCACCCCCTAGAAATGTGCGTGGCAGGAATAAAGCCGGCTAACGGCTCCCTCGTTCCTCGGCCCCAAGCTCTCTGCAGGCCGAGGACGCTCTGTCCCTAAGAAGCGCTTTGCTCACTCAACCCGAGAATCCTTCCCATGTTTACTGAGCCCTCAGGAAATTAGGAAATGCCAAGCATTGGCAGAAATGCCTCTCCAGGAGAAATTAAGATGGAAGAGGCCCCCTCCCAGCCCCCCCTCCATCCTCAGCCAGAGGTGAGTCCAGGGCACGGCGTGTGACTGGGGTTCGGCTCTGGAAAACGTGTGCCTCACGTTGTTGGAAAGGAAGATAAACGGGGCTTTCACCAGCCAGACAGTGAGAGGCCCCTCAGATGTGGGGAGCCATCACCATAGAGAAAATTCTAGAAGGGCTGTCTTTGGCAGCGGCGTCACTGGGACAGGACTGTGAAAGGAACGCCTCTCTGTTCTTCCCCTCCTTCTGACGGAGGCCCGGATCCCATCTGCCTGTCCAGCATGGGACAAAGCGCCACGCCACAGGCCCCCTGGTTCTGGCGGGTTCTGGAACGGCACCTGCGGGCCCGCTTTGTGGGGGACAATCAGGGCAGCTGGCCACATGGCAGCCCCGTTCCCGCTAACGGTGTCCATCCAGGTGTGGATGCAGCTGCTGCCTTGGCGGGCCCCTCCGGGGGTGCAGGCCTCTGCTCCTTCTGGACTTACTGGGGGGTCTCCAGGGTGTCCCCACAGCCGCAGGCAGCTGGCCCGCCAGCCCAGCCCCGCAGCATCACCTGTATCACCCTCCCTTCCACGGAGACACCGCCACCGGTTTCTGTGGGCATCTGCAGCGTGGCACACCCCAGCCTGCCCGCACCCTAGCCAGCTCCCCTGGAGCTGAGGCAGTATACTCACTAAAAACCAGCCAGGCTGCTGCAGCCTCGGACAGCCCGGCCCAAGGTCCAGAAGGGACTACGGCGGGGTCTGAGGGCATCTGAAGAGGTGGTTGGTGGCCCAGACGCCCGAAGGGCTGGTCAGGGTGCCCAGGCCCCGGTCGGGGTGTGGCCCTGCTGGTGACCCGCCAGCAGTCTCTGGCAGGATGCAGCCCTCCCTGGCGAGCTGGGCCATTTCTGCGACCCCTTCTCTCTCCTGGACACCTGTTTCACTTCAGGAGCCAAAGGAAGTGCCCTGCAAACCAGGGGCGCTGCTGGCCAGTCGCTCAGTCGTGTCCGACTCTTTGTGACCCTGTGGACTGCAGCACTGGCAGGGTACTGGCCAGCAAGAAGAAAGTCCCCACGGATCCCCTGATGGATACAGGGCAGGAGGCAGGTGACCCCACAAGCGGGGTGGGACCAGGTGTTGGCTGCCGCAGCTCCTGGCTACAAGCTGGGGAGGAGCTGGCCGCTGCTGGTGGCCAGGAACACCACGGAGGCCTCAGCTCCGTCTTGGGAGGCCGCCCTGTGGCCCCTCCCTGCCTCCAACACTCACCCGATCGCCCTTGATGCCCATGTCTCCTTTGAAGCCCGGGAAGCCGTCTTCACCCTGCAGGGGAACCAGAGAGAGCCTCAGTCTGGGGGAGAGAACCCCCATCCGGCTCGCCTACCCCACGGGCTGATGCCAGGTCGGGACTCTGAGTTCCCCAACCCGGCCCTCGGGAGCTGTGTCCCTGTTAACCCTTTGCCTTCTGCGGTTCTGGCCGGCTTGCAGCAAGAAGGCTGCAGCCCTGGAGGCCTGGCTTCACTGTGCCCCACCCCGGGCAGGCTCTGTAGACACCCGTTCCTTAGAGTCTCTGTCTCGTATGCGCATGACCGCAGGCCCGGTAGCGGGTGACAGGTGGATTTGAGGAGGGGGAGACTGACAGAAGACCCCCAAGAGGGGCGGGGCCGAGACTGATGGCCTCGCAGGAAGGCCAGGAGCTCTCTGCCAGGCCAGGCTACAGAGGGGTGGGCGGTCGGGGCGCTCGGTCACTGGGTCCCAAGGTTCACGGGGAGCTGCATACACCGGCGCTGTCAGTGAACTGGGGGTTCACACATCAGTGGTCTTCCCCGGCTCTCGGCCAGGCCCCAGCGGGGGGACGGGGACACTCACCTTCTCACCCTTGGTGCCCTTCAGGCCTCGGATGCCGTCTGCCCCCTGTGCAGAGAGGGAAGGGGAGCAGTCACAGCCCAGGCTGAACGCGGGCCTGACCCCCAACACCCGGGAGGCTGAGCGCCCCCACAGACAGCCCGCAGCACCCCGGTCTCGGGAGAGGGTTCCGGGCACGCGGGTCCCCTCCACCCCCACCCTGCTCTCTTCCGGAAACACCCCGTCTCCCTTTGGCTTCGGGGGCAGGGGACCTGAGCTCTGAGCTGGGGCTCTAGATTCAGGCAGACGGGTTCAGGGCCCCCTCTGCAGCTTCTGACGAGGCCCCAGACTTCTGTTCACTTGGAAGGTCAGGGTGACGGCAGCCCTCACCCCGTCCCTGCTGGTGAGGGGAAGCCCTGGGGTCTGTGCGTGGCACACAGCAGATGCTCAGCAGGGCTGTGTTCCGTCTGATGGTTTTCATTCTCTATCACTATTAGTATTTGATCAAAATTATAACAGCGTTTTAATAGCATTAATTATCACCGAGTAACACCGACCACCCCGTCCCTCTCATTGGATCGGCTGAGGACTCGGCTCATCCTCGTGCTGAGCAAGAACCATCAGGGCAGGACCAGTCCGAGCCCGCCGGACCAGGTGAAACGGCTCCATCCCGGGGACAGACTTGGCGGCCGCGGCCCACCAGCCGGTCTGCTTACTGGCCGGGTGCGGAACCCATCCCACGGACTGCCCCGGCAGCCTCAGGCCTCCCGCCCGTGGGGCCCCGGAGAGGCCGGCCTCCCGCTGGGATCCGGCTGAGCCTGCGGCCAGACCCTGGTGCTGCCGGCTGCCCTCTTGTGGCAAGAACTCTGCTCAGAGCCGGCAGCTCTGAGCCTGTGCCCGGAGGCCACGGCGGGCTGAGGAGAGCTGCGGAGGTGGAGGGCCGGGTCAGACAGACGCAGAGAGTGGAGAGCAGGCTCCGCCTGCGCCCTGGGAGCCATCCCAGGACACAGTCTGCCCCCTGACAGAGGAGCAGGGACCCTGAAACCCCGATTTTGGGGGGAGGCTCTGGCACCTGCTCTCCTGCACCTTGTCCAGCAGGCCGGAAGGGCTTCCCTCCCCACGCCCAAACAGAGAGAAGAGGGGGAGACAGGATTGGGCGGATCCCTGCCAAATCTGAAGTTCTACGGCCTCAAGACCCGTCCGAGGCAGGGGCCGGGGACCCAGAAGACCAGGGCTTCCCGGCCTGAGCGCTGCTGCCTCAGGGTCTAGATGGTTCTTTGTTGTGAGAGTGCCCAGGCACATAGGGGGTGGAGCAGGCTCTCAGACCTCTGCCCATCAGTAGACCCTGACGCTCAGAAACGTCTCCAGGTGTCCCTGGGGGGAGACTCCACCCCGGGTGAGACCCCTGGACCAGAGCACCCACCATGGCCCCGGTGGCCCAGGGTTCAGGGAGGGAGATCCAAGGTCACAGAACGGTGGAGGGGCAGGGCCGTCGGGGTCACCATCTGTGAGGGCATGGAGGCTGACGGGGCTTCCCAGGCCTGGAGTGGATTCACATGGAGGGCTTCCACCAGCCCCCCAGCCCCGCAGGCTCAGCGAGCGGCCATGTGATCTCACAGTCAAGCCCAACAGACCCCTGAGAAAGGGGTAAGTTGGGGGGCAACCAGGGGATGCATAAAGGTCAGTGAGATCAAAGAGCTCAGAGGGGCCCTTTTCTAGGGAGGAAGGCAGAACTCGGGTGGAGGAAAGTAGAGGGCCTCGGTCTCCCAGGGCAACTGTGACACTGGGCTGGCCTGCACCTCCGCAGTCACCGCCCTCCGGGCCTTGTCACGCCAGGGGCTCCGCGGTGTTCAAGCACACAGGCATGAGAACCCACTAATCAGAAAACAGCGCCCGGCCTGCTCTCCCTCCCACCCTCCGCTCGCCCATCCAGCGGGACGGCGCGTGTCTCAGATGAATTCTAATCAGGCTGACAAGATAAGAGCATTCTCCGTGAGCATCTCAGAGTAGACACCTTTCTGGCTCACAGCAGCAGTGCCTCGCAGTTGGCTGTGGATGGTGGCTGGCACAGGCTCTTTGTGCAACTGGAATTTGTAAGATAAACACGCTCCAAGCTCACACAATCAGCACAGCTGCTATATCGCTGCCCTTGTAAACTCATCAGGCAGCGCGCGGGCCGAGGGCCTGCTTCAGAGAGCGACGCTGCCGTCCAAGGCTCCTGACCTGGGGCGTCTCTCTGCCCCTGACCTTGGAACATCTTAATTCCTGGAAATGGGAGTTGGGGCCCCCTGGGGTCAGGATGGGGCACTTAATTAGGGGTAAGCGAGTCTAGGAAGAGTCCTGACTGCGGCCTGGATCTGGGGGGAGTTGCGGGGAGGTTCCTGAAAAATGAAATCTTGGCTTCTCCTTCCTCCACCCCGCGGGGTAGGTGTGCACTCTGACATGCAAAAACGCTCGAAAGCATAAAGGAGCATGAACGACATGGGTGGGGACTCCAGAGCTTATGGGCGTGTTCACTCAAGCCCTCCAAGATAAACAAGATGTTTTCTACATACACATGATCCTTCACATCAAATGACGGGTTTTGAAGGAAAGAACCACCCTTGGCTTTCTTGCGGGTGGGAAGCCTGAGACTGAAGACGGCAGCAGCCCCGCCCGAGGTGGGGGTCTCTCGGCGCATACACGCCGGGGGACACCGTCTGCCGGGAGCAGGTTCAGGGAGCCGCCTCACTGAAGACCAGACTGCACAAGGCAAAGCGAACGCAGTCGGCTCGGGGCGAACAGACAGCCCCGAATCTGGGGCGCTGGGGCTCCACGCCCGTTTAACGAGGTTCCAGGAGCCTCTCGACAGGGTGTGAATAGATGGAGTCTCCCACGGACACACGCCCCAACAGCAAGGTCTGCCCAGACTCCACGTGCAAAGGGCCCAGAAGAAAACGTCCCAAACTTCCCAGGCAAGGGCCCCTAGCTCGTCGCTTGGGCTCAGGACAGCTGCCCTGAGGGACTCCAAGACCAGCAGGCCACTTAACGGGGACCGTCAAAGAGCAAGAGGCCAAGGGGGCCCCGTGTCCCGCAGAAGGCCACCACGTGCTGCCCTCGCTGCCCCAGACGCCCTGGGGGGCAGGCCCTGCTCCGTGGGAGCCCCTCCCGGCCCCCGGGGCCCCTCCATCAGCCGCACGGGCTCACATGCAGGGAGCCGATCGCCCAGACCAGGGCTGTTCCCGTGTGGGCGGGCGGGAGGTTAAAGCACCGGATCCCAAACACGGGCCCCACGGACCCCAGGAAAACCCCAGGCTGAGACGCTCACCTTGACTCCGCGAGGACCCGGGTAGCCGATTGGACCCTGGGGGCCGGGCGGACCCTGAAAACAGACGGGAAAGTGCGTTAGCCACACCTCGGGTGGATGACACGGGTTCACTCCGAGCCACCCCTGGGTCCTTCCAGCACAAGCTGGAAAGCGGGCCTGCCCCCAGCACACTGCCCTCTTGCTGCGAGCTGAGCGGATGGGTGTCTCAGGCTGGGCCTGCAGGAGGAGATACGTGGGCACTCTGCCCAGCTCTACGGGGAAGGGGGGCCTGCAGGGGGTCTTCTTGGGATGGAAACGAGCAGGGCAGGGGTCCCAGATCACAGGGGCCCAGTCCCGCCCATCCTGAGGGAGATGCTGGAGGGGCCGGGGTGCAGCCGGTACCCACCTGCCCCCCCTTCTCTCCTGGAGGGCCTTCTTTGCCAGGGTGCCCCTGTTGGGAAAGAGAAGGCTGGCGTTAGTCAGTGGCAACAGGGAACGCAGACCTCCTCCACAGCGGTCTCCAGTGTGAGGGTCAGAGCCCGGGTCCCCCCTGTCCCCCCCACAGCGCCTCGGTCCCCCGCCCTTTGGCCCCAACCCTCGGTGGCTTCATCTGTTAACACGAGAATGATGCCGGGGCGCGGCGACAGCAGGGGATGCGCTTCCAAACCCACAGACAGGCCCCAGTCCACGCCCAGCCCGCGGTGGGAGGGGTCAGTGACAGCAAGGCCGTGTGTTCACGGTCCAGCAGCACAACCACACCGGTGCCCAAGCAAGGACAGGGGAGGGGGACCAGACCCCCCAGGTGCCCCGGCACCCCAGCCTTCGCCCCCAACCCTCGGTGGTTTCATCTGTTAACACTAGAATGATGCCGGGGCGCGGCGACGGCAGGGGATGCGCTTCCAAACCCACAGACAGGCCCCAGTCTGTGCCCAGCCCGCGGTGGGAGGGGTCAGTGACAGCAAGGTAGTGTGTTCACGGTCCAGCAGCACAACCACACCGGTGCCCAAGCAAGGACAGGGGAGGGGGACCAGACCCCCCAGGTGCCCCGGCACCCCAGGCGACGCAGACGGGGAGGGGAGCCGGCATCAGGGGGAGAATCCCCCCAGAGGAGCAGAGCGGGGGCCCCAGGAACTGCTCACGGCCCCATGCTCATGGCCCCCTCCATCCTGGGCCATCAGTCCATTCTCAGAGATTTCACCTTCTCTGACTTTCAGACCCAAGCTGGTCACTAAGTTCAGTGCCTCTGAGCGCAGGAGCCAAACATGGACGATAAAATCAAGCTGAGCCCTCAATGTTGAGAAGCAGGATCCTGCCCCCAGGACGCCAGGAAGAGAAGCCACGTGGCACGGGGTGAGGATGCTGGCGGGGCAGGCGGGGCAGCCTGATTCTAATCCTGGGGACCCCCGAGCTGCTGTGTGACCTTGGGTGAGTCGCTTGCCCTCTCTGGGCGTCCTCTTTCGAGGGTGTATAACGAGAGAGTGGGTCAACTGCTTTCAGCTCGATCCTTCCCAAGTTCTAGGGCTCTACTTGTGGGACACAGCAGTGTTGTGGGTGCCCGGATCTCACTCATTTGAACACATGCTTTGTGTGTGTTCTTCTTAACCTGCGATCACCGTGAACTGGATCTGATGCCACTGCAGACAGCCTGTGGCGGTGGCCGCGCGAGGGGGAGAATGCGGAAGTTCCTTTGTGGGGGGGTACCCCGGGAGCCCGTGAGGTCAATCAGGCATCAGTCAGACCACGCCCGCTGCCCGGGCCTGGAGGGGACACGCTGCCTGCCCTCCACCTTCCCGAGACGAGGCTCACCACCTGCGTCCCAGGCCGGCAGGGCTGCACCTAAATGTGCCCGGGACGGCGTCCTGCCCGGCGGTCGCCGGAGGAAGGGGGGCCTCCTCCCCCCGCCACGTGGGCTCTTTCTGGGCCTTTTATACATTTTCCACCAAACGTAGAATCTCTCCGTGAAGGAACGGCGGTCACGGGCAGCTGTGGGTAGGGAAGGCCAGGCCCTGGACACGGACGAGTCCGGACCCCACATCTGGGGAGTGAGCTGACCCTCCACCTGGCGATGACCTTATTTAAACGGCGGCCGTAAGGACAGGCCTGGGGACTTGCCAAGTGGTCCAGGGGTTAAGAATCTGCCCTGCAATTCAGGGGACTTGGGTTCAACACCTGGTCAGGGAACTAAGATCCCACATGCCTTGGGGCAACTAAGCCTGCATGTCACAACTGACACGTGTCACAACTGACCTGATACAGTAAAAAAAATTTTAAAAAAACCCAGAGTACACCTGATCACAGTATTTTGGAACAGATAAAGCCTAGGACCGATCACTGCCATGACCACTGTGTTTTGGGGCAGTACTGGTTTTTTTGGGGGGTATGCCACACAGCTTTCAGGACCTTAGTTCCCCAACCGGAGAATGAACCCATGTTCCTGCAGTGGAAGTGCTAAGTTCTAACCCCTGAACCACCAGGGAAGTCCCCACCGTGATTACTGCCGTTGGAATGGAGGCCAGGCTTCTAAGCCGTGTTCCCAGGATGAGAGCCACTTTGTGGGGGGAGCATGGCGCTCACATATTTGCAGAGTTTGCAAGAGGAAATCCACCCAAGTCAGAGGGGCTGACTTCCCACGTGAAAGGCCGGCTGTCTTCGCCCTCTTTCTGCTCGCCGACCTCTCCCCAGAATCCTGTAACCAGCAGGATTTTATAATGGCAAAGTAATAAAGCTTAAATTATGTATATTTGATATTTTCTGATTAAAAAAGTAATATGTTCACTGTAGACAAATGCAAAAATAATAAAGCTTATTTGTATTTGATATTTTTCTGATTAAAAAAGTAATATATGTTCATTGTAGATAATTAGGCAAGTGGAAGAGAAAATTAAACCCCTTCATAACCTCACCACACACAGTAATGACGGCCAAGGGTGTGATGCGGTGCAGCTGATCTATTTGCTGTGCGCGTTTGCATGCAAAATTGGCATCAGAAGACGTATTTTTAATTTAGTATTATATCAGGGGCATCTCCTCCTGTCACTGAATACTTGCTGGAACTTGATTTTTCTTGGCTCTGTAATGTTCCCGTGAGCCCCTGATTCATTATCTGAACCCTGTTGTGTGCGCCTGGAATGACTTCTTGATTCAGAGCAGCGTCTGCCCTGAAACCTCTGACACTTCTCAGCGGCTCTGAAATCTATCTTCCCTTCGTTCTTAAACCACACCAAACCAACACAAAGGTGGGGAGGAACAAATCTTCTCTTTAAGGCTGCAACCATGTGATGCCTCTGTAAGGAGATGTTTCAAACCTTTGTCTCCTCCCGATTCACCTGTGACGACGGCTCCGTGTCCCTCTGCCTGCAGTGCTGATGTTCCCCCTTTCATCTTTCGCTTTGAGCATCATCACTGTTGACCTGGCACAAACATCCCCCCGCCCCCGGGGTCCTCGGTACACTTGTATTTTAAAGTGCGACCACTGATCGGGGGAAAAGAAATGGAAAACCTATGAGAGGTGGCCTCCTGACTTCCTGGGCCAGGTCGCCCTTAAAGGCCCTTCTTTCCCCACGGCATCCAAAAGGAATCCGGGGACCCTTCAGGGACTCTAGTTGTTGGGGCTTCAATTCAGGGAGGACTCCAGGTAAGGTCAGGGAATCTTCCCGACATGACGCGTGCTAAGTCACGTCCAGCTCTTGTGACCCCATGGATGTAGCCCCGCCAGGCTCCTCTGTCCATGGGATTCTCCAGGCAAGAAGACTGGAGTGGGTTGCCGTGCCCTCCTCCAGGGGATCTTCCCAACCCAGGGACTGAACCCACGTCTCTTACATCTCCGGCACTGGCAGGCAGGCTCTTTACCCCGGAGCCACCTGGGGAGCCCTCTGACATGAGGTGCCGTGGGAAATGCCCACAGACGCCCGACACTGAAGACAAAAGGAAAGCTGTGACCACAAGGGCGCACGTCCGCCTGCGCTCAGGGTTCAGCCCTCGAGGATGGGATCGGGCTGGCTTTCACATTGCCATGTTACTTCTTTTCCTAATTTTCCAGAAGAAGGTATTTTATCATCAGAAAACAGTTAGGTGTCAATGTACGTGAAAGCACATAAAAGCCATGTTGCAAAATATTCATCTCTTTGCATCAAACTCAGGTCAGAGGCGGAAGGCCCCCCACCCCCCAACCAAAGCAGCTCAAGCAGGAATGAGACTGTGATCGTTGGTTCAGATAAAGCGTGTGATGGGTGACTCACTGGACCAAAGGATTTTCAGAGAGAAAACAGGAAGACCCCGCCCCACGCCAGCCAACCACCAATGGATGGTTGAGGGGCTGAACTTCTCACTTTGTTTCTAATGGCGCTATTAACAGAGCAAAATAACTGTGTCTGAAATAATTAATTTCGCTAATCATTCTCTAAAACAGGCTCTCTACTTGGCATCAATTAGATACGCTAAAAATAACCCAGAAGCAAAAAGCCCATTGGCCGCTCCCATGGAGGCTGGTGGGTGCGGACAGGCCGGCGTTTGTCACCATCCCGCCCCCTCCCTCACAGCTTGGCCACAGACGGGTTTGTCCCTCACTGCCTGCTTCTAGGCGGCATCTACTTAGCTCCACAGCTGCGTGTGCACACCCGGCTTCCCAGTGCGTGATCGCTAAAAATACACGAGGCGCTGGCGACACACGCGAGGGCCCGGAGCCCAGCCCCACCCTCGTTACAGCTGAAAGTGCGGGGCTGGGCTCGCGGGTGGCGGATGCTCCGCCGCGTGCAGTTACCAGCGCGTGACGGGAGCATGTCCAAAACCCAGTAATTCCTGAGCCATCGGATGGGGCTGCATCGAAGGAGCTGGAAGAGGCAACGTGGGCCAGGCAGGCAGCCCGCTCCGGAGCTGGGGAGGGGCCGTCTGCCTGCGTTCCCAGCCCCCACCCCTGGGTGGACACGGGCAGGGGCATGAAGGTTGAGGGGGCCAGGGTACTCACCGGGGGTCCGTCAGCACCGGGCATTCCTGGGAGGCCGGGTTTGCCCAGGGGACCCTAGAACAAACCAGAGACTTCATGAGCTGATGCCCCAGGGTGCCCTGGGCTGCCCACCCTTCTCTACACACCCCCAAAGTCACTCTTCAACATATCTGCTCAAAAAGCATTTGCTTAAAAAGGCTGCTCAGAGGCACCGCTCCCAAGGGCTCCGCCCAAAGACAGTGGACCCTCTGCTGTGTCCCGGGCCTTCGGGTTTGGCTACTGGAACAAGACCACCGCCCAGTGGGGACAGGAGCAGGGGCCGTGATGCCCTGAGAACTGCCCCTAGGAGGATGTCCTGGCTGGTGCCAGCCCGGGGGTGGGTTTACTGGGCACCTGAGGCTGAGCCACAGCCAGGCCAGGGCCTAGGCTGTCTCCCCAGCACGTGGGCTCGGGGTGCCCAGGATGTGTTTAGAGCTGACAAATTTAGCAAAAAGAAACACTACAAGGCAAACAAGAGTGCCTGTGTGCTGAGTCACGTCAGTCGTGTCCGACTCTTTGTGACCTCATGGTCTATAGCCCGCCAGGCTCCTCCGTCCATGGGATTGTCCAGGCAAGAATACTGGAGTGGGATGCCATTCCCTCCTCCAGGGGGTCTTCCTGACCCAGGGATCGAACCCAGGTCTCTTCTGCCTCCTGCATTGGCAGGCAGGTTCTTTACCACTAGTGCCACCTGGGAAGCCCAACAAAATGAGATGCCCAGTTAAATGGATTTCAGACAACAGAGTTCAAATTAAACTGAGCATCCTGTTTTTGTTTTTCTTCCTGAATCTGGCAACCTTATATCAACACATAACTAAAGAAGGGAGGCAGGTGGGAGGGACGCAGGTCCACACCAGAGCCAGTGATCGGCGCTCCAGGGCCTGGACACTGGCAGGCGCCATGCCTGCCGGGCTGGGATGCACCCCACCGTCAGGCACCTACGCCGAGCGCAGCCCACCTACCTTTTCTCCTGGAGGCCCGATTGCACCCTGGGGGCCTGGAAGACCCTGGGAGGGGAAGAGCGAGCAGCAAAGGTCAGGGATTTCTCGACCCAGAACCCCTCCCCGCCGTCCCCCCATCATCCCCAGCCCCGTCCCAGGTCACCCCCCCAGGCCGCAGGTCCTGCTGGCTGACCAGCAGCGCGGGGCAGCGCTCAGCGCCCACTCAGGCCCCGGGTGCTGTCTCCCAGCTCCCGCCGCCCTGCTCACTCACCTGGGCACCTGGGTTGCCCTGCTGCCCCGGGGGGCCGGGCTCTCCCTGGGGACCCTACAGGAAACACAGCAGGCATTGAAGGGGGCTGTGGACACAGTGTGCCCTGGAGCGCAGGCGGGAAGCCAGACCCAGGGCCCCCAGCTGGTGTGGGAGAGGGTGTGGCCACCCAGGGGGGACTCGAGACAGGAGCCTCCAGGAAAAAGATTCTAATTAGCTGAAATTCCCTAGGTCACCGTGTCAGCTGAAGTCTCCTCTTACAGGAGACCCATGCAATGCATCTCAGCGGGCACTGTCGAAAGCCCCTGCCCTCAACCAGCTTGGTCGGGGAATGAGGACGCTGTTCCCCTGTGTCTCCCTCCCTCGGCGAGCTCAGGCTTGGGACGGGGCAGGGGCTCAGCCCGTGCTCTCCTGCGGGAGGCCCGCACCTCCCACATCTGTCGGGGTGGCCTGAGTCCCCCTCCCACGCCCTGCGTGGCTGCCCCCGCCATGAGGCCGTGGTCGGGTGGGATCCCCGGACTTACCACGTTGCCTTTCGGGCCTGGCTGACCGTCCATCCCCGTCACACCCTGGGTGGCATCGAAACAGAAAAGAATCAACAAAGCTCAACAGGCGAAGCCCTCTCAGCCCGGCTTGGTCCCTGCCCACGAGGTCAGAGGGTGGCGCGTCCTTCATGGGAGGGGAAAGGCCTGACCCCAAGTAAATGCTGAGACTGGCTGCAGCTTAATGGGGCTGCTGGGAGGGGAAAGGCTTGACCCCAAGTAAATGCTGAGACTGGCTGCAGCTTAATGGGGCTGCTGGGTTCATTGCGTGGGGGCACCCTGCATTCTCGGACAGCTGGGCTGGGGGCCCGGCCCCGGGAAGCCGCTCCTGGACAGACCCCTGCCTGACTATGGGCTGCAGCCTTCCTCTGGGGCTGTCTGAGAGGGTCCCGGCCAGCACACGCAGGGAGGAAACGGGCATCCCGGGGACTGCTGACGACACTGGGCACCGTGCGTGGGGAAGGAGGAGTGAGCCCAGCCGGCCTCCACCTGCAGGCTCACGCCCGCCGGGCCATCCCCCAACGCCCCACACGAGCGCTGGGCCAGGCGCACAGCCGTCAGCGCGGGGGGCTGCCCGCAGGACCGCGCGGGCACAGCTGCGGGCAGGGACGGGGCAGACAGGCAGGGGACTTACAGGAGGTCCAGGAGGGCCCGGGGGCCCCTTCGGCCCCAGCAGACCTCGCGGCCCCTGCAGGAGGAAAGAGCAAAGAGGGTCAGACTCAGCCCGGAATCCCGGCCCCCTGCCCTGCACCCCACTGAGCCCCCCACTTCCCGGCGTCTCTGCGGTCCCGGGAGCGTGGCTGACACCCCTCCTCACCCGCCTCCTCTGCTCACCCCACCCCGGCTCCCGGCCTGGGCCTTGGGGGCCAGGGGCGAGGCGGGGGCCGGGCCTGGTCGGGGCTCAGTCCCCATCCGCGGGCGCTGCCCCACGCCCTCGGGAGGGTCACAGCGCGGTCACCACCTGCCGTCGGGCCGCTCCCACCCCCTCACCTGCCGGCGCTTGATTTCAAGGGCCCTTCATTCTGACAGAACCTTTTCAGACGCAGCACAAGAAACACCCTCCCTGCGTTCGTTGCCACTTAAATCTTCTTCGCAGTTTTAATACCCAGTCACATAAATGTTTGCAGGAGTTAATAACCCAGAAGGCATTGCTAGACCCGGCTTAGAGGAGAGCGCTGTGGATGAGCCTCCTTGGGGGCTAAGCAGACACCTGGGGGTGACTCAGTCCCAGCGAGCAGGCGCACGCTGACCCCGGGGGCCCTCCATCACGCACCCCGACGCCCCCTCACGCACCCCGACGCCCCCTCACGCANCACCCGGACGCCCCCTCACGCCCCCCGGGTGCCCCCTCACGGATCGCGCGCCCTGCAGTTCTCTCCCCGACTCAGGCTCAGACCGGCTCTCCAGCGCTGTCCTGCTCACCTCCCCGTGTGCCCCCCGTTCCATCCCCAGGAGTCCCCGGCTTCGCCTGGCTCCAGGCTGAGCCCTCTCTAATCTGGGCCCTGAGCCGATACCAGAACATCAGCAGAGACTCAGCGTCCCGCCCGGCCCAGCACTTACAGGCTCCCCGGGCAGCCCTCTGGGCCCAACCTCTCCATCGTCGCCCTGTGGGGGAAGAAAGGCCGAGGTTAGGGGCGAGCCGTGCGGCCTGGGCCCCAGGGAGGCACCTCTCCTTCATCTGCCGGAGTCTCGGGCCTGGGGCTGCTCCGGCAAACGCCAGAGCCAACCCTAGTCCTCGCGCCAGCAGGGAAGGCCCGCGTCCTCCTCCCGGAGGGCGAAAGGCGAGGTCAGGCTCCCAGGCCACAGCCCCAGGGAGGGGAAAGCCCGGCAGAAAGCGTCCCTGGTTACCTGTCAGGTACACAGACAGACGAAAGATAAACTGCCTGGCAGAAAGCAGACAGAGACAGGGAGATGATGGATGACAGATCAGATTTAAAGACGGGCAGACGGATGGATGGACAGACGCATAGATAGATGAGAGACAAACAGGTAAGAGAGGGGTGATTAATAGATGACAGATGGAGACGTACATACATAGATACGTAGACGGGTGACAGATAGAAAGTTTAAAGATAGGAAGGTAAACAGATAACAGACAGACGGATGATGGATCGATGCATAGAGCGCCCAGACCCCCACACACGCGCATCAGTCTGCCCCACCTCCAGGGCAAGGAAAGTCACTTTCCGGCTCCCTCAGCCTCTCTCCCTGCCCAGACCCTGCGCTCCGCCCCTCTCGGCCTCCCTCTGCGCTTGCTCAGATGCTGAGCTCATCAGCTCCCCCACGTCTTTCCTGAGATCACGCCCCAGGGGCAACTGGTCAAAGCGCTCAGGACACCCACATCCGTCAGCGTCAAGGTCCATGAGTTGCGTCTACCGGAAGTTGGGTGCAGCCCACTGACGCCCCCCCAACCACGCGGGTGCGCACCACCGCCGGCATCCACACAGTTTTCAGAGGAGACGGCAGCTGGCGCACCCTACCCGCAGCAGGATACGTACCCTTTCTCCATCTTCCCCCGGAGGTCCCGGTGGGCCGGACGGGCCAGGGTCGCCCTAGGAAGGCAAGCAGGGTCAGCACCAGCCCCCCGGGTGAACGCGCACGGCTGTCTCAACCCCCTGTTTCATCTCTCTCTGCTTCCGAGGCTGAAAATCCCACCCCCCTCCCGGGCCTTTCCCAGAGTCACTCGGAAAACAAGGCGCCTCCTGGCTCGTCGGGGGGCGTGGCTGGCTGGCGGGATGCTCCCCGGGCCTCGGAGTCCTGGTGGTGGGTCAGCTAGAGCGGCACTGAGGACCCCCGGGCGCCCCAGGACGCGCGGCAGGGTCCGAGCGGCACCCCGCCGGCCTCTCCGTGGGAAGCAGGCTGCACCCCAACCCCACGCGGCCCCCTGAAAGGGCCACCACTTGGCACTCTGAGGGTCAGTGCTGGCCCGCCCGACACCCTGCACCTCAGGCCCTGCACTCCATCCGTGGTCAGCACGTGCCCGTCGCTGACCCGGCCTGATTGGGGTCCCCGGGGGCAGTGGGGCGCGCGGGCGCGGCAGCTCTGGCTAGAGCCCTACAGCCGCCTCCTGAGGCAGCACAGGCGTGATGGGTGACCCATGTGACAAAGCCAACACGTGTGTGGGTGCGCGTGTGTGCACACGTGTGTGCCGTACACACAGACAAGTGTCCGCAGGTCCAGGGTGTGCCAAAACATCGAAGAAGAATCGACAGCATCAGAGAAAACACGTCAGGCAGGAACCGTCCACAGAGCTGCCGGGAGCATTGGCCGGGGGCACCTGAGTCGCGTCAGACAAGCCCAGCCGCAGCCCCCACCCCACCGCCGTCCATGGGGGAGGCCACACGGGGGAGGCCATCCACAGGGGAGGCCATGCGGGGCCAGCCCGCATCCTGGAGTCGCCCCTTTAATGGTGCGGAGAGTTCTGGCCGGCCCCCGCAGGGCAGCTGCTGGGTTTCCTGACAGTGTGGAGGCCCCTGAGCAGAGGCGGCTTCCCGCTGCCTGGCCCCTTGAGGGACAGACCCAAGTGGCCCTTTCGCCATCAGCGGCGGTGGAGAAACGGGCCCTCCGTGGGCTGAGCTCGCGTCCCCAGGATGTTCTGTCCATGTCCGGCCCCAGCCCCATGAGGCTCACGTAGCGACCACGCTGGGGTCGAGAGTCTGGCCCCCGGGGAACCTAAGGCTGCCCCAGAGGGCCCTCACACCACTGCTCCCCACGGTCCCCAGACAGCAGACACTCACCCGGTGGCCCTTCTCCCCCGGCAGCCCCGCCAGGCCGTCGAAGCCACGGTCTCCCTGCGGGGAGGACAGAGGGCAGCTCAGCGCAGGCCCCACGGCCCCTCTGTGGGCCCCAGGCGGTGGTCCACACAGCATCTCACACCCGGGGCCCCCGCTGGCCACCCCCCAGCGCACCGGCCACAGCCCTGGGTCCGTGTTCCCATCTCTTTCCCCAAAGCCCCAACCAAGGCCACACAGAGCCAAATGGCTTCTGTCCAGAGCCACGGGCAGTGAGCCCTCAGACGCAGGCTGCAGTCTGTGTGTGAGCGCGCACAAGGGCTCCCGGGCTGCCGTCTGCCTGCGCCCCTCACCGTGGCACGCCAGGGCCCAGCGCGGCGCCCGCACACAGTAGGCGCGCCTTCTGGTGCGGTGGACGGCGCAGCACCGCCCTCGGGCCCCGGGGTGCCCCGGCTCCCCGGCCAGCCCCCCTCCCGCCACCCAGGGGGCCTCCCAAAGCCCAGCTGCCCGCCTCGTGTGGCAAACCGCACAAGGGGAGGCTAGTTCGGCCTGGAATGCTTCTGCTGTTGCAACAAGACGGTAACCTCCTGGGACAGACTCGGGAAGCTTCTCCTCCTCTGTCACCAAAGGTCCCTGAGGCCAGAAGGGCTCCAGGTTCGCTCGGGGCTCGCAGGGGGCACCCGGGGGCCGGCCCACGCCAGCCCTGGGGCGGGCAGGGGCAGTGCCCGGGAACAGCTGCCGTCCCCACTGTGGGCTCCTCGTATGGCCCTGGACAAACTTGCAGGGTGAGAAGGATGGGTACCAGGAACAGGGCCGGCCCACCCCAGATTTGGGGACAGAGGGACAGGCCCGCCGCACCACGGTGGCCGGGGGTTGTGGGCTGCCCTGGGCTGCAGCCTCCTCAGCCAGGGCAAACTCTGCCCTCAAACACACCTGAACTCCCCGTGAGCAATGTCTACTTGCTCCCTGCAACCCCGAGGAGCTCGGACTCCCCCACCTGGGCAAGAGGACTTCCTGCCCTTGGACTTGGGTGACCCACGAAATTCAGCCCGCTGACACCAGTCCTCTTGTCCACGTGCCAGAGGGCTGACCCAACCTGACCCTTCCTGCCCCCGGATGAGGGCACATGCCCTGTCTCCAGCATATTCGTCACAGTCGACGACAGGGGTGATGCCGACCGTGCGGGCCCCAGGGGGCGGCAACCGCACCTACCTTAGGGCCAGTCTGTCCCGGCATCCCTCTTGCCCCGTCACTGCCGGCTCGGCCCTGGAACAGAGCAAGGCAAAGTGTCAGCACAAAGGAGCGGCCAGCGCGAGGAGGACCCGGAGCAGGGCTGCCTGTGACATCAGACAGAGGGCCCCACAGCCGCCGCCACAGGCTGGCCCAGAGGACCCAGACCTGCAGTCCCGCTTGCTGTCCACAGGCTCTGGTCTTCCCAAGCCTTACCATCCTGAACCTCAGAGCGGGCACGACCCAATTAACCACCTAAGTGTCCACCACGGACCACTGAACCCCAGCAGAGGTTAGAAATCTAAATGGCAGCCCTTTCAGAACTGGCCGTGCACCCCTCTGCCTGTGGACCTGGGGCCTTGAGGGGCCGCCTCGAGACACCCGTGCTTGGGAGCCATTCACTCTGTAACATCCCTTCTAACTACAATCGACTTCCGGGACGGAGGCCCCGGACTAAGGAATGACTCGTTTTTTGCCTTGAGTGCTTTGCAACTAGAGCAGGAACTGGCAGACCAGTGGCCAGCGTTCCTTGCAGAAGCTCATTAACACGAGAAATGAGTATCCCTTTCACTCAGCAGAAACATTCAGTTGATGGGAAGATCCGCTAGTGAGAGTTTGATGTGGGTTAATCAGGATTTCCCGAGCTCTCATGGACGCTGTTCATTAATTTATGCTGGGTGAGAAAGGCGCGCGCCCTCTGTCAGTCACCACGGTCACCTGAGGGAAAGCACTCCCCTCCACTAACACGCCAGGCCGGACAGAGTCTGAGGCGGGGGATAGACAGGGGCTGCAGGGGGGTCTGAGAAGTCACCCGGCCATTCCCCCGCAACAAAACTGAAGCCATTTCTGGAGAAAGGAGGCTGCCCCGGAGAAGGAGGGACCACTGATCATGTTGTCTTTTACACGCTTGCTCCCAAAGACCCTGGGAAACTGCTTTAATTCAAAATGTGGGTTAACAGGGAGCTCAGCTCGGGGCTCTGTGATGACCTGGGGTTGGGCCGGGGGACTGGGAGGCAGACTCAAGATGGAGGGGTACGGGTGTACCTATAGCCGATTCACATTGTCATACAGTGGAAACTAACAACAGTGCAAAGCCATTATGCTCCAATTTAAAAGAACATGTTAAACTGTGTTCGGATGCTCAGGACGGAGGCTGGGGCAGGGGAGCTTGCTGCCGTGGGACGGGACCCACCCAGCCCTGGACATAGACGTGCCCTCTGAAGGCGGGGGAGCCTGGCCGGCGAGACGCAGCGTCACCATGGTAGACGCAGCGTCGACTCCCGCCGAAAAACACTCACCCTTCTCCCAGGCTTTCCTGCCGGGCCAGGCGGGCCCTGCACGCCCCGCGGACCCTGTCCGGGATCAGAGGGCAATGGTCAGTCGCGTGTCCACTTCTCGGAGGACAAAGCCAAGCCTGGTCCCCGTGCTCGCCCCCGCCCACCCACCGCCCAGCTGCCAGCACGTGGCATCACGCGGACAGGGCGCAGGGTCCGTGGCCCTGAGCCACGGTGGGACGGAAGGCAGCCCGCGCGGTCCCGCTCCGGACCCCACAGCCACTCCGCATCGAGAGGGCAGCTCCCCCCACTTCCCTGACCAGAAGCATCGACAGAGCTCCGTCTTCCCGGAGAGGCAAAGGCCCCGGGGTACGTACCTGAGGCCCCATGTCTCCTGGCTCGCCCTTCAGACCTCCGCTCCCGGGAGGGCCCTGGGGGGACACGCCTGGTTAGGGGGTGCCTGGCACAGGGGTACAGGCTGTAGGGGTGGCTGGGGAGGGCAGGGAGGGGGAAGGACCACGGGGCTGCCCCCTGGGCAGGGCCCCCGTGCAGCCCGCCCGCCGCCTTGGACACACCCCGAGGGACGAGCAGTCACTTTCCTGGTTTGCATCTCGTCCCGGGTTGGAGGGAAACCCTGGACGGGGGCAGGGGGAAACCCCTGCGCTCAGCACATGCTCACTTCTCTCCGGGACGGATCTGCCCTCCGTCCGCCACAGCCCGCAGCCCAGGGCCGGGTGTGGACGTACTTGTCCACGGTAGGGCAAGATCGCCAGATGTCGCGAGGGACCAAACACCCCAGGGCCAGGGGCCAAGCCCACTCCCTCCCGGGGAACAGAGAGAGGGTCCCATGGGCCTCGAGGCCCCGGCTCCCTGCAACTGCACGGGCCACACACCCCCCCGGAGACCCCTCTCCCTGGCCCTGGGGTGCCCGGCACATGCTGCCCAAGGAGTCGGGTGGGAATCAGGGTCTGCCTCACGCTGAAGTGGTCTGGACGGTAAATAGCCTCAAAAGAAAGAGGCTTGGAGCCCCCCCCGGGGGTGGGGCTAGGCAGAGTCGTGGTCAATATAAGTGCAAGGGCTTCCCTGACCCGAGGGCAGCCCGGGCCTCTGGTGCCCGGGGGCCCCCCACCCCCCGCCCTCAAGATGCTCTGACCCGGTGAGCTGGGAGCCTGATGGGCAGGGGCCAGTGAGGGGCACCCACCCCCACACCCCAAGGTGACTTACCATGGGACCCGGTCTCCCAGTGAGACCCATCGGGCCAGCAGGCCCCCTCAGCGCCAGCTGCAAGGCAAAACGGGACATGTGAGAAACGGCTGGTGTACCCGTCCTGACGGGCGGGAAGGGGCCGGTGTGAGAGGCCAAGGACAGAAGCCTCTGGTGGGGGAGGTCACAGGGACCCTGGACCCACCTCCTCCGATCCTCTGGGCTCCCGGCGGCAAGCACCAACGGGGCGGCAGAGGGGACCGCTTTGGGGGTGGGTGCCCGGAGCCTCGGGCTGACCCTTCCTTCTCCCCACCTGCCCCGGCCAGCCCCGCACCCTCGAAGCGAGCGTGAAACGCGGCTGCCCTGGGGGGCTGGCTGGGCGCGTGTTGCGCACGCGCTGAATCACACATTCCCCGAGAGGCACTTTCAGGGCCCGGGGGTTACATCGGGGAGCCTCGGGGTGAATGAAGTCCTTGCCCCGGCCACGGGGACCCCCCTGTACCCCTGCCCAGGTGCCCACTGCCTGCCCGCTGCTGAGGCTCACTCCCGCCGGCTTTCTCCAAGGGCCTCTTCCACACCTATCGTGCACCTGTTTCCTGCATGAGGCCACTTCGATTTTGGAACGTTCTGTGTTATAAAATCTTAGGAGCCCATCACCCACTTGGCTTCAGTCAACACACCCACAGATTCAAAGGCCAGCCAGGCCGGCCTGTCAATAAGCCCCGTGGCGGGGGATAGGGCCTGTCGCCCGCTGACTGCATTACACGGCAGTTTGCTCCACGGCAACGACTGCATAGCCGCTGCCCTGTAATTCATTATCCACGCACTCTGATCATCAGCATCTATCCGTGGTGACAGAGCTACATAAATATCGCCAAACGAGGGACTCCTCAGCCGCTCCTTGTGATGCCCCATTACGGGCACTCCAAGGAAGGGTGGCCCGCCCCGCCGGGTGGCATTTGCTCTTGTCATTGGCAATCAGCAATCTGGAGCCTTGTCAATTAAAACGCAATTCACTCACCAGCTCGTTTGCCAAGAGCAGAGTGGTAAGGAGGCTCCTTGGGATGCCCCAGGCTGAGCGAGGGGCTTCGGGGCCCACAGGCTTCCCCCTGAGGTTCAGGCTCGACCCAGCCCCATCACAAGGGACCCCCCAGGAGTACATGGGGTCTCTCCATCCCAGAGCCAGGAGGAGGCAGTAGATGGCCGAAGAAGACGGGGTCAGCAGAAGCCAGAGGGGTTCAGCGGCTGTGTCCGTATCTGGGAGTCTGGACCCTCGGTGTGGACAAGGGACCCCTGAGAAGCTTCCCCCACCCCTCCTGGTGCTCACCAGGGCCCCCAAATGTGCAAGGATGACTGGACAACCCCCCAGGCTCCTGAGTCTAGGTGAGCACCCCAAGTTGGGAAGAGGGGCTTCCCCTGCAAGCTGGGCTCCAAGCTGCTCCCCAAACCCCAGGGCCACTCACCCGGGCCTGCTGCAGGATGGCTTGAGCTTGGGACTCCTGTGCGGAGACCATAGGTCCTTTGGAGCCTGCATCACCGCCCCCTCCAAAGCGGAACTGCGGATGTAAGTGCGGTCACTGGGGTTGCACGGGCACGGATGTCCGCTCTGGACCCCAGGGCTGAGGGTGTCCAGGGGCCTCTCAGGTGACAGCAGAGTCTTGGAGGGGCTGGCTGGGCAGCTTCCAGCCCCGGGCCTCCGCCTGCTGATCATGCCACCCGACTGCCCGCACACGGCTGCCCCGTCTCTGCCCGACAATTCCAGCCTTGGGGATTCCCACCCCCCGGCATCCATGACATCTCTCCTGAGACCCCAGAGCTCCGTGCCAACACCCATGCTGAGGGGCACACGGGCTCAGGGAGAGACGGACGTCTCCCGGCCTGGGCTCCCCGAGAGGGAGGTGGCCTGGGTCCTCTGCAGACCCCAAGGTCAGGAGCAGGTCACGTTCAAGGAGGGAGTAGGTGGTTTGGGGGTCTGAGGGAGAGGGCAGGTGTGCGGTGACGGAGGCAGACGCCACACGGCTTCCTGCAGAGATGGGCTCTGCTCCCGCCCTGGACGCTGTCGAAGGTGGAGACCCCGATCCTGGTGTCCACCCTGCTGGGCTGGCAGAACACTCCCAGGAGCTATCTCCACAGGACGGCTGGTCACTCTGAGCCCCGAGCCTGCCCCCCAGCGCCGGCCCCCCAGGTACACTCACAGGCAGCATTAGCATGGTTCCAGGAGGGCCGGGCAGCCCGTCAGCGCCAGGAAGGCCTGGGCGTCCAGGGGGACCCTGCAGATAGAGGGCAGGAGAGCGGGTCAGGGCCCGGGAGGGAGCTGGACCGGGGCGTCGCGAGGGGCGGAGGCAGGGCCCGTGGGAAGCCACGGCGAAAGCTCAGAGCGACGCAGGGCCTGGAGCCCGGAGGAGGGGGCTTCACGGCGGGCCGAGGACGAGGAGACCCCGGACCCAGGAGAGCTGAGCGAAGAGGCAGAAAGCCTGCAGTCTGTGGTCCAGAGCGGCACAGGCCACCCCGCGGGAGGCGGGCAGGGGCGAGGCATCACAGCTTCCACGGCCCCAGGACCGTCCCTGCCGGGTGCCACCCTGGGCTGGGCAGCCCAACAGCCCCGGTGCTGACGGCTGAGAGGCCAGCCCATCCCCACGCCCCCTCAGCCTTGTGGGTGGAGCAGATGCTGCATGGGCCACGTCCGCTCGTTTGGACCCCGGCATTCCCGGGGTCACAAGGCCTCCTGCGCACTTCGAGGCCCCACCTCTGCACAGACACCACCTCAGCACTCACCCGGCTGGTCCCCAACACCCCCAGCCCCCGGCAGAGCCTCTGACTGATTCTGGCGCAGGTCAGGCCTAGGTGAATGCAGCACAGATGCGTGAGAGCATCGTCACTTCAGTCGCGTCTAACTCTTTGCGACCCCACGGAGTGTATGTGGCCCACCAGGCTCCTCCGTCCATGGGATTCCCCAGGCAAGAATACTGGAGTGGGGTGCCACCTCCTTCTCCAAGGGGAGCTTCCCAACCCAGGGATTGAACCCTTGTCTCTGATGTCTCCTGCGTTGGCCGATGGGTTCTTTACCACTAGCGCCACCTGGAAAGACCTCTGTAACATGAATAATACGGCTTCTTGTCAAAAAAGCGTTTTTATCACTCAGCTTTTCACAGAGGCAGACAGACGCCCAAGCAGCTTGCCGTGGGCGAGGTTTGCATGCAGACAAGTGCAGCCCGCCCCCCTCAGTGAGACAGACCGCCACCGGCCCACGGCGGGGTGCTGGTGGAGCCCTGCACGCACGACCGCAGCGCGACGCTCCCGAGGCAGACGCACCTCACTCCCGAGCCCCGGCCCAGAGGACCGAGCACGGGGCTCCACCCCAGATGGGCTGGTCGGGACCTCCACCCGCCCGTCTTCTCCTTTGCGACTGTCTTACTCCAGGGCTGATCCCTCTGCTTGTGAAATGTGGCAGAACACAGCTGCCTGCCGAGCGGAACGTGAACGCTCCCTCTCGTGCCTCCAGGATAGCCGGGGATAAACGCCTGTAGGCGCCCAGGGAGGCCGGAAGCACACGCACCAAACACATGATGCGTATCATGCCTATGAGTCCACGGGCCGGGCGTGGGGGGCGGTTCTCCTTTTAGGAGGTGGTCTTATACACGTGTCTGGCAGTCTGCGCCTCCCCTCTGCCACACGTGAGGCCAGTTTGTGAGCTCAGCCTCACTCCTTCCAATGGCCTTGGAGGTCCCCGCCCTCACGGGCTCATCAGTGACTGAATCCATCCTCTTCTGACGCGTGTTTGGGTCCAGTTTTCATTAGGACACAGGCTGTTGTGATGAAGCTTCAGGCATCTTTCTTTCCTCTTTTTTTTTTTTGGCTGAGCCAGGTGGCACATGGAATCTTAGTTTCTCACCCAGGGATGGAACCTGAGCCCCAACAGTGAGAGCGTGGAGTCCCAGCCACTGGACCGTCAGGGGAAATTAGAACCATCTTTCTTAGATAGGATCTCAGAAGCAGAACTGCTGGGTCAAAGGATTTCTGCGGCAGCTCCCTGCCCCAGTTTTTTATTGCTAATAGGCACAGCTAAATGGTCCTTGCTTGCCATTTTCGAAAAGAAAAAAATATTCCCAGAAGATAAAATTTGCTTAAAAAAGAAAAACCCAGGGAGTGTTTTGCCAGTCAGACTTCCTCTTGGAAATTCTACCCTGAGAGCTGCTCACCGCTGAGCTTTCCGCGCCCAGTCGATCCCAAAGCAAACCCCCAACTCAGAGCTTAGAGTCGCGTGTCCCAGGGATGAGATGCCGCCCATGTAGTGTCCACGCCCATGTGGTGTGGGCTCACACGTGTGTGTGTGTATGTGTGTGTGTATGTGTGTAGCGCTGGAAGCCAGGGAAGCACATGGGGCAGCCCCTCACCCACTGAGACCCTCCTCCTGCTCTTTCTAAGCTGCAGGGGTGAAAATTCAACCTCGGGGCCCCAAAGCTACTCAGCCCTCATGCTGACATTATCAACTAGACTGAAAACAATTCCCATGTGGGCAGACAGACAAAAGTCTGGAAACCCTGTGAGAGAGAGAGGGTTTACCTGTGGGAGAAAACCCCCCGTTTTAAGGGATCCTCCTGACACCTTAAAATCTGACACGAGTCCCATGCAGCCCTGCGCCTGTGCTCTCTATACTCAGCACTGCTCGGAGAAGCTGCCAGCCAAACTCTGCCAGGCCCCAGGGTCTGTGTCTCAAAGACTCAGCCCCCCAAGCCAAAACAGGGGTTTGCACCCAGCCGCCCCTCCACCCTCCACTGGACTTGAGCCGAGGACAGGGCTGCTCTGTCCACGGCCTGCGTCGGACGCAGGGCACGCCGCAGCCGCCGGGCTCAGGGCAATGTAAGAAGAGCCGGCCGGTTTAGATCAGTGCCCTGAGCCGGCCAGGCAGACGCTATAAAGCACTGGTGCTGCGGGGCAGGCCGCACGCAGACCCCATACAGACACACGGCCCTCCCAGGGCAGCACAGGGCTTTTCCAAGGCCGTCCTGGTGCCGCGCTGCTGCAGACAACAGGGAACAGAGAGCTCAGACGCTGTGAAAGTGGCTGCAGGCTCCAGCCCCGCTGGTCCAGAGCCCGGGACTCAGCAGCAGGCGGATCGGGGCTCATCCCTGGCTACAGAGCCCGGCTGCAGCTCACCACAAGGACAGGCAGCGGGGCTGGGCGTGGAGCGCCAGAGAGCAGGCGAGCCTTTGCGCTGGGATACTTCTGCTTTCAGGCTTCAGAGAGGCCCGGAAATGGGGAGGAGCCGCACCGCCCCTCAGGTCCTCAGGATCGGGGTGGCTCGCTCAGGTCCGATCCTGTGCAGTCGCGGTTTGGGGGAGGCCAGAGGCGTTCTCAGTGGTCACTTCCTGATCTAGATCCGAACACTGGCTACCCCTGCGGCCGGGCCAGAACCTGGGGGGAAGCTGCACCCCCACCCCCCCGCCCGCCACGCTCACACCCTGCAGCAGGTGGGGGCTGGCAAGTCCCAGACTAGCTCACTGACATCTGAGCCCAGGAGGCCAGAGGGGCCTGGACGGAGACCCTGGGGGTTTCTGCTCCCAGCCCGCCCTTCTCGGGAGGACCCCCACCCCGTGCACTCCCTAATATGACGAAGGGTTCCTTCCGGCTTCCGGGGCTTCAGGGTTAACAAGGAGACTCAGGTGGCCCCAGCGCCATGCTAGTAACGCCCCCCGCCCCCCACAGCACGGCAGGGGGCGAGCAGGTCACAGAGAGGACATGGCCCCTCCTCCCCAGGGGAAGCCCCGCATCACCACGCCTTGTGGCCGGGACCTCACAGACACTGGCTGTGCAGAGCAGCTGACTAACCAGGTGTCCCGGGCTGGGTGGCTCCACGAAAGACGTCCTGGGCACACAGGGGCGCCTGGGGCCCAAGCCCCACACCCAGCCCCCAGGAGGTGGCTCGCTCAGGTCCGATCCTGTGCAGTCGCGGTTTGGGGGAGGCCAGAGGCGTTCTCAGTGGTCACTTCCTGATCTAGATCCGAACACTGGCTACCCCTGCGGCCGGGCCAGAACCTGGGGGGAAGCCGCACCCCCACCCCCACGCCCGCCACGCTCACACCCTGCAGCAGGTGGGGGCTGGCAAGTCCCAGACTAGCTCACTGACATCTGAGCCCAGGAGGCCAGAGGGGCCTGGACGGAGACCCTGGGGGTTTCTGCTCCCAGCCCGCCCTTCTCGGGAGGACCCCCACCCCGTGCACTCCCTAATATGACGAAGGGTTCCTTCCGGCTTCCGGGGCTTCAGGGTTAACAAGGAGACTCAGGTGGCCCCAGCGCCATGCTAGTAACGCCCCCCGCCCCCCACAGCACGGCAGGGGGCGAGCAGGTCACAGAGAGGACATGGCCCCTCCTCCCCAGGGGAAGCCCCGCATCACCACGCCTTGTGGCCGGGACCTCACAGACACTGGCTGTGCAGAGCAGCTGACTAACCAGGTGTCCCGGGCTGGGTGGCTCCACGAAAGACGTCCTGGGCACACAGGGGCGCCTGGGGCCCAAGCCCCACACCCAGCCCCCAGGAGGCGGGAGACAGCACAGCACCCTGCCCTGGGGCACCCCCGGTCACACGCCACGGCCTTTGTAGAGCTAGAAGCTTCCTACGGGTCTCAGTGGACCCTGCATCTTGGCCACGTCGCAGGGACCTGGGTGTGCCCAGTCCCCAGACCTGAGCGTGAATCCAGCCGGCCTGCCCAGAGCCCACGCTCTGCAACAGAGAAGCCTACCACAGCTAGAGAGCAGAGTCTGCTCTCCACAACTAGGGAAACACCTGCACCGCCAGGAACACGTAAATAAATAAGCAACATGATTTTAAAAAGGACGAGCGGCACAGTCCCAGGATCGGGACGGGTGGGGGTGGGGGGCGAGGATCTTCCAGATTCCCCGGTGAGCAGCTCTGACGTGCAGACGGGCACGTGAGGCCAGGCAGATGACCGCGATGAGAACACACCACCCCAAAACAGGCCGCTTCAACCGAGAACTCACAGATGCAGGGAAGGCCCCTGCCCTCCCCGGCCAGCCTAAAAGCAGGACGCACGCTTCCCTTTGCAAAGGTGGTGGGAATTCTCCAGCACCCACCCGCCTGAACCAAGATGATGGGAAAGGGGGGCAACGCTTATCACTGGAGGTGGACAGTGGGCATGCAGGTGAGTCTGCATACAGACCTTCCTGAACCATCCTTATCTTCTGAGTTTCTGCCCCCTCCCACCATGTATTTTGTAATCACTTCTCCACAATGTACTGCTTTTTGTTAAAATGGTATATAAGTTCTCAAGTCTAACCATTTATCGGGTTTTCACTTCTATATGAAAGCCTCTGTACATGTGAAATTAAAAATATTAATGAGATGATTTATCTTTTCTCCTGTTAAGGTCTTTGTTCAGTTTAATTTGCAGGTCCAATGGACAAAACCTAAGAGGGTAAAGCTTTCTCCTCTCCTCCCCGGGGATCCTGAGGTCACCCTACTGGCAGGTGGCCGTGTGGGTCCTGACTCTGCATCCAGGGTTCTTTCACAGCTAAGGAGCAGACAACCAGGAGATCCGGGCACTGACAGGATGCTGGGCTGTGAGCAAGGATGATCCTTGGAAGAGAATTGGGCCCCGAGGGTGGGCAGTGTCAGCTCCTGGAATCAGCCCGTCCCCCTGGGAAGGGGCCCAGGAGGGCCGGGGGGCTGCCGGGTTCCCTTCCAACCCTGAGAACAGCAAGCCGTAGAGCAGGTGATCTCTCTGCCCACCCCACCCTGGTCTCCGTCTCCTGAACCCTGCCTCGAACTCCAGAGAGCTCAGCTCTAAAAGCCCCAGCTTCCAGGGTCAGGAGCCTCCACCCCGCCAAGTGTTTCAGGCACATTTAGATCCTCAGTGCCGGAGCAGGACCCAGCGCCGTGGACACCCGGGGAATGTGCCAGGTGGACAGGTGGACACTTGAAGCAATGCTGAGCTGGTGGGAGACGTGGTCTGTGCTATCCGTGGCCCCGGTGGACGGCGTCCCATCCCACATCCAAGAGAGACGGCTGCTCTCGCTGACGTCTGAACCTAGCCCCATGCCGGGCCCATAGGAGGATGGCTCTGTGAGCAGACATGGCTGTCACCCCATCTCACACAGACCTGTGGCGCGAGCTGGGTTAGAGATGGCAGTCCCGGGTCCTGGGTGGGGAGGACGGGCCCTCATTTGCTTGGCTCACTTATTCAGCTGTAGCCGAGGAGGAAGCGGCATGGATGCGTGGGAAGGCCACCACGGAGCCAGGGCCCCCTACTCTGCCCCCAAAGCCACGGGCTCAGTGAAGCAACGCGGTAAGACTTCCGCCTGGTGCCCAGTCCGACCCGGCTGCCCTCTCAGGCCGTGCGGCCCCCTGCTCCGTCTGCAGGCGGCACCTCACTCCACCTGGAGCATCGCCCCAAAGCCCTGGCGCCCGACAGCCAAACACCCCCTCAAAAGCAGACCCCAGCCGCGTCCTCCCCAAAACCGTGAGGTCCTTGCTCTGCCCCGGGCCGTGTGCCAGGCGTCTCTTAGGTGCAGACACGCTCCCAGGGCCTCTGATCTACAGCCGCACCCGCTTATTAGCACCGAGTCTGGCCGCGCTCACATCCGCATCCATCAGACCAGCAGGAGAAACAAGGAAAGTCAAGGTGGAGGAGCGGCCACAGGGCCGCAGTCCCCCCAACCCCACGAGGCGTCAGAGCGGAATGTCAGCATCCCAGGCTCAGCCGCATCGCCCCCGCAGCCACCCAGGGCGGCAGGGGCCGTCCCTGTGACCCACAGCAAGCTCTCGGCGTCTGTCGCTTGACTCCTAACAAGGAAGCTGTAGTGAGGGGGAGGACGCCGCGGGCCCGGGAGCCCGAGGCGCCCGCGTGTCAGCCCCACTAACGCACGGCCGCGGGGCCCCTCCCCCGGAGCCCCCAGGGGCTCACGACCCGGCTTCTTGCAGAAGTGGCCTGTCCCCAGCTCAGGGCCAGGCAACAGTCCACCCCAAAATCAGAAGAGAGCGGGCGCAGCAGGGGTGGCGTGAGAGGTGGCCGGGTCAGGGCAGTTTGGGGAAGGACGTTGGTGTGTTGTGGTCACCCGTGCATGTGAGGACAAGGCCGGTCCCTTAGTGGGGGGCGGTGGGGGGGACGCCCGGACGAGGCCACCAAGCCCGTGATCCCAGGGGCTGTCCTTACCCTTTCTCCAGGGTCACCCACTTGGCCTGTGGGACCCATCGTTCCTGGAGGTCCTGGGAGACCCTAAAATTAAACACAAAATTAGGCAGAGTTAAAGATGCAGCCACAGGGCGGTGCCCGCCTGCCAGGAGAAGGCGGGCATGGGGCGGGGCGCGGGGCGAGTGCCCACCCCAGGGTGTCCGCCCCCGATTTCCATCCAGGAGTGTTAAGGGGCCCCCTGCACCCCCGAGGACCCGCCCCACAAGTCAGGGGAAATGAAACAGGACACTCACCGCGGGGCCTTCGGGGCCAGGCGGCCCCTCCAGAAGCATGCCCTGGAAGAGACAGGGAGAGCATCTGAGCTCCCAGGACGGCCTTCCCCCATTCCGAAACACGGACCCGGCCTCCCGGCCCCAGTCCTGGGGGCGGCTTCTGGGCCGGGTGGCCCGGAGGACCGCAGCCCAGGCCTCCAGGGCCGCACGCTCTGTCCGGGGACGGGTCTGGAGCGGCTGCCTCTGCTGTGGGGCTGTGGTGGGGGCCACGGTGACCAAGCTCTGAGCGCCTCCAGCCCAACAGCAGCCAGCAGGCTTCCCCCAAGGGCAGCTTCCAGAGGACAGAGGGGGCCAGCCCCCAGCGCCAGCGCTGGCCTCCCATCCAGGGGGCAGCACCCAGGCAGGCGTCAGCGACGGCAGCCCAGGGGGCCATGGAGCCCGGGCTGAGGGCCCAGTGACGGCGAGATGGCTGCCGGGGCTTCAGGGGGGACAAGAGGAGGGGGGGCCACAGGCCAAGGCCCCTCGGGGCCGACCGCTCAGACAGGCTGCGCTGGGGCCCCAGCCCCTCCCTCCTGCAGCAGGAAACGCCTCCCTCCGTGCAGCAGCCCCGAGCCCGTGGGAAACACGGCCTGGCCCACCAGACACTCGGATCCTTCCTCCCCCTCCTCCAGCCCCTCCCCCGGCCAAGCCCAGGTCCACGTGGCCTCCGGCTCCCGGCCTCACTGTCTTTCCTCGCACGTGGGGACAAGGCCTCCTGACCCCATCAGCCCCGCAGCGGAGGGGACAGCGGGCCTCACATCTCTGCAGCCAGAGCTCCGGGTGGGAGTCTCCCGCCCTCGGGCCTCAGCTCCGGCCCCCTTCCCGGCCTGGGCCTCCTCTCTGCCCCTGACTGCTCAGCACCATGGTCAGGTGGGCCCCAACGTCCTCGGTGCCCCAGGCCCATGGCAGGGGTCTGAGGCAACGCACGGCCTCCCAGGGAGGGGAGGACCTCCAGCCCTGGCGGGGGCTTGTGTACTGAGAACACGGTGGGGGTGGGGTCTGCGGTCCCAGGACAGGGGCTTCTGTCCAGCCTTGTTGAGCAGGCTTTGGCTGCACGAAGGGCCTGTGGCCTCCGTGGACCCCTCCTCCCCGTGAAGTCCGGTGGCGGCCAAGACAAGGACGAGAAGGCTGCACACGCTGGCCCGGGGGAGACCTGCGTCCTGCTGCTCGGAAGAAAGCCAGCTCGGGCACTTGTGGGGCTGACCGTGCCACCTCCCCAGTCATGGGCTTTCCTTCGAAAGTGAACCTGCAGCTGCTTCCTAGCGGTGAGCGGGCATGCCCCGGACATGCAGCTGGTTGGCACACAGCAGTCGGCCACCAGGCCCCTTAAGACCAAGCCTCTCATCCTCCCCACCAGGCTCCCCGGACGCCGGGAGGACGCACCCTGTGTTTGCACAGAGGTGCGCTCAGAGGTGTGTGCACACCACTTCCTCCGGCCCGCCTCATCACTCCCGGCTTCCCTGGCTCCTCTGACAACGGCTCAGGGCTGAGCCGGGATTGAGGGAGACAGCCCGGCTGCACCGCGGACACACCATCTCTGTTCTCAGGGAGCCCCCCGGCGGGCGGGCCCTCAGGGGAGGGTCGCGGGCCTGGGGAAGGCTGGGGGCCGCGGGATGGGTGGGCCCGACGGGGGAGCACCTGCACTTTCCAGGAGCGGGGAAGGGACCCACGGCCACCACCCCACCGAGGAGCGCTCCCGAGACACAAAGAGGTGGTCTGCCCGCAGAGCCCCCGGTCCACACCCGCCAGGGTGGGGGGTCTCAGCCTTAGCCGAGCTCCACACAGCTCTACAGGGAGGTCCGTCCATCTGCTAAGCAGCAGGGCCCAGAAAACCTTCCTTAAACCACAGGAGGCGGGACGTGCCTGCGATGGGCCTTCCCAGGTGACTCAGGCCCCTGGATGGGGAGACACCGGGTCCTCCTGGAGCAGCAGGTCTCATTGACCTGAGTCCCCCTCCGCCCCGGGGAGTCCTGTCCTTTCAAGGAGCCACTGGTGATGCTGACCCGTGACAGCGGGTACCAGATCCTACTGGGAAACAGCTCTGGCGGGAACCGTCCCTGAGATGGATGGATGGAGAGAGAGGAGCTGGTTCCAAGAGCTCCGTGGACAGCGAGTCACACGCCCCAGAGGGAGGTCGCTGGGGCAGGTGGGGGACAGCAGGCGGCCCCCCAACCTCCATGGGCCGGGATGTGTCAAGACCACGTCCGCTGCCTCCCAGGGCTCAGCCCTCTGTTTATGGGGAGCTAAGACTTGAGGACGGCTGGTGATGCTCCAGGTTGAGATGTTCCAACTGCTTACATGATGTCCCCGGGGGACTTGCCCCGCCCCACAGGTACTCTGATCAGGCCGGGGGGCTGGGCTGGAGAGAATGACATGGCCAGAGCGCGTCCAGATGGCCCCCGGACGAGGCTGGACCTGACTCCCCGCAGACACGCTGTCTGTGTCGGGTCCCTCTCTGTTCTCAGGCCTCTGCAGTGCAGCCTGGCAGTTGGACGCCCCGCGTCCCCCTCACCAGCCTCCAGCCAGACCTGGACGCTATGGCCCTCGAACAGGGGCAGCCCATGCTGGGGGACGGGCGAACAGGATGCTCGTCCGGACCAAGATGCCGGCCAGGCCCTCCCAGAGTCGGACGTCCTGGGTCAGGGTGCTTCATGTCACTGAGCAAGGGGCTACCTGGCCTCGGGCGCCTACCCTGGCACCCTGTCATTTCCCCTGCACCCCATCCCTCACCCCAGACAGGCCCTGTCTCCCTTGGACCCTTGGGGAGCACCAGAAAGGGGGTGTCCTGAGCCTGAGAACAGGATGTGTGTGCCCATGGCTGCAGCCCCTCGGGACCTGGGTCAGGCCAGGGGCGGGGAGAGCAGAGAGCATTCAGCCTCCAGCCAGACCTGGACGCTATGGCCCTCGAACAGGGGCAGCCCATGCTGGGGGACGGGCGAACAGGATGCTCGTCCGGACCAAGATGCCAGCCAGGCCCTCCCAGAGTCGGACGTCCTGGGTCAGGGTGCTTCATGTCACTGAGCAAGGGGCTACCTGGCCTCGGGCGCCTACCCTGGCACCCTGTCATTTCCCCTGCACCCCATCCCTCACCCCAGACAGGCCCTGTCTCCCTTGGACCCTTGGGGAGCACCAGAAAGGGGGTGTCCTGAGCCTGAGAACAGGATGTGTGTGCCCATGGCTGCAGCCCCTCGGGACCTGGGTCAGGCCAGGGGCGGGGAGAGCAGAGAGCATGACCATCATCCAGTCCCTCGTCCTGACGCCCCGGCCATGGGCTTCTGGTGCCTCCACGGGGTCAGAGCTCCAAAAGAACCTTCCCAGTTCCACGGGAACTGGACGGGAGGACCGCCTCAGTTCTCATGCCAGGCGCCCCGGGATCAGGGGGGCCCTGGAGCCTCCACCTGAGTCACGCCCTGGGATCAGCCACCAGGAGCCAGGTGCTGGCGGCGGAGGCCAGAGCCCCAGGCCCCAGGCTGGTGACCCTCGGGAGACAGGACGCGGGCCTCCTCCCTCCGCTTTTGGAGGATGTGGCAGGACTGGACTTTGGCAGCCAGCCCCCGTCCCCTGCTCCCACGTCCAGAGCAGCCTCCCAGCCCCCGAGGCTGCGCCCCCCACGTGCGGCAGCAGGGTACCCCTCCTCCTCCCGCTGATCGCGTGGCACCTTGCCCGCCCGGGTCAGGGCCGGGGCCTCAGGCCACAGGGTGGGCCCGGGTGCTCCTAGCCAGGCGTGGCTCCCTGAGGGCAGAGAACGTGGGACCCTGCGAACACCCACAATCCCACACACTGAACTTCTTCCCAAGGTTAAGGCGTTATCAACGGTCATTTTGTTCAACTTGCCTCTGGCCCCGTCGCCAGGTACAGGGCAGTTTTACTCAATGGGAGTTTGGGCGTGGAGCTGTTTTATTAAATCCCCTGGAGGCGGCTGAAAACCAAGCTTGCCTGTTTCACCAGCTGGAGGCAGAACCAGGTCCTCCCCGCCCACGACCGGCAGCTCCGGGTCCCCACTCGGCCTGCTAATCCCCCCTGCCATCCCTGGGGGCTCCCTCCCTCCCAGAGCCGAGTCTCTTTCTCGAACTGGATTGGATGCATGGTGATGTGCCTGGATCTTGGGTGTGTGGCACCAAGGGTCCTGACCCATTTGAATATCAGCAGACACTCCCATATTCAAGGTCCAGAACCTTCTCCTGCCCAGGGATTTTTCAAAGCAGCACGTGGCATCCGTGAGATCACGGGGCTCCTCATGGTGGCCCGGGGCACAGAGGTGCAGGGGTCCCCCGGGAGCAGAGTAGGGTCCCCATCCTACCTAACTCACCACAAACCCCCTAACCCCCACATGACCCCTGACCCTTGACCCTGCTAGCTCCAGAGAGAGAAGAGGAAAGCGTCTCACCGGCTCGATGATGGCGGGCTCTCCTTTCTGACCTTTCTCCCCCCGAGGCCCTCCGATCTGGGGGTTCATGAGACGCAGAGAGAGAAGGGGGAGGAGAAAGAAGGCACAGGTTACACCAGATCCGCACGGCTGAGGAGGCAGGGGTCCCACCGAGGCCCAGGGAGGCACCCTCCGCGGCCGCTCACCCCCTCGTAGATGGTGTCCTGGTTGGCGGGCATGCCTGGCCCGATCTCCGAGGGGGAGATGGTGGGGTCGTAGTATGGGTCGTAGTAGCTCTCGTCCAGGTTCTTGATGGTTTCTTCCGTGAACTCTCCCTCCAGGTCGTCCATCCCCTCCTCTGGAGGCGGGGCCGGCTAGGGGGAGGGCAGCGGTGGTCAAGCCGAAGGACGCCAGGTAGCAGGCAGACCCAGGCCCCGGCCTCAGGGCCTGAAGGACCGTGGCCTCCTCGGTCACAGAACACGGGGAGCCTGGGGTCTCACTTGCTGGGAGGCACTGTCTCCCTCCCATAAAGGGGAAACCCGTCCCAAACCCCTACGATGCCGTGCGAACCAGAGCCGCCCAGGGACAGACGTGCCCCGCCAGATTGCCCTGTGCACTTGGGGAACCCCAGCCCTCAGGGGCTCCGCCTCAGGCCCCGGGCCTCGGGGTAAGACGTCCATGATTCCATGCCTGCTGGCAGAGGGGCCTGAGTGCACCACAGCCCCGTGTGTGAGCCCTCTGGCCATCCAGAACTCAGCACCACACAGCGGCTATTTCCAAGCATCCGCCATGTGCCCTGGCCGCGCCAAACCCCTCTTCAACCTGGAAACTAGGCAACGACCCCAAGGGGCGGGCCTCATGGGCGCCAGGCTGTCAGTGAGATTGCTGGCTGCTTTCCAGACGGGGACATCACCGCCCAAGGTCAGTCACTGGCGGAGATCTCAAGTCAGGTCACGTCTCGTCTGCTCGTCCGACCCCCAGCTCATGGGCCTGTCCCCCTCCCAGCCCACAGACAGGAGCACGGCTGCAAACACGCGTGACCTCATCCATCTCCACCCGAACCCTGCGAGACCTGGAGGCCGGGCTCCGTTCTACACTGAGATCCACCCAGCAAGTTGGCGATTCTAAACTCGAGGGGCCCCGGGGAGCATCTAACACGCCCAGCTGCCAAGGGCCAGGTGTGGTGGGGAGGGGGACAGGGCCGCCACCCCTGGACTGCAGGTGAGGGGCAGAGAAGGAGGGGCCCAGGCGTCCAGCCCCCGCCCCAGGCCGAGCCTGCTCGCAGGGAAGCAATTACGTTGGAGCCGTTGGAGGTGAGGACCGTGCTGGTGGGCACCTCGGCCCGGGCGCCCTGGTCGGGGCTCTGGTCGGGGTTCTCGTCGGGGTTCTCGTCAGGGTTCTCAATGCCTTCGCCGTAGCCGAAGTCCTCGTAAGGGGGTGGCGTGTAGTAGTCTTCGCTGGGCACATAGTCGTACTCCCCGATGCCGGGGTCCTCCTCCTCCTTCCCGGGGCCCACGGTGGTCTCGGGCGCCGAAGGGGCTTCCGTCGGGGGCTGGGTCAGCTCCTGAGAGCCGGGCACAGACACGCAGGGTTAGGGGGAGGCCAGCGTAGCGGGACCAGGTCCGGGGTTTCCTCCGAGGCTGGAGAGGGAGGCAGACCCATCGGCCAGCTGGACCCTGTGGACTGGGGTGCAGGGGCCCCTCGGCCAGGGGGAGGCAGCCCAGCCCCAGGCCGGGCTGTGCACAACAAAACCCAGGATCGCACACCCGGACGGGGGAGCTGTCTCTCACAGTTTCTTAAAATAAGAGAACGGGGAATTCCCTTGCAGTCCAGTGGTTAAGCCTCCACACTCTTACTGCCAAGGGCCTGGGTTCAACCCCTGGTAGGAGAACTAAGATCCCGCAAGCCACAGGGCAGCCAAAAACAAGAGGAAGAGATGCTCCCAGATTCTGAGAGCCACACAGGCCAGCGTCCCAGGCTCTCCGTGGGGAGGGGACCATGCTCCATCCTGTCCACGTCCCCCCGCATCCTGCTCACTGTGGGAAGCCCTCTCCCCAGTCCCCCTGAGGACAAAGTGCACATGGTCCCCTGGTCCCTCATTTTCCTGCCAAGCTCCTACCCACACCACGCCTGGTCTCCACGTGTCACCAAACAGCCCCCATTCTCGCCGAGGCCTCCTTATCCCCCTCTCCTGACCCAGGGGCCAAATATCGGCCACCCTTCCACCCTGCACCATGGCCCCCAGGGACCACCCCCTACCCCACACCATGGGTCCCAAAGACACCCCCCCAACCCTGCATCACGGCCCCCAGGGACACCCCCACACCCCGCACCACAACCCCCAGGGACCAGACCTCGGCCACCTCCGTGGTCTCTCGAGCCGCTTCCACGGGCGTCTTGGTGGGGCCGGGGTCCTTGCCCGTGTCGTCCGTGTCCTCGTAGTAGGGGTACTCGTAGTAATAGGTGTCCCCTTCATTGTCTCCGTCGGGGTACTGAGAGCAAACAGGGCCGCGTGAGGAAGGCGGGAGCCGCACCCCGCCGGGACACCAGCCCGTGTCTCCCTCCCCTGCGGGCTCAGCCAGTAAGAGTGGACCCCAAAGGCTGTGCCCAGCTCCAAGCACCAATCCTGTGGGCCTGACAGACACCCCCGCCTCCAGCTCCGGGGAGCAGAGTCAGCCCCAGGGGGCATCCTGGGGAGGGAACAGGGCCCCGTGCCCTCTGAAAGGCCCGATGTTCTGACCTTGAGCGCCTGAGGGTCGGGACTGCCAGCCGGACCATGGGTTCTGCTGGCAATGCTGCTGCCGCCTGGGGGTCCCTGACCTCCACGGAGGCCCAGACCACACGGGAGGGACTTCCCGGAGGACGACACAGCGGGCACTGCCCTCTGTGTGTGGGGGGGACCTGGGGGGTGGCCAGGAGGCCTTGGCTGCAGGGACCCAGATGGGAGCACTGTCCACCCGGTTCTCAGGATGGGGGGAGATCCCCTGAGGAGGAAACGGCAACCCACTCCAGTGTTCTCGCCTGGGAAAACCTCAGGGTCAGAGAAACCTGGAGGGCTCTCGTCCAGAGGGTGGGAAAGAGTCAGACACGGCTTAGTGACTGAATCCAAGACCCTGGGGCTTCATGGAGCGCCCCCTTGTCTCCTGCCTGCTCGTGAGAGAAGGGGTGCTCAGCGGAGAAGCAACGGGCAGGCCCGAATTTTACTTAAAGGAAACAGGAGTCAAACCTGAGCAGGGAGGGCAGAGGATTTGAAAATGGTGCACAGAACTGAAATCAAGTCTGCTGGGGCGCTGCTGGACTGTGGGGGTGGGTGGACGGGCGGGCTGACCCCGGTCGGCAGATGGCGGCATCAGACCCATTCCGGGAGCGCTCAGGACGAGGCTGGCCCTCGGGGTCCCTGATGCTCTGGGGGTCAGAGCGCCCATCTCTGTGCTGGGACAGCGCTGAGCCCCTCCTGTCCCGCAAGCTCCAAACGGCCCCCAAGGGCACCTGCAGCGTCTCCGCTCGCTCAGCGCCCGCCCTGGTGTTGAGTCAGGCTCCGGCTCTCCTGACCCAGAAACTCGTGTGAAAGGCTCTTGACCAACGTTCTCCGTGACTCAGTCGCTTCGGAGCACGGGGAGCTTCGTAAAGCAAGTCAGGGATCCACTTTGTCCCCAGGACCGATTGTGGTCTCACCCATTGGGTTTATTTGAAACGGGGGTCCCATGGCCTCTGTATCCCCCTACCCCGCCCCTCCCAGGAGGTCTGGCCGCAGCCCCCACCGGGACTCACATATTCATCGGGGTTGGGGTCCTGAGACTGGGGTTTGTCGGGGACGGCGGTGTCACAGTCGGGGCTGTAGTGCTCGCAGTAATCGTAAGCTGCCCGGTGGTCCGAGACGAGCAGCAGCTGCTGGATGTCTCCCTGGGAGAGGAGGGAAGCTCTGAGCAGGCGGCACAGAGGGAGCCCGCTGCTCACCCAGGAGAACCGCCTGACACCTGAGAGCTGGTCCTCAGGGCCAGACCTCCTGCGGGGGAGCTGCCTCACCCAAGCCACCCATCCACCCACCCACGCACCCAACCACCTGTCCATCCACCTGTCCATCCACTCATCTATCCATCCATCCATCAACCCACCCACCACCCACTGATCCATTCATCCACGCATCACACACCTCATCAGGTGCCAGTCGCGCCCCCGCCCCACCCCACCCCCCCGTGTCCAGCTCTGCCTCTGGCGATGCGCACGGATGGCCCCTCCCCGTGAACACCACTGACCACAGCCTGGCTGCAGCACCCGGGGGCTTGACCTACACCCGCTCTGCTTTCCTGCCACCGGGGAGAGTGGGCGTGTGGAGTGAGCTGCCTGCTGCTGTCCCAGCCCCGGGCCCATAACAGCGAGCGGGTCACGGAGGGGAGAGAGCAGGCGAGAGGCCCCACCCGCCCAAGGCTCAGCACGACCCGCCCCGTACCAGGGCCAGAGCCTGCCCTCTGCAAACCCACTCTTNCCTTTACCACTAGCATCACCTGGGAATATAAGCTCTGCAAATGAAGCTACTGGAAAAAAGAGGCTCAGGGCCTTTGGGGGTGCAGCTGTGACTGTGGGCAGAGGGTGCGCCCATTGATGGAGGAACCGGTACACTCGCCATAGTTCCTGTCTCCCTGGAAAATCCCGGTCCCGGAGCTGCAGACGTGGCCGGAGCATCTCTGTGTCCCAAGGCACCTGGCCCGGGACCCGGGCTCGCAGGCCCCGCACCAGGGGACCAGCCAGGCCAGGGGCTCAGCCGTCCCTGCCCACTCACAGGCCCAGCCTGACAGAGACACCTCCGCTCACCCCAGGCCCTGGGACGCTCCTGCTGACCCGGCCCGCGGCCAGGCCTGTCCCCACCTTGCCCACTCCCTCCCCAGGTGGCTGCAGTGTCCATGTGACCAGTCAAGCCCCCCCACTCAGCGTGAAGCTGCCTTCCTTTCCGGCACCCACCCTCCCCTGCAAATGCCCATATGTGTTGAAAAATCATTTTCCTCGCCAAATCCTTGGATGGGTTTTCACGCTTGTTCTGTGGGCGTGTCCCTCAGAGGGCGGGGGTCTACCATCCACCCCTTGGGGTCTTCACAGCAGCTCTGGTGGGAGATGCCAGGGGCCCCCAGCTGCAGCGCCTCGGGGCCTTGAGCGTCAGCAGGACAGCCCCCCTCCGCTGGCCTCCAGCGCTCCCTTGCCCCTCTAGGCCTCTCCACGAAGGGGCCCGGGGTCTTCAGCAGGTTTTGACATCAGGCTGCCCCTGAAGATGTTAGTTGAGAAAGAGTTTACAGGGTTTTCTGAGAAAGTCACGTCCCCAGTGCAGTAAACCTGTCTCATTTCCCAGACGGAATCTGAGGTCAGTGGGGGTGGGTGCCCCGGCCTTCACAGTGGATAAGCCCAAAGAGCCCCAAATACGGGGAGCGCTGGCCCCGTGACAGGGTCCACCCTGTGCCCGGCCACGGCTGGGCGCCCCCCCCACACACGTCTCTCCTGAACCTCAGCATAGCCCCGATTACCGACGGGGAAACGGAGGCTGGGGGGTCGAACCAGGAAGGGCGCACCACGTAGCTCCTCGCCGGTGCCTCTGGCGCTGTCTGGCCCTGGAGCAGGGTCTTGGCCCCCTCATCCTTGATGCCGCGAGCACTCACCAGGGGTCCCCGCTGGGCCACCTCTGCCCCGCTGAAGTCCCCGTGGTGACGGGGGTGGTGTTCCGACCCTTACTGACACTCACTACCCCCTCCTGCACTCCCGTCCCCCCGCAGCCGTCCTGCAGAGCCCGGAGCAGCTGTGCCCACCCCGCACAGTGAGCTAATGAGCGAATCCCGCCCGCCCGCTCTCTCTTCGGCCCGTGAGCCTCCGACAGCAGCATTTCCCTCTGGGGCCCCCCCGGCACGGGTCCCGCTGCACCCCCTGACGGGGCCCCCTGGTTCACACAGACCTCAGGACCCATGAGGCCAGTGCAGCCCAGCCCAGAGCAGGCAGCTGACCTCCAGGGGGTGCGGGGCTGTGACTCCGTCTCCTCCGTCAGCATCAGCCCAGCCCAAGCTGCAGCACAGACCCCCCACCCCGTCCCGAACCCCCGCCCAGGCTCAGAGAGATGGAATTCCCCCCAGTGCCCACCGGGAGCCGCTGCCCCTCCTGGCCCCAGCCCGGCGCCCCAGCGTCCCCCCGAGGGAGCTGGCTCTCCTCCTCCCAGCCCCACGTCACAGGTGCACCCACCGAGGCTCGGACGGGTCACTCCCACAAGGGCAGGAGGAGGGTCCTGAGCCACTGCCCGCCGTGCCTCTCAGAGCCTGGTCTCCTTGGAGCCAAGGGGCGCGTCCCACACCCGTGCCAACCTGGGTCTCCAGCGCCCGCAAACAACACTGCCGCCCCTTCCAGGCAGCCCTCCACGGGGCAGGTGCCCGCCCCGCCCGCCTCATGGAGACGGGTGACACCCGCGGCCACACCTCCGATGCCAGGCCACACACTTTAACCTCCCCGTCTAGCTCTAAGTGCCACGCCCTGCGCTGGGCACGTCACCTGCCCAGAGAGGCAGGGGGGCCGCGGCCGTCACTGCCTCCCTCGCGCTGACGAAGTCCAGGGCTTTCTCCTTCCACGCACCGTGTTTCTGCCCCACCGGGTCAGTGAAGCTCTGCAGAGGCCCTAGGAGCTTCTGCCGCGGCCCGGGAGTCATCGTGGCCGTTCCACACCCCACACAGCCCCAGTGCCCAGGGAGGCTGTCGGCCGGCCGTCCCCCGGCCGAGGGCAGGCCGGGCAGCCCACGAGGCCCGCGTCACCAGCACACACAGGACGCCTGCGTCCTCGGCTGAGCCAGGCGTTTTTGCTGAGGGGATCAGTCCTGCCTTTTCCCATAATGAGATTTTATCCAAGCTGCGCCCTGCTGTGAGCTGAGGAAATTGCGAAGTTTCCGTTGGAGAGCTCTACAACCCCGAGGGCACAGGAGCAGCATCCTGGCCCAGACGGGGGAGGCCCCGCTCCTCACGTCCCCGCTGGCTCCCAGCTCCCGCCCTCCCTCCCTGCCACCTCATCCTGCAATCCCCTCCCTTTCAATAAAAGCCACAGCCCCCAGGGACCGCCAGGCACCCCGAGCCTCCTCGGGCCAAACAAGACGCGCCCGGGGCTCCCGCCGCGCACTTGGCTTCTCCTGTGGCTCTTGCCGCTGACGTCAGCCGAAGCGCTTCACACGTGTACACGGAGACGCGGTCACTCGAGAGGACAGATGGACGCCTCTTTCTGAGGCTGCAGGAGGGCTGAACTGCCCAAGGAGCGATAGCAAGAGAGAAGCACTGGCCAGCAGTTCCGGCCACAAGTCTGGCCCGAGCAAGGGCAGCCCAGCCGAGTCCACCTCCGAGCAAGAGAGGTGCGGCAGGCACGTGCGTGCATGGGGCGGCAGGCACACGGGGTCCCTGCCCGCCCCACGGAGCGCCCCTCCTCAGGGGAGCCTGCTTTGTCTGACATGTGGGACTGGCCCAGGGGACACAGGGCGGGCAGGGGGCTTCGGCGAGTTACCTCCTTGACGTCCTGGGAGACTTCCCACAAGGAAGGCCTCCCAAGAGCCGTCCTCCTGCTCAGACTCTCCTCGCCCCAACAACAAGTCAGACTTTACATCCTGCTGGGACAGTTTTCATCCCGGGTCACACAATGGAAAAGGAAGAGCCCCAAGCCAGACGGGCTCTCAACAATTCTTTCCATGGTCTTCGCAGCATCCTTGGAGTGAGAGAGAGAACTGGACAGCATTCAGGTGAGCAGCGGTGAAGAAATATTTCCCTGCGGTTGGAAACCACTTTCTGCTGCCCCCAGGGCCCGGGCTGGTCAATGCCCGTGACCTCCCCACCGCTTGGCCACCCCGGCTGCAGGCCAGGTCTCACCCCTGCACCCACCCCTGGCGTCTCCTCACCCCTGTGCTGACGCAGGTGCTGGGGGCCCCACCTGAGTCTCCACAAATGGGCGGGGGGCGGTCAAGACCCAGCGTCCTCGAACCCTGAAACTGGCTGCAGTGACTCAAGGGTCAGCTCTGTGAACTCAGAGCAGGGACACTTCATCCCCAGACCAAGGGCAGGACAGCAGAACCGGGGCAGGGGCCGGGCTGGCTCACACGCCCACCTGACTCTGCAAAGGCGGGGGCTCATGTCCTCTCCCCGCCAGCTACACCAGGTGAGCAGCCCAGCCTGGCTGGCACATGAGGAGAGTGGACCTGTCCTTCCCTTCTCTGGACCCTCAGGGCAGCAAGCCTGTGGGTGCTGGGCTGACCACATGGTGGGGAAACACGTGCCATGAAAAGCTCCACAGAGGAAGAAGCACGCGCCTGGGCACCCGGCACAGAGGGGCGAGGTGGTGACCACAGGCGCCTGGGCACAGGACTCCCCTCCTCACCAGCTGTGTGGCCTTAAGCACATCGCTGACTCTCCACAGGCCGCCACAGGGGCGTTTGCAAAGCAGGTTATGAGATCCACCTCACAATAGTGTCCTGGGGACTAACTGCAATGGAACATGCAGGACACCGAGCAGGACTGGCACCTGATGAGGCCTAGACAAAGTGTGACTGTCATCACCACCATCAAAGCCACCATCACCACCACAGTCATTACCATCACCATCATCACCACCATCACCACCATCATCATCACCACCACCACCACCACCACCACCATCACCATCACCACCATCACCACCACCACCACCATCATCACTATCACCACCACCACCACCATCACCATCACTGCCATCATCACCATCACCACCATCACTACCACCACCATCATCACCATCATCACCACCATCACTGCCATCATCACCATCACCACCACCACCACCATCATCACTGTCACCACCATCACCATCACCACCATCATCACCACCATCACCATCACCACCACCATCACTATCACCACAGTCATCACCAT